TTCTGCTATATACTAAGCCCTTGATAACCGAGTTCGAGGTCTTTACGCAGAAATAACGGACCGAGGTCTTTTTGTACAGACTGAGCCCGTAGGGCGAGGTTTGTACAAAAAGACAGAGGTCCGATATATCTCAGTAAAGACCGAGAAAGCGAGGTTATTAAAAGGTTTATTATATGACATTAAACGAAGCTTGCTTTCTTCCTCGTCCTTGCTGTTTTTTACCAGTTGGCTTTCCCTTTTCTAGTTTTCGTCCATAAAAATAAATTCTATGTTTGTAAATGTAGATCGTCCAGGTTGGTATAGTCCTGAGAAGGACTGTTTTTGTTGTTGTTGAATGACGTTTCGACTACCTTAGCGGTAGTCACCTTCAGAGTCAAATGAGGAGTAAACGTCAGGTTAGCCGTATTTTGACGATCTGAATAGCCTCTTGTGTGTTCAACAGGGACTTATTTCTAAGTCCTGCCGGACTCAAAATACTGCTAACCTGACGTTTACTCCTCATTTGACTCTAAAGATGACTACCGCTAAGGTTGTCGAAACGTCAGTTAACAACAACAAAAACAGTCCTTCTCAGGACTATACCAACCTGGACGATCTACATTTACAAACATGTCGCGATACTCCCGGGTTCAAACCATTTACTTTAAAAAATAAATCGTTTCAAATTATATCGTCTGGATAGTTAAACTGTTTTCCAAGTGTCTTTCCTTTGAATTACATTCGTAAATGGTTTTTTGTTTCGTTTATTTCGCGTTATACTATTTGCTTTACGAAGTTTGTTTACATTTGATTTTAAAATTACGCGTTTTGACCGTGGTCGATACGGGAAAATAATGGAACGGCAAAAATGTTTTTGAGCCCATAAAAGCGCGCCAATTAGCCGGACGTAACGCTTACCATATAATAAATAGCTATTAATTACGATGGTTGTTTGAAGAACTTTTTTTTAAATATTTTTACACATTTATTTATAGCTACACAATCGTTCGGTAACGTTTTAATCTTTTGAAGTTTAGTTCCATTAATCACGTTTCTTTCTGCCAACATACATCTGAGCACTATTTGCTTTTTTAATTCACTGCCGCAGTCTTTCCAATTCTTCTTACTCAAAATCATAAAATCGGCTATTTTTCTTTTCGAAAATTTGTGAGAGTTATCGTCGTCAGAGTTATCGTCGTCGACATTTACGCTTTACAGCAACATGTATATGTATACTAAATATCTTCATCCAAAAAATGACTATTTGGATAATTACATACAGTACCTATATGATAATAAGTGGTTGATTCCTTTATTCCTCGTTCAAGTATGCAACAACACATTTTTATTTTTTGACGTTTACTTCCAATCCACCTATTACTACACAATCGCCATTCTTTTTCTGTCCAAAAATACTTAATTCTCTACTTCCTCGTTAAAAGTTAAACCCAGATTGTTGAAGGCTTTGCCACACATTCTTACCTGTTGAGCATATAGGTTATACATAAGTTGAACTAGAATACCTAAAAATTTTTGCATCGCTGCATTCACCAAGTTGTTTGAAAGATGCCAACTTCGGTTCTCTTCTTTATTATAAAGACAATTCGAACATTTTCTTTCTTTTAAACGAAACCCGAACGTCACACGACTTAATCGGCGAAATATACTTTAATAGCTCTTTTAAACAAATTCATTGTTTTATATACGAAAGATCAGAGGCGTATCCAGGGTATTTTGCGCCATGAAGATTAAATATTTATGATATACGATACATATATCCTGAAATATATGTCGGTAAAGAATGACATTAATGATATGAACATATAACTAATACTGTTAAAAGTAAAATTTGCCTGTGAAGAATAGCATAGGCATAGTAATCACGTGTTCATAATAGACGAAAACAGGCATTATAAGTTTATAACTGTCGCGCGTTTTAAACAGAATTGTACATTCCTTGTCAGATAACTAAAGTAAGGATGTTTGAAAAACTTTGAAAACATGAAGTTCTTAAATTAGGTTTTCTAATAAATTAAATCCCTCTTGTTCATATCTTATTGCCCACAAATTTCTTGTGAGACACTGCATTTTAAATTGTCTGCCTGTCGCTCTAATTTTAATTATAAGTTACAAAGACTCTTTTTCTTTATAGCAGGATTAAAAAAAATTTAAATGCAAATGTAGGAAATGCTTAAGGGCACTTCTGTACTTTTTGTAACCCAAAGAACTTTTTCTTCGCTTTATGATCATTTTAATGTAAAAATATCCTCGATTTTGTTTTTCTGTATTTTTTCCGTGTATTTGTGTTCTGCATGTATATGCTATTTAATATGTTGAGTCAGTTCCCATTATCTTTAAAATGTGTTTATTGCATGTTTTTTTTTAGATATTAATGATTCTTCATGTTCTTTAATTTTGTTAATGTTCTCTATATATTGTTATTCATGTTCTTTAGTAGCTAAATAAAATAGCCTATGCTTTCCAAAGTGGATTTTTTCTGTACTGATGATATTCTTTGTTCCCTTAGTAATTTCAATTTTCTTTTGCTTTATATATGTTTGATATATATTTATTCATAATTTTGGTTTTATTGTAAAGAATTCATGTTTCAAGTTATTTTACCGTATCTGTTTTAAACCTTTTTGATCGTCGAGTTGACATGTTTATTTAATCTTTTAAAATTATTATGAATTATTTTGTAACAGATAATTTCTACCAACCTCACCGAAGTCAATTTTGTAGAAAGACAACGTTTTATCCTAAAATTTTTCACCCGTATTTTATGATTGAAATATTATATCTGTAGATCAGCTTTTGTTTATTTAGCTCCTGTTTTTATTCTTTTTATCATAAATATTTTAAGGGATTTTGGTAATTATTGCGCTGTAACTTTTTTCAAACATATTTATAACTGATTTCGTGCATATTTATTGGTTTGAATTATGCAATGTTTCGATTTATTATTAATTTGCTTATAGTCATCATGAGCGTCTTAAGTTAACTTTTGTTTGGATTTTTATTAGAAAGTGGATTTTAATTGGCTTCATATATTTATCTATTAGTTTCACTTTTCATTTTTTTTTGTAAATTTTATCATTTACGATGAATTACGGTAGAAAACCAAGTCTGCTCTTTGCTTATTTGACAAGTTTTAAATATATAAAAGTATTTTAGAGTTCGTTAAGATTAACATGATGTATTTGCTCGAGGAAAATTTGAAAATGCACAAGTTCTTGCAGATGCATTAACACATAAATGATTACGGCTTTCAAAACAATAGAAACAACGGAAACATAAAAAATAAAATTGGAAAGAGGAGCACTGGCTTCCGGTTTAACTTTAGCCTCAGAAACATATGTCATATTTTGCTATAAATATACATTAGCTACTTTAATTTTTTGTCCTTTAATAGAAATCCCCCCGCTCTTTTGTTTTTAAACAATTTGGTTCTTTTAAGCCTCGGTCACACTGCACCCGGTAACGACCCGATAACGATGCAAAGAAAAATCGCTCGTTATTCAAACTCTTGTGTGCGGTCACATTGCAGCGATAACGATAACGATTTATCGTTAGTATGTGACCATTGAATTTCCTTATAGTTTATCGTTATCGTTTATCGTTATCGTCGAACAGTGTGACCGAAGCTTTAGTGTCCTTCTTTATTCTTCTAAACACTATTTTTTGTTCATGAAATCAACGAAGGACTTCCTTTGCAATGCTTCTATTTTCACAGCCTTTTTGCAAAAGGCAATATCAAATAATTACTTGAAGATAGTTATAGCATATAGCTACTGTCTTGCTTTTGAACGAGGCTCAAACATTGAGATTGCCAAAATTGTTGCACTCATTTTGAGAGGACTTTTTTTTTTACCTAAAAACTAATGTATCTACAAGAAGGATTGCTATTACTTTTAGACAAACTAGAGGATGCAGAAACACATAAGTGTTGACAAACTTTTGGAAAGTTTTGATGAAATTATTGTTTTCAAGTGACTTTTAAATTGTTTTTGATAGACCCCGTAATTTTCCCAAGTAAAGTAAATTGTTAAGTTGTAGGACGTAGACTTTTTCATCATTTACAGTAAATATGGGGTGATGGTGGTGTTCCTCAACTTGACAGTTTTTCTCAAATACCAGCCTATGAGAAATTTTCTTATAATCAAATGAATGGTGCATGCTGTCACTTTTGTTTCGCCTTTGCTATAAGGATGTTTTAAATGTATTTTGAGTAAATGCGGACAATTAAATTTGACGATAGTTTTGCTATGATTACATGTTTGTAAATGTAGATCGTCCAGGTTGGTATAGTCCTGAGAAGGACTGTTTTTGTTGTTGTTGACTGACGTTTCGACAACCTTAGCGGTAGTCATCTTCAGTTGTTCTTTTTTGACTCTGAAGATGACTACCGCTAAGGTCGTGAGAAATGTCAGTCAACAACAACAAAAACAGTCCTTTTCAAGAGTGTTTTATTATTGACTTTGGCAATCTGATCTTCCACCTCGGGCCCGACTTGCTCTTCATTTACCTCGAAATGTAGCCAATTTCTTTGTCGTTATCAAATTTTTTGATTTTGTGCTCTGAATTCCCAAGCAATAACACCATGTCACTTTGTTCGTCGTCGTCGGACTGTGTTCGTTTATTTTTAGTGTTTTCAGGTTCTTCATCCGCAGACGCGCTGCATGAAGAAACAGTCGCTTGGCCGGAACGTTTTTCGTCGCTCTCGCATTAGGTCAGATAACAGCCCTCTGAGCGATGTGGAACCCATCCTTAATGTTGTCCGACAAAGCTTCATAGTGATCTTCTATGCTAGTTTGTAATGTATTCTTATTTCCTGATTGGTTCATAGCGATGTTCTTGTGTTCGTGAACACTTTCAACTGTATGTTTTGTCGAATATTTAATAGTGCAGCAAATAATATGCTAGCATAAAAATTCGTGACTATCCAAAAGCTGGATATAACGCGCAATGAGTGCTGGGTACTTGTCGCGCAATCTCATGTGATTTACTTGTGACGCAGCACGACAAGGTAATAGAATTATAATTCCGCATTGTAATATCTGCAGAAAATAGCACAAAGAAATTCACGATAATACAATCTCACATATGGCAATTATATTATGAAAGAAAATCGTTCTTCATCATACGATCCAAGAAAGACGACTATGCTTTGTTTAAGGGCTTTGTGTTAGTCTCGCGTGATTTATACGTAATCTCGCGATAATACAGGAAAATCCCAATTTTAACCTCTGGTTTACCATCATTATCAAATGCAATGTGAGATATTTACAAAATGTAAAGTTTTGCTTAAATTAAATAGAAAAGAAAAAAATACGAGAATTTAAAAATATCAGACCATACCAGGTCGTGCGTACATCGGCAGATTAGCAGAATTATAATTAAGAAAGTTCAACAATGTTTTCTCGACTTCAATTCTTGCAGAAGAGCTCATGTAGGTGCTGCTCAAATCATCGCGATCGACTGGAGATAGCTGAGAAAAAAATATAGAGAATAAGACAACACATTTCTGTTTCTAAGCAACATAAAAACACAGACTAACCTCCAAATCTTCATCAATCATTCTCTTTACCATTTCTTTCATACTCTCACAATCTTCACCCTACATATAAATACATCAAAATCAAAGAGTGGAAAGACTGTGTTCAAATACATAGACATGTGCTATACCCCCCCCTCCCATATATTCCCTATATTCCCTACCCAAAAGCAAAAACAACTGAAGGAAATGTTAACTTCATGAAAATCAGATACTTTTATTTCTTATGTACTTTTAGAGCAAAACAACGTATTCTGGTAAACTCTACGTTATTTGAAACTGTGCAATTGCATGAACATTACTCATGCCAAAACCAAGTTTTACCACTAATTTCTATCAATCTAGATGTCCCTTCTAATCCATCTAATCGATAAATGCTGCTTACATAGATTTGTCTTGCTATATGTTGTACTTTAGTTGCATTTGCAGGTGTCAGAAGCCATATGAGCATAATCAAATGCAGAAAGAAATGGAATACGATCAAAAAGTCTGACGACCGTATTCTAAAATCCCACTAACACTCACACTCATTCAGTGTGACAAAGAAGTCGCGTTATCCAGAGTCACAGGCAAAATTATTTCCCTATGTTAAAAGTCAAATCATCATTCCCAAAGGTGCTCTACACTTTACATTGATGGAATATTTTTAACGGGTGTAAAACTACATGTGTTTTACAATTCTAAGTATTGACATGTGGTTTTGACATTCTAACTGAAAAACAATATTGAAAACAATGCTGAATGTGAGAAATATCAGACCAGTGCCATACAACACCATTAAATTTAGCGCTTTTCACCTTTGCGTTGGAAAGTATTTCACGTATTTCATTCTTTAGATCTTTAAAGCGATCGTGAAACAAGGCCACGCACCAGCTTTCCCGGAAGAAACTGCAACAGAAGATAGATGAAAATCAGTGACGATGATCATGAATGATGACTATATCAGCGGTTGCTTTATGAATCACGCTCGCTATGAAAATTTAAGACCCACCAATGTTTGGTGAGACAAATAATGAGTTGTTATCTAAAAAGCCGCGAGACTTTGAGATTTGCTTGTAAAAAAACATAAAGGTTTACTTTAATGTGATAAAATAAACTGTAGATGTTCCATCTTAAGAGAGTATTTATTAAGTATCTTTGCACATATTGCCGTGATGAAACACTAAAATTAGGAAGACGTATAAAAATCTAATTGAAGTTTGTAGCTTGCCTGCTGAAGGTCTCCTACTGGTCTAGCCCAGCAAATAAAGTTTGCGCTGGTGAAACAGCAACTTTAATGTATTGAATATTAAACACTTCTTCTAATTTTTAATAAGCATGAAATGTGCCTTTCTTCTAATTCTTGCATTCAGGCGCAAGTTTCCGCGATATTTAGCATTCAGCTTTGTATGTAAGAAGAAAATGACATCCAGGATAATTTTAAGAAGGGGGGAGAGGTGCTCTAGTTTTTGTAAAATGTCGTTCAGTCAGTCTACTTTGGATTTGATTTCGATGACTCGTTTGTTGATGTTGGCTATATGATTCTTACGAAATGCGAGAAATGGTGGTTCAATGGGTCCCAACTACCGCATTCTTCCCCTAAATCGATCAATGGAAGAATCTGTATAGAAACGCTGCACTATGAGCAGCACAATATAGCATAATTTTCTTTTTACAAGACAGTTTGGAAATTGTGTTTTCAACAGAGGAGTAGATTAAGGAATGCTTAGCGCATAACTAATAACGCGTGTAATTATCATAGTGGCAACCAGTCAATTGCTTTTTTTGACCAATAGGAATGTTGAAACAGCTAGCCGCAGCCAGCAATCTCATTAAATATACAACAGCCGGTTGCACAGCGAAGTGGATCAACTGTATATTCCCTATAGTGTGTTTGAAAGACCGCGAGACTCACAATTGAATCGTGACACTTGGCAGGTCTGAACTTTGTTCTCTTTGTTCTCTTACAGCAAAAGCGATAGATTTTCATAGAAATGAATGATGGTAGTGGTGTCAAATTTGAATAGCAAGACTTAATTTTCGCGCTAAGAATTTCTGCTGGATCTATACCTGTAAAAATCCGTTATCAACCCTTCTCTATAGCGTTGCTTTAAATTATTTAAAAATCTTGCATGGACGCCATAAAGACAGATAAGGTTTTCGACATCGATTTTCTAAAGTGTAAACAGATAAATGTAAAGAGGATATTTTCGCGTCTTACAATAAACGTTGTTCTAAATTGTTTTAGAAAGAACAGCAGAACATCTAAATAGACCTAGTGAGCAATTAAACATTGTCTAAGAGTGGCGAGGAATTAGAAAACGAATTTATAAGATAGAAATTTTCTAGGAAGATTTTCCACCTTTCACCTTCTTAGCATTTCTATGTTTTCTAAATTTTAATACCATATTAGTTACAATTACAAAATCCTGTAAAAAATGTTAATACTTCGTCAATTGATCTACTCAGAGTTTTTATTTCAGGAATTGAAGCAATAAAAATAAAATTATATAGTTATACAAAAGGGTTTAGAAGAGTAAGATATTTTAGGGTTCCCCTCGTCTTTACGAGCAACTCCTGCTCCTTGAGAATACGCTTTCCTACAAATTCTTTAAATCTTCAATAAGTACACTTTGATAGACAAGGAAAAGGATGTTGGGATGAAACAAAACTAAAATCTAGTTATAATCATCCACTCTCGTTTTAATCATAAATTATAAAAAAAACACGAAACGCATGTGATGATTGGTCTACAGCTGTGTATGCATTAGCCAGTGCAAACCCACCAGTAGCCAGTCATCAGTAGCCTATCAGTAGCCAGTGCAAACCGATGAGTCCAACTAATTGAATCAACCAAAGAGAATTTGCTAATCAATCATGTATACACATTGGACAAAAAATTAAAACGTGAAATTTGTTTGTTTTGCACTTTTCTGGTATTTTCTAAAAGAATTAAGTAATGTTTTTCGTATTTGCACTGGCTAATGCAAACCTTGGAGACGTTTGTTAGAGCTCTCGAGCATGTGCAACCCTCGACCTTCAGTGTGAGGCTTGCTTTGACCCTCTTAAGTCGACAAACCTGTTTTGAAAAGCACGTGATTGTCTCGATACTGTCATATTGATTGATATGTAGGCGAAAATATCCTCTATCTTCGTCACCCGCCGCACCCGTAGTCAAGACAAAACCCTGTGAAAGAAAGAAGATTTGATGACGTCATGTCATCTAATGCTCACGCGCTCAAACAAAATTTCCTGGAGCTTCCCCTTAATCGAAGTATATCGAACCAAATTTTTTATTGTTGTTTGCGTTAAAGATGTATGAATGTATCATACAGGGTGTCCCAAAAAAAAACGGAGCCAGCAAAGATTATTAAGTATGCGAAATGATTATGCACAAAACAGTTGGAGGAAAAGCTTTTTATCAATAATTTTGCCCAATAAATTTTTTCAGCACATAGGCGAAGATTTAAAAAGAAAATATGACCATGCAGTGAAAAGTTTCAGTATCTTCGAGACTAAACGACGTGTCAACAAAATGTAAACAACTGTGCACACTTCTTTACACTTATAAAATGTGAAAAGATCAGAATTTTCTTTTGTAGAGAGTCTTGTATCATTTACAGATCGGTGTTTATGATTTATAAAGCATATTTACCAATATACGTCCGCAGTTTTTTAAAGCAAAATTTATACAAAGCAATACGAGTACAAACTTCCTCGGGCCATTCCCTTACACGGTCAAACTTCTCGCGAATAGTTGTACTAGTACTTTTTTGTTAAGTTCACTATTGTTGGATGCGATAAAGACAAGGGAAATGTAAAAAGTTTATGACACGAAATTTTAAAATAGAATTTTCTGATTGCAATGTAAAGACGAAATAAAATGGCCGAACATATTCTTCAATAAATATTTCAGTAAATAAATCAAATCTACTGAAGAAGTTATACTGTCCTTTTATACTTTTTTTTTTGCAATAAAATAAAGAAAAATTGGCGACCAAATTTCGTGTCAAAAACACTTTTGACAAGACGTGCATATGAGTTCTAAGGAAATGCAAACCAGCATTTCTCATTATAAATGCTCCATGACCATGCACTGAGTTAAGTATGGTAAAGACACCTATAAAAATGAGTTGAAAAGAAGTAAACAGTTTACTAACGTAATCGTGTTGAGCCATCAAGGAATCCAATGCTATGGACAGTGAAGGTTTACCAATATGAAGGTAATGAAACGGACCTAGATAAGACACGTGATATACACGTGATTAATTTTTCTAAAAAATTGACAATAAAGTCATAGTTGAATAAAGAAAACTCTGTCGTTGATGCTCAAAGGAAACGATGGTTGATTAAAATGTTCTAATTGGTTTTAAATAGTTAAAAGTCATCTTCTAGAGGGCCTACATCGTTTTGCAAATCAAGGCGACCAGATAACTGTGGACCTCTATTTTAAAAATTAAGAGCAATTTAGCACCAGATTAAGGAATGCTTAAAATAACTTTGCTCTTCCAAGGCAATTATTTACTTTGGGCAATTTTTTTTAAGGTTGAATGTGAAATGTGTTATCATTAGGAATGTGTAACGATTATAGGTAGCTATTGCCGTTACATTTATGCATACAACAATATACGACCAATTGGAACACCATAAACGTAAATAGTTGTTAAATATTAGTAAAATGGTACCGTGCTTAAACAGATGAATATTGAGAAACAAAAACTTTGTTTATGACAAGTATGAAACACATAAAAACCTTGCTTTTCTTTGAATACATAAAAGTCCTGAATTTTTTCTCATACGCAAAAATGGATCTGCATGACTGTTTTGCACATCGAGAATATAAAATCATGAAATGGAATTAGCGTGTGAGCTCTTCTGGGGTGTGGAGTACAGGGGAGTGCCAACCCCATTTTTTCTGATTTGATAAACTTAGAAAATGGAAAGCGTTCTGTATGCCATTATTACTATTATTATTAAAAGCTAGAAAAATGCAAGGTGAAATTTGGTGAGAGTGCTAGTTACAGATAATCTCCGTTTGACGGGTCTGCTAACACACAACGGCACCCTGAGAAAATTTTCAACCCTGATAGATAAGGGGAAACCCGCCCCTAGAATTTTTGATTTTAAGCCCCACCACGTTGGACCATAACTACGAAGAACATTTCGCTATACCGCGGGAATATGATTGAACACCACGTGATGAGAAATAACCAATCAAACTACCCCAAATAAGAGTTTTGTTTAAGGTGATAGTTACCGGGTAGTATTGCGTATTGAATCTTTGGTTCTTTAAAAACGGGAATGAGAGTTGAACTTTCACGGGAGGTTTTGGAAGCTTGTAACGTTGGATCAAATAGATAAAGTAAGCACTCTGCAAGCTGGAAACAACATACGGGGTTTTTATACATAAGTCTCGTTAAATGTTTATAGAAGTAGATCGTCCGGGTTGATGAAGTCCTGAGATGGAGTGTTAGTGTTGTTAATGACTGACGTTTGGATAATCTTAGTGGTAGGCCACACGAGCACCAACAGTCCTTCTCAATGCTGCACTAACCTGGACGATTTTGCTATGTATTTAATACAGATAAAGGGAAAAAGGCATTGAATCATTCTAATAACTTTTAACGCGCCTTTATAGGCCTCCTGAAGTAATGATTTGATGTTTGAACATTTAAAACAGCATTCATAAATAATCATTAAATACTTTCGACAAATAGTTCAATATCTACCATTAAACTTTATTAATTAAGTCGGCGATTCTCGAGATGAAACAAAACTTTCAAATTACCTCATTGAAACTTACAAGCAAATGATCAAAATTAATTTTTAAAGTAAATTAAAACCAAATAAAAGATGTAAGGTCTACATCAGGTCCTCTTTGAGTTTTGTTTAAACTTAATTTCACATTGGGAAAAAATTATAGCTACCTATATGCTGACAAAAACGTAGTCTTCATATGCAAGTGTGAATAAAATAGTTTCATGACTAGTATGACCGTTGCTCATGATGATATACTAAGCACGCGTGGAAGATGAAAATTTTTAAAATGCATCAAAAGTCTCTGATTAACACTAAACCCACATAAATATTCGAGAGAGCTTACCAATCTACCAACTTCATTCGAATTAAAATTCGCATGACTCCTAGTAAGGGAAAAAGAAATGACGTCATCATTTGGAACGTGGAATTTAATTAAAAAAAGAACGAATGAAAAATAAGTAGATCTTACCATGAATCAACATAATATCGCCGCGAAAATTTTGTCAACGAGCCTGCAGCACGAATCGCCGGATCATTTGTGTAAAAATCTCCGTCAACAACAAGTTTACCATCATACACCAAACAACTGTCGTTAATGGCTTAAAAATGAAATTCACTCAATGAGCACATGCAACAAGTTGGCTAATCAATAGGGAATAACTTTTGTATATGGTCTGCGAATGGGCATCAGGTCAGGCTGAGATATGAATGGTTTATGCTGGAATTATTTAACTTGTAGGTTAAATTTATAGGTTTCTGTTGAAATTTTAAAAAGGAAATGGAAAGAACACTTGAAACGGCAGAAAAAACTTCTTCAAAAAATTTGTTCTTCGGTGCTTTTATTTTGAAATATTTTGTTGAATATGACATTGAACAGTGAACCGAGAGTGTCAAATGGAACACTTTTCTAATTTTTTTTCAATACAGCAGAGTGGAAACAATTGCTTGCTTTTGACTTTAGAAACTGTATGGAAAATGCAATATTGGAAGAATTTTATTTATCAATGAATTTTGCACAATTTTCAATTATGTTAATAAAATGTGTGTTTCAAACCCTGAAGAAAGTCATTTCTAGTCTAAAGTTTTCCATTAACAGAATAGCATATGACATGGGCACTGTTAAAACTTTAAATTTCTGACTATTGTCTTGTGATACTATTAAGTACTTGTAATTCTATCTAGTAAACTATTGTATAATACCAGTAAACTATTGTATAATACCAGTTAACTATTGTATAATACCAGTTAACTATAGTGTAATAACAGTAAGTTACTGCCTAGCATGGCTAATACCAGTAAACTCTAGAACACTAAACTTTTCACAGGCTGCAAAGATATCTAAGCATTTAATGCATCATACGCAATTGTTCTTGCTGCAAAACATACTGTCACAATTTGTATCATTTATATCACTGGCAGTTTTATTTGGGTTATTTTATAGAATCTGGTGCTTTATTTTTGAAGACTAAAACAATTTACGAAACAATCACTATGACTTTATTTAGTCTTGCTAAAGCAACATTCCACTTTTAAAGTTGAAGTTCATATAATTCACGCACCGAAACGTTTGTAAGGATTTCCTCACCTTTAAAGGCTTGATAGTCAACATTCTTGTCTTGAAAACAGAAAAACGCCTAGATGTTAATGAAGAAAAACAAACAGTTCGGATGTCATACAGTTATAGCTCTACCAAAATGAATGAAATCCACCGCTATGACATATGTAAGTGCACCAAATGAAAGCAACATTTATTCTGTTTTGATAAAAAAAACATTCATCGATTCAAGCTAACGATCGAGTTTCTACTCTAAAGCGCCCACATGCCACTTTATTCATAAGGGGGGGGGGGAGGAGGCGGAAGGCATGTACAAAAATAAAATTGGGGCGTTTTTAGAATAGTTTAATGTCTCAGCAGGTAAAATTAACAACAAATGCGGTTAACGTAGAATGTCGTTTGAATCAGCAAACACTTCGGCAACATTTGAGAATCGTCAAGAACGATGTTTTATGATGTTCGCACTTTGAATTTTCGAATGTATCTAATATCATACAACATACAGAAAACATGCTATTTCTAAATTCAAACTCATAATTCATAGGATCCTCTCCCGCTATTTGTATTGTCCTTCCTTTAAGTCTTAATAGTTAGTGCTTAGCTTTATATGGCAGTTATGGACAACAATGTACACTGAATTCACATTTTATGTTTCCCATAAAAGCCAGACCAAGAATTGCTTATAATCGGGTAAATGAAAACTAGGCACAAGGACAGACAGCAATAACTACGAATTTAAGTGGTATAGTACCTGACAATCTAGTATTAAAGGTTTGTTAGCGGATGTAAACGTTGCATTCTTCAACAGATTTGATTCCTCTCCATGATTCCATCTTGCAAGAGTGTAATCATCATGAAATTCAACACCTGTGAAAGAGATGACTCTGATCGCAAAAATTTTTACTGTAAATTGACCTGATGCTCTTGCAAATATTGTATGCATAAATGTTTGAATATAGTGAATATAAGTGATTATTTAATAGCCATAAGAATTTGAACAATTTTATGGGTCAAGAGCTTTGATCTATAAGAGGACATAAACAAGGAATTGACGATGTCACAGAAATTTCTCGTCCTTGAATTACAAACGAACGGCGAAACTATTGGAATATCTACTAGTATTTATCCCTGAATGGGCAAATGCAGACATTGAGAATACCTAGTTGGAGGAGTAGACGTATTTCAGCTAAAAACTTTGTACTTTGTCTTCGATAAGACAATTTCAACAAAATCGATAAGCCATTGCTAGTCTATTAGCAAATCATTATATAGCACGTGATGTAATCTAAGCTAGCCAATAGCACTTCTTTTAAAAAAATGCGTGATGGGTGTTTGGGTGATGGGAATTCTTGTTGTAATGTCTTAAGTGGTTTGTTAGTGACTCTTATATCATATTTTTGCAAGTGACGTGTTAGTGTTTCAGTCAGTCTTTTATGTAAGGAAGAACTGCATAGCAAAACTTTATAATTATGGCAGACTGGACTAACCAGAGCAGCAGATAACAACTTAAAACCACTTCCAGCACATTATAAAATTCTTTTAAAAAACAGTAACTATACCTATCACATAGAACAATATATCATAATAATTTATTTCGACATTTTTTATTTATGTAGTTATATAGTATTACATCCCATTCATTTCTTTTATAACCCGTCGAAGGCGGGTTTGTACACAGACTGCCGAAAAACTTTGTTTAATAAAATTTCATATCAGTGAACGTTTGACTGCATTAAGCATTTCTTTTATCCTTTACATCATGTACGCGTGTTATTTGCAAAATCTCGACTTTTTTAATATTCAAAATGTTGGGGAAACAAAAACTTATTTTCCAGTTAAAAATGGGAATTTTCCCGGTTTTATTACATAAAAATATCACTTGTGGAAAGAACAAAAAGTGATCATTCGTTTCGGCCGCTCGTGGCCACTCTTTAAGTTTTTATCACAAATGACGTTATCACAAATGACGTTATCACAAATGACGTTATCACAAATGACTTATCACAAATGACGTTATCACAAATGACGTTATCACAAATGACTTATCACAAATGACTTATCACAAATGACTTATCACAGAAAACGGTTAAATGTAATCTACTTTTGAAATCGCTTCTTGCGATTAGTGTACCCTTACACATAAAAGAGTTACAGGCAAGTTGCATCTCTGAAAGCCATAAAAAAGCAACACAAACACAATATCCTCGTGAATGGTTGAATATACTGATATACTGTGCAAAACGTAACAGTTTAGCTACGTTAATGTTCGCGATGGATTATTGTCAGATCTCATGTTAAGAATTAGTTGTTTTAAGAAACTTAAATAGTACTTTGAAAACGTATTTGCAAAGGAAAATGACTACTAGAACCATAGTAGTTCGAAAAATAACTGTTGAAAAGCAAAATAAAAATAAACTACACGAAACGATGTATTTCGGCCGAAATTCGCCAAACGTATTTATGATGGTTTTGTTGGAGGAGTGCTCTAGTTTTGATAAGATTTAGGTGGCTATATGCTGCCATAGCATGCAAGACTTTTTGTCGCATTACCTTTTTATTACGATTGAGAGATTTTGAGATGTTTACTTCAACACACGCATTGGCTCAGAATCATTTTGACGGTACATTATTTTATGCAATTGAACACGATCCAAAACGACTAATTTTACAGTCAAATGTAAAAAAACTTCGTAAAGCAAACAGCAAAACGCCACAAAAAATGAAACAAAAAACGAATGCGAGTCGAACGAAAAACACTCGAAAAACAGTTTAACTATCCATTACAATAGTGATTAACTATCTAGAAAAGTGAAAGCCAACCCGTACAAAATAGCAAGAACGAAAAAAAAAGCAAGCTTCGTTTCAGGTCAAATAATGCACTATAAGAAACCTTTCATTAACTTCACTTGGTCGGTCTGTATCAAAAAGTTCTGCCTGATATTTCTCCTTAAAGACCTCGAGCTCGGATAATAATGCCTTATTAATGTTCTCTGAGAAAATTGGCAACTCTTCGGCAACCCCTCCAGCCAGGGCTAGAATGAATGTGCACCCCCTTCAAACACCTTTCTAAATCCATACCCGAAAGGGATCGTAAAAAGAGTTCGATCCTTGAAAAGAGGACCACAAAAAGATTGATGTACATAAAATACCTTCATTTGCAAGGCACTTCTTCATGAAGTGATCTATTTCCGGATTGTTGAAACATGAAGGGGAGTTGTTTTGTGGAGGTTTTACCATAACTATTCTAGAACCAGGAACACCACGTGTCAACAAGCTTTCCATAAATGTATAAGCTGCTAAAGGAGCGCCATAAATGACTGCTTTACCTATGGAATAAAGAAATGTATGAAGCTACCACGGTTAGACATGTTTTAGACAAGAAATGGCTTGTATTATGATATAGATACTGATACTTTCAAATAGTTTTGGCCGTGTGAAAAATCGTTTCGCAATGGCTGACCGCTGACAGCCAATGAAAGAACGCAAAGACGTCAATTTCGCTCCACGCAAGACGGCAGGAAAAAATATAGGTGATTTCATCCTCAGCAATTTTTTCCCTGCGCATTTTGCGCTGCAAGGCTTTTTTACCTTTAAATTTTGTTGAACTACGTTTGTTGAAGAGTGCCTGATTGCTTTAGAATTCTTTTTTGAAAAAAAATGAGCAAATTTTAATAGGAAACGTCTTGTATTCTTTTGAATGTTCTATTGAAACTTTCATACCGCACTAGCTGTGAATGTTCAATCAATCGCAAATCATATATATTAGTTGGGGAATCTCAGTATTATCAAAATGAAGAAATTACACAATGAGCTGGAGTTGGGCAGTTGAATGGTATGAACGCTATATTTTTTGCGTACCTTGTGCTGGGATAAAAGATGTCTCGATCCAGTGTATTGTACTAAGAACATCGCGCTGTGAATTGATCGTATAAACATTGCAAGGTATATCGTTAGCCCTGGTTAAATGTCGAGTTGATTTTATTGGAATCTCAGCTGTAGTGACCAACGTGTCGACGTCGGCGTCTGTTGGAACAGCATTTTGAAACTGTTCACCGCAACACAACACGAGGTAGTCATATGGTACTTCATGTCCTCGACATGTCTTGATCACCTTCTGTTTTCGATCGATTGCGACCAAACGGTCTTCAATGATGTTCACCCATGTTTTTAGGGACATCTTACTGTAACTGTCTCTTGCATAACAACAGCTACACCCCAAGCATAATAATATCACTGAGTTTATTTACTAACTGGGGTGGTGATAAGTGAGCATTTGATAGAGAGCAATTCTTTTGGAGTAGTAATGATAAAGTCGACATATTACTGTGTTGAAACGATGTAATAACGCATATGAAAGTAGAGCGACAGTAAAGTCTTAAATATAGTCTAATGATGAATTTGTAAAAAATTCGAAATATAACTGTAAAAATGAAAATTGTCTTGTTTATTTCACAAATATTGATTTAAACATGCACCTTTTATTCGGAGTATGTTGCTTATTACTTTTCATGAAATTGTCGGCTTGCCAGTAACCAATTTTAGATTTTAGTAGAGAAGAGACACCTGAAAGTGTGTAACGACGGTAGTGGATTCTAATAGAATAGAGACACCTAAAAGTGTGCGAGGACGGTAATGGACTTTTTTGGGGTAGAGACACCTAAAAGTATGTAAGGACGGTAATGGACTTTTTTAGGGTAGAGACACCTGAAAGTGTGTAAGGAGGGTAATGGATTCTAGTAGGGTAGACACACCTGAAAGTGTGTAAGAACAGTAATGGATTCTAATAGGGTAGAGAAACCTGAAAGTGTGAAAGGACGATAATGGATTCTAGTAGGGTAGAGACACCTGAAAGTGTGTAAGGACGGTAATGGATTTTGTAGGGTAGAGACACCTGAAAGTGTGTAAGGACGGTAATGGATTCTAGTAGGGTAGAGACACCTGAAAGTGTGAAAGGACGGCAATGGATTCTAGTAGGGTAGAGACACCTGAAAATGTGTAAGAACAGTAATGGATTCTAATAGGGTAAAGAAACCTGAAAGTGTGTAAGAACAGTAATGGATTCTAATAGGGTAGAGACACCTGAAAGTGTGTAAGGACGGCAATGGATTCTAGTAGGGTAGAGACACCTGAAAGTGTGTAAGAACAGTAATGGATTCTAATAGGGTAGAGACACCTGAAAGTGTGTAAGGAGGGTAATGGATTCTAGTAGGGTAGAGACACCTGAAAGTGTGTAAGGACGGTAATGGATTCTAATAGGGTAGAGAAACCTGAAAGTGTGAAAGGACGGCAATGGATTCTAGTAGGGTAGAGACACCTGAAAGTGTGGGGACGGTAATGGATTTTGTAGGGTAGAGACACCTGAAAGTGTGACAGTAATGGATTCTAGTAGGGTAGAGACACCTAAAAGTGTGTAAGAACAGTAATGGATTTTTGTAGGGTAGAGACACCTGAAAGTGTGTAAGGACGGTAATGGATTCTAGTAGGGTAGAGACACCTGAAAGTGTGAAAAGACGGCAATGGATTCTAGTAGGGTAGAGACACCTGAAAATGTGTAAGAACAGTAATGGATTCTAATAGGGTAAAGAAACCTGAAAGTGTGAAAGGACGATAATGGATTTTTGTAGGGTAGAGACACCTGAAATTGTGTAAGGACGGTAATGGATTTTTTTAGGGTAAAGACACCTGAAAGTGCGTAAGGAGGGTAATGGATTCTAGTAGGGTAGAGACACCTGAAAGTGTGTAAGGACGGTAATGGATTTTATAGGGTAGAGACACCTGAAAGTGTGTAAGGACGGTAATGGATTTTATAGGGTAGAGACACCTGAAAGCGTGTAAGGACGGTAATGGATTTTTATAGGGTAGAGACACCTGAAAGTGTGTAAGGACGGTAATGGATTTTTATAGGGTAGAGGCCCCTGAAAGTGTGTAAGGACGGTAATGGATTTTTATAGGGTAGAGACACCTGAAAGTGTGTAAGGACGGTAATGGAGTTTATTATTATTCATGATTTTGTGCTTCACTATGTCTCACTGATTTATTATACAAACCTGGATGGACGCATGTCATCTGAGCATTTGTCGATATCGCTTGGCAATCCTTCCGGTGATATAAGCGAAATGTTCTTGAAATGAAGATGTGGACTAAAATATAAAATATGACATATTATTTGCTAGCTAAGACTATTTATGTGATTTTATTGTATGGCTAGCGTCACTTCCTGTAAATGGTGGGCTTTGATTGGTGCAGAAACATTTTTCCGGTCCATTATTTTTCCGTGTTGGACTACAGTCCTATAAATACGCGTATTTCTTGACAAAAAATATTGACAAAACGTAACCAAATTTTCTAAAGCAAAAAGCAAAACATAAAAAAAACGAAACAAAAAACCATATGGGACTGTGACTCGAACGAAAAATTCTCGGAAACTGAGCTTAATCATCCTGACGACACAAGTTCAAACGATTTGCTTTCACTGACGAAAGCTAAAAGAAGTGAAAGCAAACCCGTAAAAAAAAGCGAGGGAAAAAAATATAAGACCTCGTACTTTAGTGCAGAAAAGAATTTTTCGAAAGGTTTCGAAAGTAGTCCAAGGCCAAAGGACGCTTTTGAGGCTGAGTGAACATATTATTAAAGTACGGATCGACATAAACGGTAAATAAAGTTTTTTTTCAATATTTTTATAATGAAAAAATTTGCGCTTTAAAAGGGCCGATGTGCCGCTCGTTCGTACTGAAATTGGATTGTTTTCAACAAACTGCACTTCGTCTGAATGGTAAAATTCACTATCCTTTGAATACACTTTGCTTTCTCTATGAAAATTTGAATCGCTTTCTAAAATTCAAATCACATTTGATAATTTGCATTTCACTTTGTACACAAACACATTGCAAAAAATATCAGTTTTGGACCGCAGGGAAGATATCGTAAAAGGCTGCCCGCTGCTGCAGACATTCAGGGGCCGGTTGCAAGAAGCCTGCCTGGATGGCGATGTCCATTGGATAGAAAAAATTTCAAAATTGTAAAGACTTATATCTTAGAAGCCATATTGCATTCCAGTGATTGCTCAGTTTAAATCATATATTTTTCCCTTTCATGAAGTTTTTAAACGTATGAAAAAATTGTTATCCAGTGGATAGCGCTATTCGACCTTCGTGCTACCGCCCTCAGAATTACATGCAATGCACATGTCACACACGTGACGGAGAATTGCCCTTCAACAATCAACACATTTCCACCAAGATACAAACCAGAAGCAAAATTTTTCCAGAAATGAAAGTCCAACATCCGATGCACCAACGACAACAATCCTCGCATTGATTATAACCTAGAAAGACAAAAACTACAAACGTACTACTTCGATATCACAACTAAACAATTGTGTTTCAATGAATATACCTTCGGCTCTAAAGTTAACTTTCTGTTCAAATGGTATATCGCAAAAGGTTCCTAATAGGTGAATAATTGCGTAAAAGAAAAAAAATCTCGAGAACCGACGTTGAAAATAAGAAACATCAAATATTTTAATCGCACCTGTTTCATGAGAACATTCTTAAACGGTGCATTCTTTCCAAGAACTTCTTCATCATAGATGATTTGACGCCGACCTCTGAAAAGATTATAATCAACTTCAAAACTGGAGTTGGAGGCTTTTGCACCTTCATCAACTTTTCCAAGAAGATCAGAGGATACTATTTAAGGGAAAAGTTAACCACTCCTGCTTTGTTGGTATACAACGAGAATGACGCCAATAATCTAAAAAATAACTCACAGACGCTTTTCCCACCAATCTATGATAAACTAATTTCTTCATCAGTGGCAAACTTATTTTTTCATGAATGGTAAATTTATTTCTTCATCGATGAAAGAGAAAAGTAAAATACTTCAAATAAATCAATCAGGGAAATAGAAATGCTGCATTGGAATAGTTATGAGTTGAATTTGAAAACCCACCCACTGAGTGTGATAATGCTTTGAGAATACAGGCAGAAGTTTTCGACTCAAACCAGCGAAATCCTAACTATATAAATTATGAGAAATAAAATGGAGATCTACCTGCATTGGGACTTATCTCACTCAACGATTGATGCTCCTCCATGATTATTCCCAATGGAATTCAATCCCTTTTTTATTTATACATCTAATACAAAAACATTCTTTTCCTTGGAATTCATCGCCACCGGCTTCCTTTCCCACTAACATCTATCCCCACTAACATCTATCCCCACTAACATCTTTTGCATTGGGATCTATCCCCACTAACATCCTTTCCCAATGGGATCTCTCCCCCACTAACATCCTTCCCCACTGAGATGTAACCCCACTAACGTCCTCTCCAACAAACATCTATCTTCACTAACATCCTTTCCAAATGGAATCTATTCTGCATGTTGTCTACTTTACTTACATGTATTCACGTTAGGATTCATTCCTGCTGGGTTCAAACCTTCGTTAGACTATTCATTAACACTTTAATAACACATAGAAACCAGCATAGCTACACCACTTACCTTACAGGAACAAGATGACTGAGACATGAAATCATGGTGTATTCCTTGGTACCCTGAATATATCCAAATAGCTACATTTAACTTGATCTTCACTTATCACTTGAAAAATACCTTTCTTACCGTTCTTTCCGGTCCTATGCTCTCAGGATAAAGACAATAATACAAACAGGACTTGCGTGAAAGACGCAGGGTCTCCTGAAAGAGAAGCATTACCTTTTAAAGCAACCAAATACAAACTTAATTTAATAATAAACGCGAGGTACCTTTAGGAAATGCCGAGTGTAATGTTGAAACACAGGATTGATTTTAAAATGAAAAAGACGACCATGTTCTTCGCGTTGATGGTAGTTATAGTAAATGAAATCTTCAATAGCGAAATGCGCTCGTATGAACTCAATCTTCTAAATTCACAAGATTTAATTGTTGAAGATATATCAAGGGTTTTGCAGAATAGCTAAATCACAACTTGGAAAAAGCTAATAGTTTCTACGAGGTATAAAAAAAGTATCCTTTTGGAAAAAGTTCTCACAAATAAGACGCGCGTGGAGCAGCAGAGTCCATAATTTGACTCGGAATAATCAATTTGTTTTTTGAATGACTTTTAGCTCAAGTTCCTCAAGGGAAATTAAAAGATGAAAAAGAAAAAAAAGGAATGTTATATTGAGCTCTGATGAAAGTTTTAATTACCTTATAATCAATGTCATAATAAACAAATTAACAACGCCATGAACTAATTTTTTCGGAAGTTATTATTTAAGAAATATAAGATGTTCACTGTGTATGCACATGCTTATGCAAACCAAGGAGACTTTTGGGAGAACTCGAGAGCAGATCAGTGCAAGCCCGAGACCAAAGATCGAGGCTTGCAAGGGCTCGAGAGTTGTCACAAACGTCTCCGAGGTTTGCATAAGCCAGTTCAAACACGAAAAACATCTTTTATTTCATTTATCAAATAACAATAATGCAAAAAAGACAAACATTTTAATTTTTCCTCTAAAATGTATTCATGATCGATTTGCAAACTCTCTTTCACTGATTGATTGTTTTGATTGATTTGATTGGTTGAGCTCAGATGTGCTTTGCACTAGCAAATGCAAACTCAGCTCTAGACCAATCGGCGCACGCGTTTCATTGTGTTTATTTTATAATTATTTGTACAGCTCCTATATTTTCCTCTGGCACGGTCCAATACGCGTAACTATGCAATTAAATGTAAACAAACTTCGTAAAGCAATCAGAAAAACGAAAAAAAAACAGTAACCATATACGAATGCAAGTCGAAGGAAAAATAGCTACTCGGAAAACGGTTTAATTATGCAGAAGAAACAATTTTAAAAAATTTATTTTTAATTGACGAAAACTAGAGAAGTGAAAGCCAACCTGCACAAAAGAACAAGCACGACAAAAGAAAGAAAGCTTCATATAATAAACATTTCATTAACCTCGCCTTTATGGTCTTTACTGCAAAATAATCGGACTTCTGTCGTTTTGTATAAAGCTCATCCTACGGGCTCAGTCTGAACAAAAAAAATTCGGTCCGATATTTTTCCTTAAAGACCTCGAGCTTGGTTAATAAGGGCTTTTTAAGCTCGTTAGGCAAGAACACGTGTCAGAATTCTAACGAGAAATAAAGTGACGTTAAGCTGTGTGTAAAAGTCGACTAAAATTTCAATTATTTTCTGCCTGGAAACAAATGTGCGTATAACAGCAACTGCAAACTCAAAGCGACTTCCAATATTTACCTCTTCTTGACGAATTACGGTGACTCCAATCAATAGCCCAAGGCATTCAGCTACAAAAACTTGAAGTTCTTGCCCATCCTATGAAGAATGAGATCGTTTACACAATGATGTCGGATTAGACTGCATACAGCTTTTATAGCTAATCTTAGAAAGAATATTACTGCCCAGTGAAGAATGCGTGCCACGAAAAGACGTTAAAAAAACAAACTAAAAATTTAATAATACGAAAAATTTTATCCAGAGATTTCGATTTCCGCAAGTTAAATAGATTGCAAATCTTCTATTGAAAGTTTACTGTTCTTCTTTTTGTTGTGCAAACATTATAGGAAAAAAAAATTACTACCTCATCTCTGTGAGATATATTGTACTGCTTCACGTCTCTAAAACAATTAAAAAGTATATTGAAAGTGGTCAGCATCTTAAAAACATGAAGTTTGAAGGTATACTACATTCGATAAAAAAAGATCGAAAATACTCAATTTCAAGATTCTTCTCAAATCAAATTTCAATGGTGTAACCTCATAAGAAGGGAGGAGCCAGACAGTTCATCTACTAGATTCTCAATTGCCATGACATCATTTGTCACAGCTGGTCTCACTTTGATTGATCTAAAAAAAAAGGGTAGTAGCTATTAAAGAAACAAACAACAAAACTCGGTCTCTCAGCATTAAAATTAAAACGAAGACATCTGGAAAGACATCTTCCCAAGAGAACTCAAAACATCTAGAATGATATCCTTCCCAATGAACTCAGACGTCTGAAATGATATCTTCCCCAGTGAACTCAAGACACCTGGAATGACATCCTCCGAGTGAATTTGAGACATCTGGAATGACATCTTCTCAGTGAACTCAAGACACCTGGAATGACATCCTCCGAGTGAATTTGAGACACCTGGAATGACATCTTCTCAGTGAACTCAAGACACCTGGAATGACATCCTCCGAGTGAATTTGAGACATCTGGAATGACATCTTCTCAGTGAACTCGAGACACCTGGAATGACATCCTCCCAGTGAACTTAAGACACCTGGAATGACATCTTCCCAGTGAGCTCGAGACACCTGGAATGACATCTTCCCAGTGAGCTCGAGACACCTGGAATGACATCTTCCCAGTGAACTCGAGACACCTGGAATGACATCTTCCAGGGAAATTGAGACACCTGGAATGACATCTTCCAGGGAAATTGAGACACCTGGAATGACATCTTTCCAGTGAACTCAACACACCTGTTCCCAAGACCCCAACTAACCCCGTTCTGCCAAGAAAATTTAACTAACACCGTTCTCTGCTGGCAAAAGTTAACCAATAACTTTTCTAACTTTATCTCGTATTTTAGTTGTAAAACAGTTGATTTTAGAACTAAAAGGTAATTTTGGTCATTTTTATTTTCAAAACAATTTTTAGATTTGTCAACCGGCACGACAAAGTCTCTATTTTACCACCTTAAATAACTCCAATTGTAAATACCGATTTAATCCCCAGCGATGGAAGACATAGAGCTCTTGTGATATTGTTGCACGAACTTTGGGAGAAATTCGCTAGAAAAAAAATTTATTCAATAAGTTACAAAAGTACGCAGGATAATTACGAAATCATTTACATTACCGTAAATTCCTGAATCAGTGGAAATTCATTTACAATATGAGGCATCGTGATCACGCAGTAATCTTTGTCCTAAAAAAAAATTTGAATGTTTAGAAAATTAAGGCAACAGTCAACCAAATAAAGGTACGTGTACACATGCACAGCGATGTGTCTGGCGACATAGACGCCATATTACGTTATTACGTACTTTAAAGCAAACATAAGCCAAATTAGGGAATTTCAGGGCATCGAAAGGACAATAAAAATGTGGGGAGGAGGAATTTTTTTTGTATCAAATATACAGTGCAAAATTGTGTTGATTGAAAATAGATGACACAATATGTTTAAAATTGTCTTTAAAAAAGTAAATACCATGGTGAATGGTCAAGTATTAACGTAATAGTTCTTAAAAGAACTGTTTAAGCCAGAACACTAAACTAGCAATTCTAAAAGAATTTTTTTTAAAACTAAAAGACATTATGCATTTCGGCTGACTACTCCTCAGGTGTCAAAGTCTGCTAAATGAGAGCTTCAGATTCATGTGATATTTATAATACTATCATAAGTCAAAAAGATTACGTGTTTCATTTATCTCTGTTTTAAGCGTCATCTCTCAAAGTAGAGATGACGTTGACTTTTGGTAATATTATAAATATCGCATAAGTCTTAGCAGACTTTGACACCTGAGGAGTAGTCTGCTGAAATGCATAATGTCTTTTATCTTTAAAAACAGTTCTTTTAGAATTGCTAGTCTAGTGTTCTGGCTTAAGCAGTTCTTTTAAGAACTATTACGTCAGTATTTGACCATTCACCTTAGTATTTGATCTGGGACGTATCCAGTGAACTCTATTATAACTGAAACGTTTGCTTCGCCGCAATCTATGAACCCAAAATGATCGCCGCCATTGAAGGTAGGGAGGTAAAATGCATCCCTTTGAAATTGCCGGAATTTTTGTACAAAACAGTTCTCTTTGAGCAATATTAATGGCTAGAAATCTTAAACAGTGTTTGGGCTTTATAAAACAAGTTTTAAAGACATCTGTACATGGTAAGGCAGCTTTTTAGAAGGAGCAAAAGCGAACTTTGCTTTGACACGTTAAAATATTCCCCATAACTTGAATACAAAACATACACCCCTCGTTGTTTTTTTTTTTCAAGAATGTAGAGTACATTGGTCTACCCAGATAAGATGATTTGAATCCTTAAAAAAGAAGCTGCCATGGCAAAAACGCACTTTTTCGGTAAATTTTCTGTTTCACAAGCAAAATTGGCTTTCCCAAGCGCAATACTACCGTTGTTGATACATTTAAACCGTTTAAAAGACTAAGACATTGTGCACAACAGACACTAAATTCAACTGAAACATTCAAATGAATGTAGTATGCAAATAAAATACCTTTTCAGCATTTAAATCCATCAAATAGTCGCCCCAGAGTCCAGACAAATACAAGCAAAAGTGAATGTAAATATCAATGAATTATTGAAGAAATTGTGCCACTTCTCATTTGTGACCAGTATATAGTCGTATGTCACTCGTATGTATTCTTATGTCAGTCGTATGTACTCGCATGTCAGTCGTATGTGCTTGTATGTACTCGTATGTCACTCGTATGTACTCGTATATACTCGTATGTACTCGTGTGGTGTCTTAGTCACGATCGGTCATTATAGCATTATTTGTCATGCGGTACTCCAGGTAGCTATTTATTTATAAGCATGAACTTGTTGATAAAATGCAACATAAATTTAGATGCATTTGAATAGTCCACCAGTTTTTCAGAAGTGAAAGAAGTCATGACAGAAACCAACATTTGTTCAACAATTGAATTCAAATCTCAGATCAACACATTCATACATTACAAAACGAACATGCAAAATTCTTAAAACGCAATTTTAACTTTAAAAGCAATTAAATTGTTATGAAATATGTTATATTCAGTGGATCGTGTGTATTTTGCACAGCATTTAAAGATACAAACTACCTGCTATCAGTTTTATCTTAAAATTTCGGGTTTTCGACGATAAATGACAAATTGTTTGTGGATGTAGATCGTCCAGGTTAGTACCTGAGAAGGAATGTTGATGTTAATGTTGACTGACGTTTCGACATCCTTAGCGGTAGTCATCTTCAGAGTCAAATGAGGAGTAAACGTCAGGTTAGCCGTATTCGTTATCTGGTTCTTACCTCATCGTATTGTATGTACAGGAAATGTGTGAGTGTCAATTGTGTATTGTCATCGTGAATTATTCTAAAGTAATGTGTTTTAGTTGTTCATTTGTTTGTATTATGAATAAGTAATTTGTAAGGTGCTGGTAATTGTTATGGTCTGTTCAGTTGGTTTTGTTCTAAGGGCCCCGTCCATACGTGTCCTGATTCGATTGTATTCGCAAACATTTTGTTGCGGTTAAGCTTATCGTCCACACATGTCAAGCAAAAACGCATAAGTAGCCGCAAACTTTTGAAAACGCATCGAATCCAGACGTGTGTGGACGAACTGTAATCGGAATGATTTAAGAACGCTGACGTAAATCGATCAAATATAATATCTACACAAGCATCACTATTCTTAACCTCAAAAGCAAGTGATTCTGTCGATTTTAACTGCGCTATTTTCAAGCATTGTGGCGTCAGGAGATTAAGGAAAGAGAGCGAGCACTTTTGATATGGATACTTTCAATGCCAATTGTCAGAAATGTGTCCTTGATACGACGAACTAAAATACTCCAAGCACAACCTTGAAGATTTTGTGTTAGACTTCGACGCACAAGCGTTTGTTGGGATAGATTTTTTAAGTCAAACAGTTGTTCCAGAAGAGTGGAGGGAAAGTTTTCGAATGAATCGAGTCTCTTTGTCATTTCATCATCTGTCCACACTAAAGCTTCATTCCTACTTTTTTTTTCTTTGATGACGCCGAAGCAGTAGTAATTGTCGCACATATTGACGTTTTATCGACAAATATAAACAATCACATGTGTTTTATTCCTTCTTAGGGCAACTAGTCAAAAAAATTACCTGTTCATTATTCGTAAAAGCGCATGCTCTGTAAGCTATAATTGGGTACTTGTATTGTTTTCATAGCTACGTGTGGACGCACAAAAACGCATCAAATTCGCATACGTGCGGACGCATAAAGTTTTGAATCCGGAACAAGACTAACGTAAAACTAACGTAAGACTAACGTAAGACTAACGTAAGACTAACGTAAGACTAACGTAAGACTAACGTAAGACAAACGTAAGACTAACGTAAGACTAACATAAGACTAACGTAAGACTAACGTAAGACTAACGTAAGACAAACGTAAGACTAACGTAAGACTAACGTAAGACAAACGTAAGACTAACGTAAGACTAACGTAAGACTAACGTAAGACTAACGTAAGACTAACGTAAGACAAACGTAAGACTAACGTAAGACTAACGTAAGACTAACGTAAGACTAACGTAAGACTAACGTAAGACAAACGTAAGACTAACGTAAGACTAACGTAAGACTAACGTAAGACTAACGTAAGACTAACGTAAGACAAACGTAAGACTAACGTAAGACTAACGTAAGCCGTTGTCTATAGTTAATGCTGTAAGTAATGCATTTTGCCGAGTTCTAGTAAAAGTTGTGTTTTGTCAGTAAGTGATATTCGACAATGTGATTGGTTTTCACTTTAAATGACAAATTCATATTTCAAAGCAAATGATCACTTTATATTTTATGTAACATAGCAATACATATAAAAAACATGTCTTGGTACGTTAAAAATGTATCTTAACGCATTGATAACCCAATTTTACCCAAGGCATTGAAAAAAAAATTTTAGAATTGCTTTCCACTTGCAAGCAAGCGGTTATTGCAAGCCATTCCTTCAGGAAATAAAACAGTCCAGGCGAGATACACGCGAAGCGACAAATCAGCTTCAAATTGGCTTCAGGCAAGTCAAGGCATGTTTGCATACAGAGTCAGCCTTCCAGTTGTATTAGAGTTCACTGGACTTTCCTCATATTACGTGGGTTTTTTTTTTGGATGTATCATGACAAAAATTTTTCCATGAAGAAAATACAATAAAAAATACATACTTACAGGAAAGAGCTTGAATGCGGCAGGAAGAAAATCCATGGACCTGGTAAACAGAATTTAAGTAAATCTCTATATGAAAGTGAAAAGTCTCAATCTATTTTTAAGTGAAAAATCTCAATCACTGCAATCAGCGAAATTTACAGGCTATATGAGCAAACAATCTTAATCACTGCAGTCACTTAGAGTCAGCGGGTATTCCAGTAAACAACTGTCACCAATTTCAATCAAAGTTAGCACGGTAAGTAGAGTCTCTAACTTGGCAATCAATCAGACGCAGCGGTTGTACAGAAGCTAACCATCTCTATCTACGGACAGATCCAAGATAGTGTTGTGGAGGAGATGGAATAAGACTTTCATAAATACTTATTGCCGTAGCATGACATAATGCTTCATAAAACACTAATGACAATGGCTTATGCTTAATTATTAGGTAAAGTAGTATTTCGACGGGAAACTGGCACCCCCCTTGGCATCATGGAAGTTATGCGAAAATAGTTTGCTTGATCAGCAAGAGAAAGAAAAAATGATGAGATTCATTGAAATGTAATATTAACTGGAACGCTAACAACGGGGCCGCCCATCTTTGATGCCAAAAATAAACCTTGGTTTTTCCTAGTTTTTAGAAGTTACATGATATTGTTTCAGAAAATGAACCACAATGTACATAACATTCAGTAGCCAAAATTGCCATGAAGAGTTTTACAACATAGGATTTGGTAATAACCTAAAAACTCACTTATAAATATATAATAACCTGCTTCAAAATGGTGTATACAACTAGCATTAGAGTATACAAACAGCAATTTTGTCATTCCATAATGATAGCAAGACAATGAGCTGAATATGTAACTGGAAGCCTTGCATGGAAATATTGGGACTAGTTTAATTGCTGGCTTTAAATTTTGGCGGAAAGTAGCCTTCCAGTTATGGTTAGTTCGACGTGGCAAGTTCGTGTGACGAGACTTGGTAATTTAAATTACTTTCAGTTATTTTTGGCTATTTTTTGGTATGTTTTGGTAATTTAAAATTTTAGTAATTAATTTAGTAATTTTAGAAGTTTTAATATTTCAGTAATTTTTGACTTTTGAGAATGAGATTTACTTTTAAGCTTTCGTAAATTTTTAACGTTGACGACTTTGAAGTTTTAGTGTTAAGGTTTTAATGGGTAAAAGTGGCAAGCTTTAGCAGTCTTGCCTTGTATAAATAATAGTCACAAAATGTTTTAGTATGAAAGCGCAGAAGGGCCATTTTAAAGTTGTGTAAGCACAATCAAAGATAGCAAAGATTATCTCAATATTGGGTTGGACTGGATCACTGACAGGACGTTTATAAAAGTTTAGCAGTTTTAGGGAAGGCGTTCATAAACACGAGGTGTGTATTAGAGAGGCATTTACGGTTTATGTCATCTCTATTACTTTATAATGAGCAAATTAAAACAAAACTAATATGAGTTTCGTTTTGAGCAATATGGAAAACCCACTATAATAATGACAATATTATAGTAGGTGGGTTGGAGGAGGGGGCGTCTTCTAGACACAGACCATTTTTGGTTTATAGCAGATAGTGATGTCATTGGAATTCTTGCTCTCAAGTTTAAATGGAGCGTTCATTATATACGTATTTTTCAAAAATTAATAACTTTTTTACCCCCTATTGTCTTATATTCACAGTCAGTGTCAAAAGGCTGGGAACGACTTTAAAACGGCCCACTCCGATGGAAGGTTACTTCCCGTGCCTTATGTCTATCATTTGGTAATTTTTAGTTGATTTTGGTAATTTTTCGAGCTTGGCCTAGTAATTTCCTTTCATAAAGACTGGTTACACTGCAGTGGTCTTTCACATATTTATGTTCACACGCATACAATTTAGTGGTGATTACAGACTAAAATCAAGTATGAATTTTTCAAACCTTGCCTCGTACTTCTCATCAATACAAAACAGCTCAATACAAAACACACTTGGCCAATCTATTGATTGAAAAAAAGAGATACTTGTATCTTTACAAAGAAAACTGTTATAGAAGCCATATAGTAGACATCACCTAAGTCAACTGCTTTGAGATCATTGAACGGTGCAAGATGAAAATATTCCGTTAAAAACTGTACATTCACGTTGGTACTTATGCTCATGAAGCCAACAGCGACATTATTTACCTATAAATATTTAAGGATGAGACTTAATGAGCCCAACACGAAAACACGACCGACTAGGCAGCCATCTGCTTCCCAATCCCGAAGATGGCCCATGAATGCCCCACTTTACACTTAAATAGTTAAGTTTGATAAAAATATTTCGTACAATAAAAGTTTATTTGATTCAAAAGTTTTACTATTTAAAATGGCAGTACATTTTCTAAAACAGTTTATTCATATCTCTTTTCATTCTCAAGATATTGAAGTTTTTTTAATGTCTGATTCACACAACTTTTGATGTCATTTTGCATAATGAGTTGCTGCAAAATTTCGAGACCCTTTAGTTTCAAAGCAACTATTGTTTTAAATGATCAGGCAATTGTTTATACATTAACTTTTCACAATGAAGGGAACTCTGCTGGGTTGAAGTAACATGTAAACAAATGTACCTGCTATTTCAAATTCTCATCATGCATTGTGGCGTTTACATCACATTACATGAAAAGTGATATAAAGAAACTGTTTAGAGGATACAATGTCATCTCCAAAGTTATGTTAAATGAAAATATAATATAAATAGCACAATTTTCGAGTCGTATGCCATTCAAAAATAAATAACCGATGCCATGCTAAGAAATATAAAATGTCATTATTCTTACGTCAGCGACAAGACATTTATTATCTTCATCTTCAGCTTCAATGAGATCATTCAGAAAAAAATCACCTGAAAATTAAGAAATTAAGAGTGAAATGCAGTTTCGGCAAGTGGTTTTTATAAAGGCAGAAGAAGAAGAAGAAGAAAAAGAAAAAGAAGAAAAAAAAGAAAACAAAAAAGACAAAGTATTGAAAAACAGGTCATGAAACGAGAAAGTTCTCCCTCGTTGATGGACAAATGAGATTGCCAATAACTAGTGGGAATGCAGCAACTTCTTTGTTGCATTCAGTCAGTGTGTAAGAGCAAGCTTTCAGAGAGCGGATAATGCGCTAAAACCTTATTTCAAAAACAATAACCATTACTGAAGTTGTCGTCAAGATATCTTATTAAAAATAGAAAAAAAAACGCGTGGAAAATACAGAGAAAGATTTATGAAAAAGAAAAACGAGATTTCAGAAATGAGACAACATAAAGCGAAATAAACTATATAATATATCTATCAAGACATTCGTGTTGAAAGTTATATCTCCTGTTGTCTCCAATATCGGCTTTAAATAGCTAGTTTATCGCTAAAAAACTGGAGCAAAAAGAAATATAAGACCTAGACGTTTTGCTCTGATGACGTAACAAGTAAGAAAAGATGTAAGCACGTGTTTACTTACCGTAAGAATTTATTAAAGTTTCACTTTGTTCATCGAATATTGGCATCAAATCATCGTGATCTTCGACACTAATGTAAAGTATATTAGCTAAGTAAGTTTTGTTCACGTATATAATCTACAACTCTACACACGACTGACACGATTCAATTTCATTGATAAACAATCGATATTATACATGAGTAAGCTCCCTAGACAAAAAATAGGTATATCGATCAATGGAGTATTTACACTGTCCATCATTTTCTTAAAAAATCCGTAGAGTAAAAAGAATTAGTTAATATTACTTTCATCATCTGTTCATAATCAGACATTAGAAGTAATCTACAAGCATGGCTCCCTTGACGTCACAATGAAACAAAAACGCACCTTCCCCTTAATAAATATTTCATACTCAATAAATCGATCAGTCCCTTTATCAACAAATGAATTTTTTCGTATTCAGTTCAGGGTCAATACTCATTTGACAGGAAGGGTGCAGAGTTTCAAAGGGGGGTGTATAGTTATCAAGGCCGCAAATTTGCAAGAGCCCGGGGCCACTGTAGATTTCAAGCTTACACATGAGTGAACCGTAATGAAAGTGTTATGAGCTTTATGAAAAAATTGGGTTTTTTTGTTAATGAATGCCGTTAACTAATTTATTTTGATTGTAATGTTTCAATGAAAACGCACATGGTAATGCTCAATTGCAAATGATGGTAGCATAAAATATGTAATTACCTTTGAAACAAGGAAGTCTACTTTTACATAGTCTTACTATACATTTTCCTAGCCTATAATATTGTTATATTATTCGTCTACAGAGCGTAATACCATCAAAGAATTTTTTATGGGGTGGGGGTTCGCACTCAGGGTTCGTAACCAGAAATTTACACAACAAAAAATCAGCCCCTGATTTAGTTGTATTACCTAGCTGGTCTCATGTGTAATTTTGGAGCGTGTTCAAAACGTTTCGCAACATGAAATTCGCCAATAGGTCGCCCTTTCTTCACATCATCGTTAAAATGAACTTCATGAAACAGACTCAGCAATACTCGTTCTATAAAACAAATTACACTATAATATATGAGTGTACAACACTTCAACGAATGAAGTAGCAGAAAAAAGAAACAGAAGACAGTACTTCCATCTGAGAAAAAAGAAACAGAAGACAGTACGTTTCAAGTTGATATATACAGTTCAAAACTAAGCATCAAGTACTTTCTGCATTTAATTTGGAAAAGATGTAAATTCTCATACAAAATTAAATACAATGGTTTTTCTACCTGAAAAGTCTTTCACTGGAATATTTGTCTAAATATAATTCATACAAGAAGGATTGCAAAAATCGATGCCGAAATTTTAGTTTATTCCAACTTTTTCCTGTAGTGAAATTGCACGGATCTTTCGAAAATTGCAGCAGATATTACATCAAAAAGAGTAAGAAGAAAAACTGAAGACAACCTGCCACTTTATCTGAGTGAGCAGAAAATGAGATGTTTGAGGGAAGAAACTCTTCTGTTAAATGATCTGAAGATGACTACCGCTAAGGTTGTCTAAATGTCAGTTAACAGCAACAAAAACAGTCCTACTCAGGACTATACCAACCTGGACGATATACATTTACAAACATGTAACGATACTCCCGGGTTCAAACCATTTACTTAATTTTATTTTTGTCTATATACATACAAATTTAAAAAAATCAAGAACCAAGGAGTCGTTGTCTCCACATCCCTTTACTTTCCTGAAACATGCAAGACATAATGTACTACGAACTTAAAGACTTCTTTTCAATAACTATATAAAGTTTGGTTATAGAGGACAGTAAGCCCATGGCGTAGCCATCGTTTAATTTTTTGTCAGGTTATAAGAAACATTTTGCTCCATTCAATTCTCATTATTTATTTCTTTAGAAATCTTTTATTGTTAGTGAGTGAACAAAGAAAATTTTACATACCAGAAATAAAAAATAGGCTGCCTACGCTACTTAAGACATTAAACTAAATATATAACTGGAAGGCTACCTTAATATAAACATGCCTGTACTAGTATGAGGCCGAATTCTACCCCAGACACGCGTGTTGGGGATCATATCTCGCATTCTAGCTTATCGTTGTAAATGAACTTTATTGGGCCGGGCGTGGAAAGACTGGGACTAAATGAATTGCTGGCTTCAAACTTTGGCGGGCAGTAGTCATCCAGTTATAATGCTATAATCAGTTCAGTGAGTTAAAATGATATGAGTTAACGAAGACCATTGAACTAAAATACATGGAACGCTAACTGAAGCAAATAAAGGAAGCTAAATCTTACACCCAGACACGCGTGCGTGTAGTGTTTCGAGATTCTCTCTCGCGGAGTGAAATATGATTGACTACACACGCGTGTCTGGGTGTAATCTCGGGTGTCTGGGTGTAAAATTTGGCTTTAAAAATTTACTAGACTTTTCTATTACAGGCACAGAATAGACATCTGACAGAAGGCCCACTTGATTAAAATCGTGGCGTATTTTTTCACTACGCATGCGTGACTTCCCAGCAAAAGACTTTCACAAAATCAATATGGAATAGTACTACACGAGAATGTTATTTTACTAATAATTAGCAAAACTTTGCCGAAATTTTTACAAAGAATTATTATCTTGGGAAGACGATAAGGTTCCAAGCTTTTGTATTGCAAAACGATATATTTGTAAAAAAAACTATATTTTCTATTTCGATCTAGCGGAAGTATTTTGCTGGAAGGCGTGTCTTTGTTAGAATTTGCTTCAGAAAAGAGGAGGACCCGAACATCAAAGGTTCCGATACGAGTGGGTCTTCTGTTAAGATCTCTATTCTGTGTTACAGGTAGCGTTCCATGTGTTAATATATCTAGTCTGTGTTACAGGTAGGGTTCCATGTGTTAAGATATCTATTCTGTGTTACAGGTAGCGTTCCATGTGTTAAGATATCTATTCTGTGTTACAGGTAGCGTTCCATGTGTTAAGATATCTATTCTGTGTTACAGGTAGCGTTCCATGTATTAAGATATCTATTCTGTGTTACAGGTAGCGTTCCATGTGTTAAGATATCTATTCTGTGTTACAGGTAGCGTTCCATGTGTTAATATATCTATTCTGTGTTACAGGTAGCGTTCCATGTGTTAAGATATCTATTCTGTGTTACAGGTAGCGTTCCATGTATTAAGATATCTATTCTGTGTTACAGGTAGCATTCCATGTGTTAAGATATCTATTCTGTGTTACAGGTAGCGTTCCATGTGTTAAGATATCTATTCTGTGTTACAGGTAGCGTTCCATGTGTTAAGATATCTATTCTGTGTTACAGGTAGCGTTCCATGTGTTAAGATATCTATTCTGTGTTACAGGTAGCGTTCCATGTGTTAAGATATCTATTCTGTGTTACAGGTAGCGTTCCATGTATTTTAGTTTAACGACGAAGACGGAAGACACAAAATTTTTAATCATGAAAATGCTTCCATACCTTTGTTTTTGTCAGCTGGTGGAATAACTAGGAAGATATATTCAATGTAAGGTGCTGTATTGAACACGGTTCTATAAATTAAACATTTAGTACACAACTACAAGGTTTATCATATTTCTCATTACATTTATGCTACCCAACCTGAGAATTTCCGATGCACATCCAGAAACATAGTCAGCTTTGGATGCAAAAAAGTTCAAAAACAAGGTGTTAAGAGCCTGGAACATAAAAAACAGCAAGGAATTGGGGTTACATATAGTGTAATGTTTAATATTTAAGAAATAGAAAACATTTTTCGTGTTTCTATGGAGTTGTAAATAATTTAAGAAATTACAGATGTTCTTCGTGTTTGTCAGGCTAATGGTAAGACCATACAAACGTGGGACTCACGCGAGATAGAGCGCGTGACAAACATTGCATATGAATGAAAGAATATATTTGCTATTTAAATCGATTGCATAAAAAGTCTAAAACAGAATTCTGGGCAGCCTATGGGAATACATGCTTTTAATTGACGTTGCTTCCAACTTCATATGCCTATAAATATATTGCCCAAGACAAACAGATTTATTGCTTTATATATGTGTGTTTGAATTTAATTTCTGTTTTCATTTCAGACAATATACAATCAGATATGGTATGACAGTGAAGAACTCACAGTATTCTTAATGAGTGCCATCCTGTCATTGGCAGAGAATGCCATGAATGTTTGAGAATGGAAAAGATAATTACATAATAAAACAATAAAATGTGTGAGTCTATAGCTGTGTATGCATGCATTAGCCTGTGCAAACTGATCTGAGCTCAATTAATTAAATCAAGAGAATTTGCAAATGAATCATGAATTTATTATAGAAGAAAAATTGAAATGATTTTTTCAAATTTGTTTGTTTCACATCATTGTGATTTTATAAATGTCACTAAGACCTTTTTCGTGATTCCACTAGTTTATGCAAACCTCAAAGATGCTTGTGAGAACTCTCGAGCGAGCAGGTGCAAACCTTGACCTTCAGGTCTCAGCATTGCACTGATATTGGGTTTTGCACTGATCTGCTCTTGAGTTCTTCCAAAGGTCTCCTTGGTAGAGAAAGCAAATATTACAGTATTTAATAATCAAACATCACTGTCAAATGCAGGAATGAGTTTCGAGAGGAGGGATGTGGAGAGGTGCTTCTAGCCTAGGATGAAGCGGGTACAGAAGTGTCACCAATTTCCTACAAATTAACTGACATCACAAACCATCAAACACAGGAAATTGTCCTTCATGCTTGACAGAGCACACTTTTGAAATCTCACAATCTTTATAAAAAGATTTTAACGGAATTTAACAAAAAAGATTTGACATGCTGAGGCAACAGGTAGCACCAAAATTTAATCCAAACTAGAGCACCTTTCCCCTAAAATAACCATGATTTATCCATCCCGATAAAATGGAAGAGAAAGGATGCCCAGCCTTCTTGGAAAAAAGTTTGCTGAAACTAAGTAGAAGATAAAAGCTGTTGAGATACCCAAGAACATAATACAATTAGCTGGGAAAACTTACAGTTGGGTAAAGTTTATCAACAGTCTTCTGAAGTAAATCTTCCCAGTTAGCTTCGTCAACATTAAAATTGGGATAGTCAAAGAATGCTGCATTTGCAAAAACTTCATCTTCTTGGCTAACTAAAGTCACTGCCAGATTGGCTTTCTCGCTATGAAATTAAAAAATAATGCCACTTTTATAGAGTTCGATGAAGCATGCACGAATAAAAACTACAATACAATAAAATGAATGTAGTCATTTATTGAAAGAAGAACAAACTTACATTACACGGACAATGTCGACCCGTCCAAACAACTCTATCGTTTCTTTATTTATCAACTTCTCAATGGCTGGGGCATCAATAGATTCCGTGCGGCGGCCACTTAGAATAACCTCCTGACTGCTCGCCATGATTTATAGAATGCTATAGTTTGATATACAGTCGTACACAAAATTTCACGAAAATATAATTTCAAAACGCACTTCCATTGCGATAAGTACAAAATATAAAAAAATCTTTGTCACAATTTTGGTTGCTAGGCAACTAATGCTTTTTTCTGACCTTTCATATTTTTCAGTTTAATTGGAGTGGGAACATCGAAAAACTTCTCGTTTTTGGTTTCCATTAGCTCATTTGTTTGGACCAGTTGGTGAACACATCATTGACTAATATCCTTATGTTTACTTTGAGTTTCATTTAATTTTTTTGTTTTATAGAAGGAAAAAGGCATGATTCTGCTATGTTAGCCTCATCAGGGCTACTGCAGGATCTACAATTATATGCCTTTTAAAATGATAAACCCATGTGCTTGTATGGTGATCCAGCCTACCCATTACGTATGCACCTACAAGCACCATAAACAAACAGGCAACTTGCAGTCCACATGCAAGAATTTAACAAATCATTGAGTGCTGTAAAGATATCAGTTGAGTGGATTTTTGGAGACATAATGAACTATTTTAAGTTTCTTGATTTTAAAAAGATCTAAAAATCAGCCTTAGTTGTGTTGGAAAAATGTATATAGTGGCTTCATTGCTTAGAAATGCTTTGACCTGCTTGCACTCAAATACAATCAGTAAATTTTTTCAACATGAACCACCTTTACTTCAAATGTACTTTTACTAAATTTTTAAAAGCTGTTATTTAAAAAAATTTTCAAAAGCTTCATCATGTGATTATAAAGCCTATCAACAATAAATAAATAACTATTTAAAGAAAACATATTGTGTACAAGTTAGAGACATTGTTATCTCATTTCTCAACCAATTTAGCCAAAAGGGAAATCAAAGCTTGCCCTTGTTGTTGTTGTTGTTGTACCAAAAGCAATTGATTTTGTTGCATTTGTTGGTTCTGCTGTCTTTGCAATTCCATAAAACTCTCAAATTGCTTGTTTTGCTTTTCCATCAGTTGCTCCCTGCTTTCTTTTTCTGCTGCTATTTGTTGCCTTCGCAATTCCAATCCTTCTCTTTCCAAAAGCAAACTTTCTTCTTTTACTTTTCTCTCTTTCTCAGCCTTCTCCTTTAGAAAAACTAAGGTTGAATCCCCCCCTCTTTTTACTTTTTTCTTAACCAGACCCTCGTCATTTTCTTTTCTCTGCTTGGTTTCTACTAGATGCTCCATGGCTCTTTTTCACATTTCTTCTGCAGCTAGTTTCTCAGCATCAGTTTTCTTCCTTTCAGCAGCACAGGCTTCAGCAGCCACAACATCATTTGCCTCCTCTCTAGCATTAATTTCCTCTAGCAAGTCATCCAGCTCATCATGTTCTGGAGAAATTCCACTTGCAGTTCTTTCTTCTCTCTCCTTTTTACGGTACATGGCTATCAATTTCCGCATGGGATCTCTAACTGATCGCTGATTTACTCGAAAGCATAGATGGTCATGAAGTTCCAACTTTCTGGCAATGCTCTCCCACAACTTTCCCCTTCCGATAGATTTCTTCCTTATCTCAAAGATTTGTGACACCAAGTAGTATAGAGACTACCAGTTCTGGCGCACCCCCGGTTTGGGAGGCCGCGTTCATAAATCCGGGCGCCCCAGGGGTCTTTGCGTACATACGTCCGGGTAGCAATGCCCAAATTCTGGCGCACCCCTGGACTGGGAGGCTGCGTACATAAATCCGGGCGACCCACCCCCAGTTCTGGCGCACCTCCCGGAAAGTAGCCCGCATACATAAGTCCGGGACAAAAAATCGCAAAAGATAGAGCAAAGGCCAAACCCAGGGCAAAGGCAGGAGCCAAAAAGACGGGCGGCCCACCCCCAGCGCTCGCGCGGCCGGCCGTCGGGGGTCTATTAGTTAGTACTCGTCGAGCGGGTTCCCCTCGAGGACCCAGTCCAACACGCGGAGGTGGGCATCTACTCGCTCCCTAGCAAGCTCAACTTGCCGTTGCAGTTCCTCGGGAGCAGCCTGGAGGAAGCGGTGAGGCCACCCCCTACATCTCATCAGCTCCTCAACTAGCTTTTCTCGGTGCCCGGGCGACTCGACATGCTTACATAGCCATTCCCCATCCCCGCCGCTGACAGCATCGTTGAATTTCATAGCTCCTGTTTGACATGCCAAACACTCCATACCAGCGACGGCTATTTCATACACACCATTTTATTCAATACTGGTTTTGCCTCGCAAACAACAGGCTGTAATTCAAAGAGATGCTCACCGCAATGATTTATTTATATGATCATAGCTCCTGAAAAACGCTGAGAAAAATCTCCGTAAACAAAAAACTCCATAACATCATTGTGCACGCGGTGAGGCAATATTCGAGCAGTTTCTACGACAACTTGGGTCTGTAGTCCCCGGCGTGGGTGGGTGACGAAAACTGTCATACCAAGATGACACAATCGGGGGGTGTAACACAGTCAATGGCGCACAAAAATTATATTTAGCGTGAATCGCCATCCGCCACTTGACGCTGGATTTTTTTCAGAACGTCCATGCGCCCGAGCTGAATGCCCTCCTCACGCCCGCTCGCACGTGCAGCGTCCAGCTGTGCTTCTATCTCTCGCGTCTGTTCGCGGAGAGCTCTCTTTGTCTGGCTTCAAATGTCGTCTTTCAACGAAGCGAAGCGCTCTTATTCCTCCAAAACTAGCTGGTACTCGCTTTCGCTGCAGTTGCCATCTCGAAGCGTTCCGCTAGTGATCAACGAGATTGTTCCGAGCACGGTCTCTGCGGACGTCCGAATGCGATCGTGCTTTTTAGCTTTATTGTTCAATCTGGGGCTCACGATCCGACCAGCAATAGTGGCCGCGCCGCAAACAGCTGCTAGGCCTTCGAGCGCGATCCCGACAGGACTTAAGACGACGGTACTGAGTACGGCCACGCCAAACTTGTTGTTGACGATTTCAACCTAGAAATGGCCCTCGATTTTGCGCGATTCGCTGCTCTCTTGCCCGTGCTCTTTGCAGCATCCAGGAGCATGCTCTTGAATTTATCCAAACCGCTATTCTTCGCTCGCCCTGTGTTCTTCCGTCGTGTGCCTGCTGTTCTAGGCGCTGCGCGCTTCAACACCCCCGTCTTCCGTCTTGTTGTCGATTTTGACGCTGCGCGTGTTCTTCGAACTGTTCCCGTCGTCTTGCGAGGCTTTCCGGCCCTCGATCTTTTTGCACTGCCCGTCATCCGCTTGCGGGATGGCACATATTCCACCCGGTAGTCGTCAGAGTGGTGAGACATGTTGCCGTTTAGAATACCCGCACCGAAGATACTGTCAACGACGTTGTCTCTGACGTTGTGCGAGCTGAGCGCACCGAGGGCGAAGGACGACACTCCTGCTGAGGCCTTTCTCTTTCGACATCGTGTACATATACTGATCGAGGCACAGAAGGTTCACTCTGATTGACGTGGTGGTGTCGGAGGGGAGCGCAATAGGACTGTCCGTCACTGCCGTGAACTGATAATCGATTGTGAGATTGCCTTACGCTTTTGCGTTGTCTGTGACAGGGTCCAACAAATCCTGTCTGGTGAAGCCGTGAAAGCAACGCTCACAGAAGTGCAACCATCCTTCGATTCCCGGTTGAGAAGGAAGTTCAAGTCCTTGATCCAAGTGTAGTGGTGTTTCTCGGGATTTTTCGAATCCGAGACGAGGAAGAGATTCACAGTCTTGCAAGCTCCCTCTACTTTGCTCAGACGGAAAGGAACGACGCCGATTTCCCAACCGTACACGTTGATTGATTAGATTGATTTGATTGATTAAAGGTTTTTATTATTCATCTTCATACTTACCCGGCCGTTGCGGGTCTTTAGCTGCGGGAAACAGCGCAGATCTTAGAGACCAGCGGAGGCAGTCGTCGCCTTTGTTTTTCACGTTGACGATTTCCTTCCTATTCCTGACGGCGGTGTGGAGAGGAAGGTATGAGCCTCCGCGTAAAGGCTGGTAGTGAGCGATGTCAAGCCAGAGTGCTTTGACACGATCCACTATCCACACAGACCCTTCCCGAGTAAACTTTTCCAATCTCTCCAGGATTGTTCGGAAGGCTTCATGTAGGGCTTGCGGAATTTCATGCGCCTGTAGCAGCGTGATCTGCTTTGTCCGGAACACTGGTGCTTGAAGCACTTGAGTACCATTTGCTTCATCCTTCCGAAGCTCAACCTCTACAGCCAACTGGAACTTAACTCCTCGTAGAGCTAATAGCTCCTCGACGAGTTTGCGTTCGATGTGGGGCTGGGCACTTTTGAGGAAAGCCATCAAGTCGCGTTCGGAGGGGTGTTCCTTCGGCACCTGCATTTTCCAGGATCTCAGATGATAGCTTAAAGCCTTCGTTTCATCCCACTTAATTTCCATGGGTGGTTGGGGAGGAGCCCTTGTGGGACGTCGTGGTTTGCACCTCAATGGCATTTCAGCCAGAAGCTCGTCGATGTATGCGTCCTTTTTATCATCGGTAGACTTGGCGGGCCAGCGCTTGCGTGGTTTTGGGATAGGTGGAGTGACATTCTGGCGCTCTCTTGGCGTGGGTGTTGGGGGATGTCGTGGTTTGCGCCTCAATGGCATTTCAGCAGGAAGCTCATCGATGTACGCGTCCATTTCATCATCGGTAGACTTGGCGGGCCTGCGCTTGCGCGGTTTGGGGGATAGGCGGAGTGGCATTCTGGCGCTTTCTTGGCGTGGGTGTTGGGGCAGCGGGCGGTTGAAGAGCCTCAAGAGAGTCGTTCAGCGCATGTCCGCTGATTACACCTTGGTCATGTAGTTGCAGAAGTTTGTTGACAGTATCCATATCAGTGAATATAACCTATCGTACGCTCTTCTCTAATGGATGTAGCCTAGCATACAATGAAATTCAGTGAATATAACCTACCATACGCCCTTCTTTAAATGGAAATTCCCGGCATCCACCTCGCCGAGGACCAGGCTAAACTGCCTTCGTGCTCGGGCCTCTTTTCTACGAAGGCGAGCTTTTCCGGCTTGCTGGCCACAATCTGCGCATCGTTGCGCCTCTGCCTGCGTGCTGATACCACAACCCCGACATGGGACCGGCACCGGCGAGCCACGCTGGATTTGTTGCAGATGCACTGTTGCAGATCAACCGTCGACTTTCAGAACGCGTGCCTTTGTTTTCATGTATTCCAAATAAGGTATGGCACGTTCGATTAAGGCCCGTTCACTCGATCCGATTTGTCGGATCCGATTTTGTTGGATCCTAAAAACGGATCGTGTGAGCACAAATAAAGTTAGTCTCCGACAGTCGGATCCGTCAATCTAAGAGGATAGAAACCGAACTTGTTCTATTCTCATCTGACCAACAAGATCAGAGGAAGCCGACAAGCCAAATTATATATATTTGAAAAAGACTTGGAAATAAGAAGAAAAGTACGCAAATATATCGTTAAACTACTGGACAAACAAATGGCTGCTCTCAAGATTATAAATATCTAAACGTATCTAAATATCAACAAAACTATCTGACCGTCTGAACAAGCAATCAAAAGACGGAACCGAAACAATGGGATCTGACAAATCGGAACGTGCAAACCGGCCTTCAAATAGAAAGAAAACTCTAAACATGGCGAAATAAAACTTGCCAACGCAAAGCTAAAAGTAAAGAGACACGCATGTAAAATTTCTTTGTCTATCATTCAAATCGCCCAATCATAACTTATGTATGAAACCACTTAGAATGCTGTACACGAAGGTGGTTCCAATCGCTGTGACTACGGTCTGAACCGTGCAATTTTTTCCAGATAAGGGGTCGGGGCAGCACTCCCCCCCCTTGCGATAGCAACTTCTAGTTTATTTACATAAGTTCTAACAGCACATGAATAGAAAATCGATGCTATAGTACGCTTATTTTTCTGCATTGAATTCCTAAAAACGTTAATGAATGCTTGAGAATATTCAAATTTCTTTATTGAATAAACTTTTCGTTCTATTGTCTAATTGTCACAAATCAACGCATTTACGTTTTATTGAACGGTCTTTGACCCCAATGATGACGTCTTTTCCTATACTGACTTCAATAAGGTGTAAAAACGGCACTCGTACCATATTTTAGCCGTGCCGTGACATTTTTTGGATAGTTTAAATGAGGTTTTTGTTTCTGCTTTGATAGTTTGTTTTATTTTTGCCTGAGGTTTTTGTTTTTGCCGTGACCCCCCTGGGCCACCGTAGAGCCCAATGTGTGTGGACTAAAAGTAATCTAAGAAAGCATAACTCCCGTGTTTCCGTCCCCCTCCCCCAATTTCAAATAAAAATTTTAATGTGGTTAGGGTCCATCCGTTATGAATGTTCGAATCCAGAGGGTAAGTCTATGTGTCTTTTTTAGCTTTATTGTGTATGCTGGCATTGCGCTATTCTTCTTTGAGCTTGTAACAAAAAAATCGAATAACTAGCATAAAATTCCAATTGTCTTTTTTACATTACATTATCTCTTTTAAGTATCCCACTACGTTTTGTGCTCATATGAACTACAATGTATATCTGTATCCTCACTCATACTTAAACTAATCCTATTCATCACACAATAAATTCAATGTAGTTTAACTTTTGTAGCTACATTCCTAATATGTAAATCTTTGTATGAAAGCACATCTTGACCATTTTAATTATTTGATGTTTTGAATATGTCTTGTGTAAAGATGAAACGTTACTTTGAATAAATTGTTGTTTCTTACTCAAAGGCTATACCTGAAATTTTATGTTGGGCAGTTGTTTTTTAATGCGAAATTTGCGAATCCATTTCCCGCCTGGCAAGTCTCTTGCTATCCTTCTTTGAACTTTGTTTGGAATCAAAATGTATGATAGTTTGTTTCGACGTACATTGCTGGTATTTATTGCGTTTCTTCTGATCAAATTGCACTTTTGTGCTTTGTCATTTACGATGTGAACGCTATAAAAGTACTATCTTGGTATATTTATCAGGAATGTCTATTGCTTTTTTGATAAGTGAATTCATGTTCGAATTTAATGTTGGGCTTATGTGTAAATGTAATACTCCTTAAGTTCTTGTTGCGTATTAAATTATCCAATTAACTACAAGAACGTAGGAAGATCAATATTTGGGAGCTCATATTCATATATGCATGCTTTAATCCATTGAAAACAGGAGACTTGAAAATCGTGTGTTAATTCCATCAATCAATCAATCAATCAATCAATCAATCAATCAATCAATCAATCAATCAATCAATCAATCAATCAATCAATCAATCAATCAATCAATCAATCAATCAATCAATCAATAAACAAATCAACAAATCAATCATTCAATCAATCAATCAATAAATCAATCAATCAAATATAATTTAACACCCCCAATTTTCTATCGTCCTGCTTCCCTGATTTGGTTTTCTACAGTAAATAAAATTTGAAAGAACTGCTAAACGAAAACTTCCATAATTTAAGTACTTTGAATTTTTTACCATGAAAATTGATCGTTTTACAAAAATAGATGAATTAGCTACATACAATAAAACGAAAAATATTTACACGCATTATTAAACTTGACATTTTAGAAAATAAATTCGTTCCCTTTAATACTTTACATCTGTCTTTCCCACGCGCAATTAGGTTGAGCTAATCTTAAAAGGTTTTTCAGATTACTTTTCATAGGAATTGAGATGGTATGCTGGATATGATATTTTAGTTATAGAAAATCATGTCGCATCTATGTATGATTCAGCAGTTAACTATAAACCAGTTATTAACAAATTATGCAAAGCCAAACATAGACATGAGCGAATTAGCATACGCCATTGGTTTCACATCAGGGTGAGGCTAAAAACAGAATACCAGTGGATGTGTAACAATGATCTAGAATTCAATCTACCACACAATTTGCTCATCATTAGAACATAGTGGTCATTCAATTACACGCTTTGACTTATCAATAGCGCTGTAAAATATTCATTAACAAGAAAGACTTGTTGACAATCAATACCATTTATTTAACCCGCATAACAATTGGGAATATTCAAGTAGCAATTACGTAGCAATAAAATTAAAGGATGGATCATTAAGATAAAGCAACATTTAAATAAACTTAAACATACTTTGTATGAAAGAGAAGTGCGATGTTGCAGTTGCAACAGACTATCTGCGATAGACTATTTCTGTAAAGGCAGACATCTTTCGTACAAAGTATATAAATAAATTAAAGTCAATGGTTTGAACCCTGGAGTATCGTTACATGTTTGTAAATGTAGATCCTACAGGTTGGTATAGTCCTGAGAAGGACTGTTTTTGTTGTTGTTGACTGACGTTTCGACAACCTTAGCGGTAATCCTCTTTTGACTCTGAAGATGACTACCGCTAAGGTTGAAATATTTGCTTTATCTTAATATTCCCTTCTTCGATTTTATTGAATGCACGTTACTGCTACTTGAATATTCCCTAATGTTATGCTACATGTTTCCCTACTATTGATTTTTGACTAGTGCTCTTGATTGTTCCTTCGTGTTCATGAATATTGTACAGCGCTTTGATGAATCGAAGCGTGTAATTGATAGTCATATATGCGCTAATGATGAGCAAATGGTGAAGATACATGAATCCGCTGGAATTAAATAGTTACGAGTGAGTTAGGTTGCCATATAGAAAGGTGGTTAAACTGATAAATAAAATCTGCTTCTTCAGCGATGTTATACTCTTCCTGAGTTAATATCATATATGATTTGTTTTTGAAATGTCTGATTGGATTGTTTTCTTAAACTTTTCTTTCAACTTTTAACCAATATTTTTTATTAAGAGTTTAGCTTCTTGCCACCTTTCAAAATGACGTCCTTGCCTCACCTTCTTCACTTGTAGTAAGAGATCTAGGGGACAGGCACGAAGCCAGAACGATAATTGGGGAGGGAGGCTCAAATTCATGTATGAATGATATGCCGTATTAGTTTCTTTTGAAATTTAATGTTTTTTTACGGATTATAAAATAAATATATGAATATGCCCTCACCCCAAATTATCGTTCTGTCTACGTGCCTGCTAAGGGATTGGGTTTTAAATCATTGATATTAAGAAATGACAGGCGACAGGAAGATGTATAGAATGAAAAATAGAAAATAAATAGTGGAATACGTACCACAGCATTATAGGTGGTAAATTGAGGTTTCAGATCACTACCCATGGTTATAAATGCTCCTTTATTACCCATCTGATCGCTAAAAATGAATTGAAAAATTACGATTCTTATATTAGCCACGCGGAATTGCAATTGCAGGGTGTCTCCCCCCAAAAACAGAACCTGCACAAATAATTATGCGTGCATTAAAATTAAATCTGCACGGTTAAGTTACACGCTTGTCCATGTTCGTTGCAATTCATGGAAAATATGATTGCGTTTTTGTGGCTGTGTTAATGACTGATGACTCAGTTAGTGTCACTTTGAATTTATAAAGCTTTTGCAAAATACATTTGGGACGAAAATAAGTGCATGACAGTATTTTACTTGTTTTGCTTTAACTATGACCTTTTAAAACTTTACAAACCCTATGAAATCCCAGAGGTGCAGAACCAATGATTTAGAACCCAATCCTTAGATTTCTAACTACCGTGACAAGTTCAGGAAAGGACGCCATCTTGAAATGTGGCAAAAAGCAAAAAGCAAAATTAAAAATAAGTTAAAAGAAGGTTTAAAAACCCAATTTAATCAAACATTTGAAAAATTAAACCTAGACTACTAACTTTGCAACAGTATATGAACTCAGGATTGCCACCTTTCAAGATGGCGGCTTGTCTCACTCGTAACTATAGAGTTTTTGAGGAGTCAGATATCTAGTAGATTGGGTTCTAGGTCGTTGTCCAGAGCTGTTAAGCTCATTAAACAGGTACAAATGCTAATTACATTATTGTGCATAATAATTTTAGCGGGTACATAATTTATACGGGTAACGGTTTTTATGAGACACCTTGTTCTTCATAAGCCTGAAACTAACAACTAAGGAAATTATAAGGACTATCTTACACACTCAGACAGGCACATAAATGAAAACAGAGACGTTTCAAATCATTTGTAAAATAATTTCCAATGTCTTTAAAAATATCGCGAGCTACATAAATGGAAGCAATGAGTCTACGATCATTCATTTATGCAGAATAATTGGTAACATAGGGCACCGAGTGATAATATAGGGCACCGAATGGTAACGAGAATTACTGAGTGGTACTAAAGGAACACGCTTGTCTGAGAATTTTCACTAAAGTAATGCAAAAAATACAAACATTTAAATCTGTCTTCGTCAACAAGGAACAACTTGTATGACGACTAAGCGCGTAATTTACTTCTTTGTTATGTGTTGCAATAGGTCATATTTTACCAGTAATTGGGAGCAGAGAAAACAGTGATGCATTTACCACCATGTGCCACCTCATATCCATCAGGTTTCACCTCATGACTTCGGATAATGTAATCTAGAAGAACAAGACAAGGTTTGTCAAGGCATAAATACCCCTAAAACAAATAGAATTAAAAATACAAACACAAATACCATTCAAGTTACCTAAATTATTGTGAGAACAGAATTTCTCAGTAACATCTGGTCCAAATTGAATAGCAACACCTCTCTTACTAGGAGATCTACCATCCTAAGAAAACAAGCATGACCCTAAGTACTAAAAAAATAGTCATGCATAATACAGGATCTTACTTGCGCCTGTGGATCTGACCAGAGTAACTCACACATTAAGCCTTATGAAAGAGGATTACACAATTAATGATATGTATTAATGCCATGTACAGACCATATCACCATGTAGGGTCATGCTCCTAAGTACGGTCTAAATTACCAAGTACAGTCTACAAGTCAGCATATAATGCCCGTATCACTACGTACAGATGATGTCTCCATGGGCAGCTAATTTCACCATGGGAAGTCAAAGTCACCATGGAAAGCCAATGTCACCAAGGTAAGTCAACATACCATGGACAGTCATTGTCCCCATGAACAGTCATTGTCACCGTAGGAAGTCAATGTCATCCGGAGCAGTCAATACCACCGTAGGAAGTCAATGTCACCAATGACAGAATATGTCATCATATACAGTCAGGTCATCATGTATATATTAATTTTTTAAGGTCAATGTGACAAACATGTACAGACATTGTGACCATCGTGACGCAGTAAAAACACTGAGCAACATGCTGCTGTTAGTTCCCATTATACAGTGATCATGTGCAGTCAATGTCACCTTGTACATTCATCAAAAGAATTGTTATTTGCAAAAATTTTCCATTACACAGTAATGCCTCATGGAATTTCGGTCACTAGCTATGCTTTGGGGGAACGTACATAGTCATGCCTCATGGAATTACAATCACCTGCTTTGCTTTGGGGGAATGTACATAGACATACCTCATGGAATTACAGTCACCTGCTTTGCTTTGGGTGGATGTACATAGTCATGCCTCATGGAATTACAGTCACCTGCTTTGCTTTGGGGAATGTACATAGTCATGCCTCATGGAATTACAGTCACCTGCTTTGCTCTGGGGGAATGTACATAGTCATACCTCATGGAATTTCAGTCACCTGCTTTGCTTTAAGAGAACGTACATAGTCATACCTCATGGAATTTCAGTCACCTGCTTTGCTCTGCGGGAATGTACATAGTCATACCTCATGGGATTTCAGTCACGTGCTTTGCTTCGGGGGAATGTACATAGTCATGCCACATGGAACTATAGTCACCTGCCTTGCTCTGGGGGTTGTCTATTTCGATCAATTTTTCTTATTTCCTCAAGAGTTACATCATCACGAGAAAATAATCCACCGTGCATTACCTGAGAATATAAGAACATATCATGTTGAAAATAACGATGTAAGCGCTCATCCTAACGTAAGGCATGTATCCACGATAGACATGTAGGGAAGTATCCGTGTCTGGATTAGATTTCGTTGGCTAGTTATTGCCGTGCCATTCCAGACTCTTCTTGTTCAGTTTAATTATCTTTTTTGTTTGGGAGGATTTTTGAACTGTTCTTCATTCAAAACATATCTCAACACATATCATCGACTTTTGTTTAAATGTTTGGTTTATTTCATCATTTGCTAAGTAGACACTAAAGGAAACTCAATTAACGCTTTGACTTGTCAATAGCGCAGTAGAATATTCATTAACACAAAGAAACAATCAATAGCGTTGATATATATCGCATAACAATCGGAAATATTTACGTAGCATTAATGTGCATTCAATAAAATCAAAGGAGAGATCGCTTAAATAAAGCAGACATTCAAATAACCTTAAACGTACTTTGTATGACAGAGGAGAGCGGTGTTGCAGTTGCGTAGGCACAGACTATTTCTGTTGGGGCAGATATCTTTCGTACAAAGTACATACATGTTTATTTGAATATCTGTTTTCTCTCAATGATTTTTCCTTTAATTTTATTGAATGCCAGTTAATGCTACTAGAATATTCCCGTTTGTTTTGCGGCATAAATCAATGCCATTGATTTTCGACAACTGCTCTTGATTGTTCCTTCGCGTTAATGAATATTCTACATCGCTATTGATAAGTCATAGAGTGTAATTGAATGTCCAATGTGGTCTAATGATGAGCAAATGGTGTAGTACTTTGTGGGGAAACTTGCACCACTCATGCATCCTTTCTAGTCAAGGTCAGGAGAGGTACGCACCCCCTCTACACTCCTGTCCTATGTTCGATGTCACTTACCATCACTTTATTATTGATGAGATGAGCCAATGGAAGCCAGTTGTACACTTCTGTAAAAAGTTCGACCATATCGGCTGAATATGTTAGAGAAGTTAAGAATGAATGCGTGTGCTTTTAGTAATGATGCATTACCTCAATCCTTATACGATATTAACCAACCCATATTGCGGTCAGAAGCCAAGTGAAGTCTCTGTTTTTTGGGGGCCCGGCACCCATCAGACTTCCCCCAAATTGAAACGCCATTGATTGCCGTCATTCCAGTCAGTGGTGCAGCCAGCCGACAAATTTGATTATGCTATTTCACAACATTAGCATAATTAAGTACTTTTAGAAATCTATTGTTTGCATACACATAACAAAACTAAATTTGCAAAACAGGAGAAATTCTCGGGCTAGCTACACCTCTAATTCCACAACATTCCTCGAGGAATGTTCAGCGACTTTCAGCAATTCAGTCACACGAATAGGAATACACAGAAGGGTCACTTGATTGAAATCATTTGTGCTATGCGTATGTGATTACCATAATAGCAGCCAGTCAATTATCGTTTTTGACCAATAGGAATGATAAAGTAGGTAACAACAGTCAGTTGCACAGCGAAGTGGCTCTTCAGTATATTCCTTATGCTGTGCTTCGAACTAAGAAAATAATCTATAAGCTTTGTGAGAAGGGGAAGGAATATAGTTCTAGCATTTAGTACTATGTAATACTTAACACTGCTGATATTATTTAAAATACTGAATATACAAGACAATCTATAATAACGAAGATTGTTTAAAAGGATATTTTGATTTGACTTCTCCTTGAAACCCATACATCTGATTCATTGAAACAGTTTCATGATTACCTATAAAAGATATGATGAACAATTTGAAAAACAAAAAAAGGGAGTCCGGGTGCCAGTTATAACTCGTGAAGCATCACGGTACCGTATTGGGGGACGCCAGTTTCGAAGTTTATTATTAGTCGCAGGGCAGGCGACTATAACTTTCGGCACGCATTTTTGTCGGATGTACGATCTTTGTCAATGTTCACAAATTAAAATACTTCATGTAAACACAACAAAAAGTCAAAGATGGCGACGATGTGAAAGACATGTAAAATGGATAATTTTGTATTTAAATTGTACAAAAAAAAGAAAATTAACCCCCAAAAGCCATAAAATTATTATATCTACAATGTTTTTGCGAAACCCTTGTCAAAATAAAAGTACTAAAAACATAGAGGCCGATTTTAACTATGTTGCGTGAGACTGTTTTGCCCCTAATTATCCCACGGATATCAATAGTTATCCACAAGTATCCTGTGCGTGCCTTTCCGGCGGCCTCTTGACTTCGGCTAGTTCGGCCCATAGATATGTAAAATAAACTAGATAGCACATTGCAATACAACGCCAATAAAAAGTTGAAGCCAAAGTAATCGGGTGCTTACATTGTTATCACCTGATTGGTAGGTCCCATTCGATGAGTGAAACCTAACTTTAATATACCACAAAGCTTTCTTAACGACGTATTTCTGTTATTTTTAGAACTTAAAGCCATGTATAAACATAGCAGATTTTGTGGGAACGTGATTATGATTAACATTATAATTACTTTTTCGTATCAAGAGGGACCTTCCAATATGGTGGCTCCGACTTCATAGAAAATAGCGAATAGCGGAGCGTGTTATTCAGTCTATTTTCAGATCAGTGGTTCGGCCATTCGACTAACGCTCAAATGAGCGTCTTGTTACAGTATGAAAAAATGTTTGAAATGAGAAAAAGCTCTTTGTTATATGCTCAAACTTGCTGTTTGTTTGTAATTAGAGCATTTGCAATGTAATATATGTTTGTTTCAAAAAGAAGGCATGCCACAAAACAGTACCACAATCCATTACGAACTTAGGTCGCACCCTCATTCTCTGCAGTTTTCGAAGCGCTATGTATTTATTTACTATCAAAATGTTTGGGTTGTTTTCATCGTACCTCGAGACATAAAAAAACAGTCGGGATACAAAAGTTTTAAACTGAACAAAGAAAAGATAACTTCACATGAGAATGAGCCTCTGTCTACAAAATCTCCGTTAAATAGCTAAAGACTAGTTAAGAAAAGGTTTTAGGACATAATAGTACCGTCAAAAAATATACGTTATTTACCGGCTGGGAGGTTCGGATGGAAAAAATATTCGTCCAATGTATAAAAGAGCACCCGAGACCGCAGATCAAGGGACTTTTTGAGACCAAAGGAAAATATTTTTCCATCCCAACTGACCCAAACGGAAAAAAAACGATTTATATTTTTTTGCTCAAGGCAACAGTCTTGTTAGATTGCGTAGTTAGATTCAACAAATGGCGGAAAAGTAAACAATCAAAACTTGCAATTCACTTTACTTTGGAGAACTCAAATTTCGCTTAAGACAGATTATTCCAATCAATAGTTGGCTGACAACTTCTTTTGCAAAGAAACACAAAACAAAACAGCCCTTCCCTCGACTACTTACCCTAAACATATCGTAAACTTCTACTGGCAGCTACAACAAATCAGATTGCAGAAAAACCTACGTTCCTCTCGCTGCTGATTTGTAAAAAAATAACAACCTTTTGTTTTTTTACAAAACAGCAGCGGGCGGAATCCTTGCCTTTCCTGCAATCTGATTGGGTGTGGCTGCTTGCGAAGTTTTACGATATTTGAACGGAATCCGGAATCTTATAGAGTGAATACTTGAGCGAATAGTTGTTTTGTTTTGTTTTGTTTTGTAAATAACATATATTCATTTCAAGGATACATATGGGTTGTTCTCCGAAGGCAGACCATTTAATTCAAAAATATTTAACAAATCGTAAAATTGACCATGGATGTCTCCGCAGACTGTAAATCTTTTATCCTAAAGGAAGAAATCTTCAATGTTGTTACTTTGTGACAATGTGATCAACGGCAAACGATCTCCTCACGTACCTTCGGTATAAAAATATCACATAAAGTATCGACTTCACGGAAATAGTTCTTTATATTTATCAAAATCTTTATGAAATAAGAAGAAGATCTATGCAACTTTCATAGATGTATTGCACCAGTTTAACTGCGTCAGAGTAAATTAATTACTTGTGGGGTGTATTCAGATTAAGGACTGGGGTAAGGGTTAGGCCCCAAAGGGTTCCGTTTTACAATTTTAGAGATGATTTGATGAAAACAAAAGTAATACACCTTTTTAAGAAAGAATCATTTTCATGGCGTTCTCTTAACGCTCACTTCCCCATTCCACAAGCAAACAGTTGCGAAGCCAGCACGTTGTTTACTGTTACAATGTAAATATTTTTGTGTTCAATCACTGGAAAAACGATGAATGGAAATAACTTTCTTAAGAAATGAGTAATAATTTTGCCAACAAATTTGCATTGTAGGAGTAAAAAATCAGGCTGGCTTCGCCACTGCCACCACATAACAACATATCTCTGGCAACATTCTAGAATCTACCGTGTATGCATATTTTCTATGAATTTTCTTTTGGTTCTTGAATCTCTCGAGAAGTTCCTGTAAAAACTTTAGCGTCACTTTGCCATCCTCCAAGTGTGGGCCATCATAACTACTTTCAACAACTACAAAACAACCAAGAAGTCTTATCTTCATTGACATGCTAAATTTAAAGAGGCGGCGAAACATGATTAATATTGTAGCGATTATTGGCTATCGTGGGGATAACCAATAAATTTGAATTTGAAACTAGAATGCGTAAAGGAGTGCCTTGTGTAATGAAAAAAAAATTTGCATCTAAACTTCATGTCATTTGTATCTCTTTTTTAAATACATAGCGATGCCTTTTAACAAAAACAAGAGACCTATCAGGCGTTCACTCGGGGTACTGGTGAACTGTGTTTTGTTTTATTTGCGTATTAAAAAGTAACCAAACAGCACAACAAAATTTACAGCATGTATAATCTCGCATGTAGTAATATTTTATAGGTGTAAATCGTGCTTTATTATACGCATCGTTAGTGACGCTCAAGAGTGAAACGATCTAACAAAGATTTTGATTGGTTCTCTAAAACGGCGCCAGATTAGGTTTTCAATGCAGGGATATGTCTACTTCGACTAATAAGTTTGGTAAATCGACGCCTAAGCGCGGTCGGCCAAGAAATGAAAAAGAAATAACAAGAAATGAATTAAATAAAGATTTATTCATATTTGATTGGCCAGAAAACAATCCTTGAGTTCGTTTGTCCATCGATGTACGAAGGTTTTTACGAGGGTAGAGTTGGTTCGTAGCAGTTTGCACTACAGCCTGTTCTTCATGATCAGGTTGTTGAACTCAAATCATCTTCATCTTCATAACGCGGCACAGTCAAATATGGATTTTATTTAAATTCAGGCATTTTTATGCAATATTTCAGTTAATTAATAATGCAACTCTGCATTCGATAGCGGAATTTCAGTAAAAGAAGTAAACACCAATGCACAGAGCATAACCGTGAGACTCAATCTTCAAACTCGGGCCTCAACATTCGGTAGCACGAGTTTTAGGCAACTAAACAGCATGAGAGTATTTGAGAATATGTGCTCCGTATCTGTCCACAAGATCGCCTTATAATCTTGTAGTCATCAGAAAGCATCATCAATGTAGGGAGTAGAGTGATGACACCGTCATTTTTCGAGACTTGTCATGTATCTGAATTACTCCCGCATTGCATACCGATCATGCAGGTAGTTTTATTAAGATGACTTGAGCAACCTAATGTGGGACAACAGACGCATGCGTAAAAAGATCTAACATAAAATAAAACACAATCAGAAAAAGGACATCTTGTAAACTTAAATTGAAGTAATGAAACAAGAACTTTTATAACTTCTATTTAAGTTTACTTTTATTTAAGTCCTTTCTCTGATTATGTTTTATTTTATGTTAAACGAAATTGTCGTCTGGTCAATTATATATAAATCATAATCATACTAAATAACTTAAACTTACTTTTAAAAGACGTCACAGAAACGATGGTGAATAGAACGGTTCTTAAAAGAACTGCATAGAAAATAAGTGCTACTGTAAACGACGCATTTTCGCAAACCTTTATTGGTAACAAACCCATAACTAGTGACGTCATTCTTGTCTTTTACAAAAATATTGGCTTAAAAATTGACTCAAAATTGCAATAAGTTATTTCAAAAAACCTGAGAAGTTACGCATGGTTTCTAAACAGCTCTTTTAAACTTTACTTCACAAGTTATTTTGTTTGTAGAGTTTAAGACAGTTTTGTTGTTGTTGCTATATGTATGACAAGGGAGGGGAAGAAATAGTTAAGAACTTTTCTATTCTTCATTGCATTTGGAACGTCTTTTAATATATATCTGTAATCATTTAAAGTGTAAGATCGAGCATAAAATATTGATTTCAAAGATCTGTCCACGCATATAGCTAATACAACATTTATCTCAAAGCTAGTTTCTAAGAATGCCAAGCGTTGCTCAGGCAAACAAATATTTGAACAAACCTATGGAGTCGACATCAAGCGTTTCCGAAAATGATTTTTTATTGTGATCGACAGCAATTGCTTTTTCAAATGCTTGTTTTTGAACAATTTTTTTGCATTCCGTATACTTCAACCTAGCATCTTTATCTTTAGGGCGGAATTTCACAACCTAAAAACGAAGAAACCCCTCCGTTAGCAATTCAAACAGATGGACACAGCTCATTTTAATGGATTGAGGGAATAAATTATGAATTACCGTTTCGTAATCTTTAAGACTGGCTTTAAATTTTCCCAATACCATATTGGCTGAAGCACGTCTATAATATGCCTGAATAGCAGTGAAAGAAAATAAAAAAATACTAAAGAATGATTGAAGCTTAAAAAGGATTACCATTATAATGTTCGATAACAGGACAACCCGTTGCATTCGTTAAAACTGGATTACGCATCATCTGTTATAAAAGGACATCACATAGCATTCATTACAAGAGGACATCACAAAGTATCCATCACAACAGGACACACATCTGTTACAACATGACAATACAAATTACACATGATGTTACAACAGGACAATACACAACATCTGTTACAACAGGACAACACACAACATCTGCTACAACAGGACAATACACAACATCTGCTACAACAGGACAATACACAACATCTGCTACAACAGGACAATACACAACATCTGCTACAACAGGACAATACACAACATCTGCTACAATAGGACAATACACAACATCTGCTACAACAGGACAATACACAACATCTGCTACAACAGGACAATACACAACATCTGCTACAACAGGACAATACACAACATCTGCTACAACAGGACAATACACAACATCTGCTACAACAGGACAACACACATCATCTCTCACAAGACAATACACAACATCTGCTAAAACAGGACAATACACAACATCTGCTACAACAGGACAATACACAACATCTGTTACAACAGGACAACACACATCATCTCTCACAAGAAGACAATACATAACATCTGCTACAACAGGACAATACACAACATCTGCTACAACAGGACAATACACAACATCTGCTACAACAGGACAATACACAACATCTGCTACAACAGGACAATACACAACATCTGTTACAATAGGACAACACACATCATCTCTCACAAAAAGACAATACACAACATCTGTTACAATAGCACAACACATTTGTTACAACAGACAATAGACATTTGTTACCAAAGGACAACACACATCTGTTACAAAAGAACAACACACATAATCTGTTACAAAAGGACTACACACATCATCTTTTACAACACAACAACACTCATAGTCTGTTTCAACAGGGTTACCAACGCTAAATAGTTTCATGCTATTATAGTTGGCAGACGAACATGTTGATAAGATGAATGGTAATTTAAGATTAAATGGCATTTTAATAATTGGCATTTTTTATATAGCAAAAATGTTTAATCACAGTGGAAAGAATTAAACTTTCTGGTATCATGGATCTATTCTTCTGTAATTATGGTAAGTTTTGTTCAAAATTATTTTAGTCAGACACACATGAATTGTATAAGACCTAAACATAGATAGCAAACAATACAATATAACAAATGGTTAAACCATTCATTGCAGGCAGTGGCAAAGCTAGTGGTTTAGCTCGTCATGCACAATAGGACTTAGAAATTCATGAAATAAGATTTAGTCCTTAACTTAGTATGACTAACCGCTGTAGCAAAGATATCTTAAGTGTGATTCACTTCTCAGTTTTAACATTCTCCACCAGTAATCTACTTTTCTTGAATTCATCACAATATTATGTAATATTATCAACAACAAAATGGTGAGATGTCACTATTGAAATGTACTATGTTGAGTAAAGCAGAAAAAATTAAGGATGGCTTTGAAATAAAGTCGAAAATTCATGGTATTATTTGAATGTTCTACTGATACATATTTTAGTATATCAAGATGACTTGTCTAGTCAGATTTTCTTTACTTTTTCAAATTGTTGACTGGAAATGGTTTTTGGTCTACTGTATTGAGCTTATGCAAGAATGTTATATGCAGTGCGGTGTTTGAAATTAAATGTAGATATGATCTTCGCACTTTGCTGGACAATTTAAGCAATTGTCTCAAGAACCTGAAAAATTCAGGTGACTCAACAGGATTTGAACCCATGACCTCTGCGATGCTGGTACAGTGCTCTAACCAACTGAGCTATGAAGTCACACAGTGGAGAGCAGGTCAATATGTTGGGCTGATGTATTGAGCTTATGATAGAAATCAATGATGTAGTTAAAGTAAATAACATGGTTTCATGGGCACACTGCAGATATCATGAATGATTTGTCAAAAATGTCGTTTTTTTTAAACACATGCAACTATTCTAGCGGTATTGAAAAGGAGCGACGCTCTCCCTTACAAGCCTGAAGGATGAAGCCAGACTATATTTCAGGATGTCTGCAGTAGTTAAGGTGTTTCTGAACCTAACCTGCTCTTAGGTACAAAGGCGGAAAACAAATTTTTCACTCATGTTAATCATGAAGATACAACGTACTCTATTCTCTCGTCGTACTCAAACCAAACCACAGCAACTTTATAATGAAATTCACTCACATCACAATTTATACCTTGATATAAGTTCTATCGATTTCCAAGGCTTTGTTAGCATCATTTAAGGCATCACCATAGTTCTCTAGTTTTATAGAGCAGAAGCTTCGGTTTCCATGATAAACTGCACACGTGGGATTCAACGTTATGGCGTAACTGTATAGTTCGAACGCCGTTTGATAGTGTCCATCTACAATTCGCAAAATTTGATAATCATTCTAGACACAAAGCAACAAGAAAAAGACAATTACCTTTAAAAAATTCGTTTGCCTTGATTTTTACTTCTTCTGCTTCTTGTATTCGGTCTTCTGTTATTTCAACTTTTTCTTTGCTACTGTCTGCCATCTTGAATCATGAAAGAAACCGCCGACTCGCTGGACCGCTGATTCAAGGCGTTTTTAAAATCACCCGACGTTTGAATTTTGCATGTTAACGAGATTTGACAAAATACGGTTTCAGCTCAATGTGGATCAAACTTCTGCCAAATTGAACTATGCAGATTGCTAGTTGCGTTACGTAGGGAGGGTTATACATATATACATGTATTACCGTTGTCACAGTGATATGAGAGTATATATATAATAAATTAATCCTAATAGGATTAATATATTATGTATATACAGTGATATGGGTAATCCTTGTTTTGGTATCTTCGTACTTAAGGCTGATTTCCATCCAGCGCAAATTGTCGCGCGATTGACTTTTTCCGATCACTTCTTTTCAATTGTAAGCTCTCGACCGGAAGAATTTCACACTGCTGCACACAATTCAAACGAAAGTGATCGCAAAAAGTCGATCGCGCGACAATTTGCACTGAATGGAAATCTGCCTTAAAATCACTAGGGTTTTCGTAATCCCCACCCGGCAACAACTTCACAAAGGACGAACAACAAGCACTCAAACGACTAAAAACACGACAACAACATCGTCATTTTACCAGCAGACAAAGGACGCGTAACTGTGGTCATGGACAGGAATGATTACTTCAACAAAACGGACACCCTTGTTAACGACAGACAAACGTACGAACAACTCAAAACGAGACCCAACACCATCACTAGTACGCAAACTTAACAGCGAGATCTTCTCTATGAGAAAATCTAACATTATATCACAACGTATTTACTATCGACTTAGATGTTCAGTACCACGACCACCCAGACTATACGGACTACCAAAACTTCACAAACCACAAATACCCATGCAACCAATTGTATCATTTTGTGGTTCGCCTACTTACGGACTCTCAAAGTACTTGACTGACATACTGCAACCATTGCAACTAAATCAAAACACAAGCTACAATCCACTGAAACTTTCATTAAATAACTGAGCACTATACAAATACCAGACAACTATATACTAGTGTCTTTTGATGTGAAATCACTGTTCACCAGTATTTCACTTAACCTGGCACTTACTTGTACAAAAACCCTCATCACAAACACCACGGACGTACTGCCATTACCGACAGAAAACATTATGGAGCTACTGGAGCTCTGCCGCACCGCGACTTACTTCCAGTAGAAAGGTACACACAACAAACAATTACATGGAACAGCAATGGGCTCACCCGTTTCTGTTGTAGTTGCTGAAATTGTAATGCAATCTATAGAGGAAAGGGTGCTCACGACTTACAAACATGCACTACCTTTTTGGTTTCGCTACGTAGATGACACAATCACAGCACTACATGAAGACGAGATAGATGACTTTCACACTCACATCAATATATAATTTACCAAAGATGTCTAAGAAAGCGGAACTCTTCCTTTTCTCGACTGTTTGGTAAAACATGACTATCAAAAACTACGAACAACAGTTTATCGCAAGCCAACACATACTGACCGACTACTAGACCAATTATCTTACAACCCTATATCACACAAAGCCACCACAATCAGAACATTAACAAGACGTGCACAAATTATATGTGATTCACCGGACACTCTACACAACGAAAACAACTATCTCAAACGTGTTTCTGACAAAAAGAACTATAACTCTTACTTTATCAAACGCAACACTTACAAACCCAACGAACCCAACGAGACGAACAACTCAGTAACAAAAGCAACGATACCTTATATCAAAGGCACGTCTGAGACTATATCGCGTATCTTACAACCATACAACATACGTGTCGCACATAAACCAATCACAACGTTACGACAAGTACTAACGAACATAAAGGACAAAGAACAACCCAACGAACGACAAGGTGCAGTTTACAAAATAAACTACTCCGACTGCCACGCCTCCTATATCGGGGAAACTGGCAGGAACTTAAACATAAGACTTACTGAACACAAACGAGCTACAAAAAAAACAAGACAAAACTAATCACATTGCCGAACATCACCGAATCACAAAGCACAACATTGACTGGGACTCGGCAAAATGCATCACTTACAGTACTGACTATAGACAACGGCTTACATTAGAATGTTTGTACACCAACTTGGAACAAACCCCCCTGAACAGATCACAGCAATTACTGGCACCTTACCAACGACTTATTCACAATACAAACAAACGATCAACTAAAAACATTTCACTTCACACTAATCCGCAATGACAATACACATTTCCTGTACAAACAATACAATGACGTAAGAACCAGATAACAAATACGGCTAACCAGACGTTTACTCCTCATTTGACTCTGAAGATGACTACCGCTAAGGCTGTCGAAACGTCAGTCAACAACAACAAAAACAGTCCTTCTCAGGACTATACCTACCTGGACGATCTTCATTTACAAACATGTAACTAAGTTTGTTCCTGCTAAGTCTGTCATAATCCATTGTTTGGACATTCCTGAAATTAACATAATAGTGGAACAAGAATAGGGAAACTATTTCCTATATCGCTAGTGATTTGTGAACGTTGGGTGGTCGGGCAGACATACTTAAACACGGCAGCCATATTCGCAGGGGATACCCGAAACATAAGTACGTGGATACCCAAAACACGGGGATACTTATATCACTGTGACACCGTAATAAGCCTTGCTATTATGACTATAATTGTTGATAAAGAGAATGGCTATAGCCTATATATCAGTATTTTTCACGTCTTTTGATAACATGTCCATCGCACTACTACAGCCTATTCCAATTTTCGGGAAGAAAAAACTTCATCTTCACCAACAATTAAAATCAAAAGCCGGAAAACCCAACGCCAAACAAGAAAATCAAGCCCTTTCAAACATTCTTCTGAACTTAATACAAGAAACACTGTTCCTTTCATTAACAAACAATTAGAGTAATAAAAAAAAGCATGAAAGAGCATGTAAAGAAACATTCTCAGTCGACCATCCATTCCCTCGCTTAGTCAGTCAAAGTCAACTAAAAGGAATGCCAAGCTTATCTAAAAACTGTATCTGTACTGAACAGGGGGCTCTATTGTTTCAACAAACAAATAGAGAAATATTGGGAAAAGCATAAAAAACTCACATTGATGTGGGCTCACAAGTGATATCAGTCCCCGATCAGGAAGCTTTTGAGCTTAATAATAAGAACCACAATAATCAACATCACAACCAGGAATTTTATGTGGTGAAAGAAATTAAACATCACATGTCGATTTGAAGTCCTTTTTGGAAGCGCTGGGTTACAAAAACTCCTTCATATCGCACAGCACATCACCTCTACTTTTTGAAGTGGCTGTAATACCTCGATACGGTCTACTTACAGGATAACAAGACAATGACAACCAAGGAACCAACTCCCTTTGGTAGCAAACATCCCTGTGAAAATAACTCACCAAATTTTGACTCAAAATTCGATAAGTAAATCTCGACAATTCATGCATAATGTAATTCACATCCATTAGAACAGAGCAAAAAACATCTCTCAGACCTCCTTTTAAGAAACAAACTTAGATTCGTGTTTTTTCACCCATTATAGCAGTGACCAATTTTATGTCACCTTTACCTAAAATTGACAAATTTGCGTTTTTACTAAAATGAATGGTCCTGACTTGTTTTATTACAAGAGAAACATAGCTTAAAAGTTTTATTGATAACAACCAAATCAACATTCCTGGCTATAATAATGAAAGATTGGATCGCCTTTCAAGACGACATGGGGGAGTTTGCATGTTTATTAACTCGAAGTATAAAACTTGTCGATTATACAACCTGGAAAGCTCTAATTCAGAGCTAATATGGGTTCATATGTACGTTACTCCAGATTACCCAGAGGTATTCCTTGCCTAATTACAGCTACTATTTACCATCCTCCTTTATCAAATAACAATGAAATTTGAAGTATTAAATTCAACTTTAGTTCGAGTGGATACCAACAAGAGGTGCAAATACACTTGATTTATTATTAACAAACTTATACCCCTACTATCAGATAGATACCATCACCTCGTTTCCTCGTTTGCTGTGTTAGACCCGTCCTGGAATTTGGTTGTGAAGCATTCCACTTTTCTTTGCCAAAATATCTTAGTGACAATATTAAAAGAGTACAAAGAAGAATTACATCAATAATCTATTCTGGTTTATTTTATAGCGACCAATTAGATAAAGCAAATTTGACTCTTATAAGCGATCGTCGAAGACATGCCTGTTTCAAATTATATAATATTAATACTAAAAATCCTTATCTTAAACTGTTAAATTTTTCCCAGAACGCTGTTTCATCAACAAGGAATTACGGTGCACACTGCCTCTAATAAAAACTGATAGATTTTTGAAATAGTTTTTCCTGTAAATATTTGTCAGTTTTATCCATACTTTTTACGATCTGAATTTGATTGCTCCTTTTTATTGTTTAATATTGATGTAAAATCGCACGCAATTCAGTTGTATTTAACTGCAATGTGCTTTCTTTGAGTAAAACCAATTCATTTATTTATTTATTTATTTACAGTTTCTATCAATCTAATTTCATTGTCCAATTTTGACAGGGAAGTCATAAGAGAGAGATCTGTCACAGCTAATTTCACTGGTATAATCTGATAGGTAAAGATGTGTTAGCTATATTGAACATGGTCAGGATTTACGATCAATAATATGAATCAAGTGCAACAGGCTATACCGATACAGAAACGATAAGACAAGAAAGAACAAATAATAATGTTCATCGCTATAGTCTGCCTGAATTAATGGGCATACCGAATTGAAAATTTATCTTCATCACCTGTTTCACAAAAAAAAGCGTACGGCGATTGGTTGGGTAAAATTATGATGGAGTCTCCCATACGTCATGAATAAATATTTGCTATTGCACATTCTTATTCTTTTAGAATATGGCCGAAGCCACGAGGGTCAATTGCCAAACGTGCGTGCTTTTGAAGCTCTTCGTACCTACAACTAACCTCAGAATCAAAGTATGTGCTTATATCGTATCGATATACGAAAGCTCAGGATTTTACATCTCATAGAACATGCGTGACCATGCTCTAACCCTTACTAATATCGTATTTAAAACGAGTTTTGTTATTCGTGTCATTAGTGACACAAGGATTTTGATTGGTTCAAAGACTTGTGTTAGTCACGCGTGATTTACGTAATCTTACAAGAGTACTGGGCTTACGTACAGTAGCCCGAGTAACTAATTAAAAATTTAATTAATCAAGCGTAGAGCTTTAAGTTAAATGTGAGTATCTAACTCACATTCAGCACAAATGGTGTGATTCTTGCCTTGCGTGGCAAAAAAAAATGAATCAAACTTGCTTGATATGCGAGAAAAGGTTGTACGAGCAGTAAAATTCTGTAAAATTCTTCCACACACAGTGAGCTATCGCCCGAGCTTAAGGGCACGAGTTCTTAGCTCAGCTGATAGCTCTCGTGTGCTTCAGGTTTTATAAGCACAAGTGAAAACGAGAGAGAAGTTTACTGTTATTTGAAAGTCGTGGATAGGACCCGGCCACAGAATAATAATCATACAGAAGGGCCACTCAACTCTGCACCGCGTCCACACGGCCGCCATTATTACAACAAGATACGTAGATATGGTTTTTTACTTTTTTTTTCCAACCACTGCAATAACATGACGTCATTTCTTCGTAATGAAAAATATTTCAATATAAGAAATGACGTCGGGTCATTTTAGTGGTTGGGAACAAGTGAAAAGCCCTAAATATCTTTCTGGATAATGGCATCTGATATGCGCAGCACAACATGCGTGAGGACAAAAACATCAAAGAGTCAGACACGAGTAGCCCTTCGGTATATTCCATATTCTGTGACCACGCCTTGAAGAAGAGGGGAGAAAATTAGTCTGTAAACTCATTCTGTTGTTCTCCTCCACGGAAAATTTGTGCGATGCGAAGGAGAGTCTGAGTTAACCTAACTGACGCAATTTCATCGTTTAATACGAAGATGTTCCTGTTCATGAAATGCGGTTGCAAAAAGCATACGTAATAAAACGTTTTTGAGGCATGCGTATCTAAAGGATTGCTCGATTTTGATTGTCAAACTAACTTGCTTTAGTTTTGTATTAGCATTAGCGAAAATACAAAATATGAATGGCGTCTTTTTTATGAAAAATTGGACGTTAAGTAAAAGGCAAAGATTAATGCACTGTGAAAGAAAACGAGAGCTTCCTGAAATGGGGAATTTCTTTTGTTTAATAAGAGAATCTTAAATTCATGATTTGCCCATACAAAAAGGGTGGATACAGTAACAGCGTTACACACTGCGAGTAAATCTAAAAGATGGCTAAAATTTCAAGTTAATTCGACTGTACACAATTGTTCGATAAAATTTCTTTGATTGCATGTCTTTGTTATTATTCAATTCACGATGCACCAGAGTGTCCCAGGCCAATACGCCCGGGCCGTTTAAATGCTTCTACAGGCTCGCGTATCCCCGAGCTGGTGGGTCCCAAACCTTGACCCAGTGCCCAACCCATGGTCTGCAACATTCTATAACCAGTATTATTTGCACTCAAAGGTGGAGCACTTTCACCGACTAAACCTACAATAAGAAAACAGCATATAAAAATTATGAAAAATCTCCCATCAAAATCACTGACAACCATAGGACCTCAAAGGAAAGAGACCGGACTTTTTCTCTTTTCGATTTTATTTGGCATCCTGATTGTCACACATTTGTCACATGGGGCATTAGAGGGTTAATCCTTCTCATACAATAAATTTTACGGTAATGCTTTGAAAGCTTAGCAGCCATACGTAGTTAGATAGCCATTTTGGGTGCACATTACAATGGGGGCATTTTAAGTTAAACAATAAGAAAAGTCTACTTCTGCAACCAAATCTGGTCCATCAATATACAGTAAAAGCTTGGTTGGCCAAAGCATCAAATATGATACTTATTTGAAGTGTTATATTTCAACATCAACAGTTCACTTCATCCCTTTCTATTGTTTCGCATCCAGGTGTAACAGTTATTGTATGGCAGGAGTCATTTACGGTAATTTTCCGCTTACTTAGCCGGCGCTTGATTATCAGGGTATGGTAATTTTTAATACTTACTAAAATGAGACTATTTGCTACAATAAAAATACCCTCACAAAAAGTCACACAAAAAACTCTCACCATGAACAAAGGATGATGCCTTCTTTCGTCTTTTGACATCGATTCCAGGGCTACAAACGTGAGAATCGTGCCTATACAACATACGTACAACCAAAGTGATTAACATTCGTACGTATAATGTTTTAACAAGATTTCATAATGAAAATCGACAATAATAAAATACTTGTACATTTCTCTGAATGGTCTGCCCAGTAAATGACACAAAGCTGACTGAGCTGGTTTACTTGTGCTCCTTTAATGATAAAAAAGGTTATCACCATTTGTTGCAATTGTAATTGTTTATGAAGGGTACAAGTCACATTAATTCTGCTGTTTTGCGCATTTTTAATAAAAACGACAAATTTTTTTAAAATAGACATGTTTCGACATCTCATGACGCCATCTTCAGCATAAGTGAAATAAATAATACAAGGTTTATACAAAAGTAATATAATACATAAATTACAGCAATAATAAGAAAATAATATAACTTAATGGGGAGCGTCCGAGCTTATTATAAACTAAATATTGTATTGAATTTAAAAACTTGAACATTGAGGTCAGCGTTAGTTTTTTTAATGTAGAGTGCTTCTTTGATTTTAAGGGAGAATGAGGTGTCGGCAGTGTCAATGATTTTGAAGCAAGAGGGTGAATAGTTGGTTTTACATGAGTAAAATGGATAGTCGTAATTATGGATCGTCAAATGTATCGTAACTCCTGCCTTCAAATCATTAACAATACAGCAAAGTTAACAACAACACACACTATCACGTGAAGCCAAACTACAACGACTGTTAAGGAAGCTTCTAAAGATGTAAAGAATAAAGAATGACTCCATTAACAACAAAGTTTACAATGAAATCTTCCACAGAGGTTCTCAACCTTCACGCTTCTATGGCTTACCAAAACTCCACAAGAAACAAGAACCAGAACAATCACCTTCACTACGACCGATAGTTTCATCAATTAACGCATACAACAATAATTTAGCGACGTATCTTAGTTCTCTATGAACACCACTCATACGAGATGACCACTCCACTAAAGATTCTTTCACTTTCCTCGACAACTTCTCATCTTTCAACTCATTAACTTCTTGTCACAAACTCTTCATCTCCTACGACGTTGAAAGCCTATTCACTAACATATTATTTAATGAAACCATCAACATAGTAATTGACGTAATATTCACTCACAACCCCTAGTTGAGTATAAACAGGACAGACCTCACATAACTGTTTTTAATAGCAACAGCACAGATGCATTTTTTATTTAATGGAAAATTTTATGACCAGACGGACGGTGTTGCGATGGGCTCTCCCTTAGCACCCATACTGGCTGACATTTCTATGGGCTCACATGAACGAAATTGGCTAAACAATTACAACGACACTAAACCACTATTTTATTGCAGCAGATACGTTGACGATAATTTTTGTGTTTTTACCAACGAAACTGGGCCATGAAGTTTTATAACTACATTAACACACAGCACGCAAACATTAGATTTTTATTTGAAACTGAACAACAAGATCAACTGCCATTTCTTGACATTTTACTAACAAAATCCCATGACAGCTGTACAACATCTACATATCACAAACCAACATACACAGGACTTCTGATGAATTATTTTAGTTTCACACCACTTTCATAAAAAACCGGACTTATACTGGTAGTTGTTAACTTCATTTTAAAATTGTGCTTTAAAATCTAAAGCAATAAATAAATAAATAAAGCGATGTAAAAATCTTGTAATACAGGTATATTCATTTCATTCACCTGGTTTTTATAAGTATCACTGTTCCCCTTCTTGGTGAATCTTCCATCTTACAGTGAAGAGAGTAGAGTTCTGCCAGCTGAGATAACTGAAGAAGAAAGAATTTAAAAAATCTTACATATAAATGTTTATCTGTATATGTGTATATATATATCCCATTAGTGTGTTAAGTATTGTTTCATTGCATCACATGAAGGCATTTAACTTAAGTCGACAATCAACACTCAATTTTACGGCTCTTATTCTTATTCAAATATCAAATTTTGAGATGGCTATATTCTTCAGAATCTGCTTCTTCTTTTGTTCTTAAAATTTTTTAACCGGACATAGTTTCTTATACAAATTTTATTGACTAAGCTTAGGAAAAGCATTGAGCTATAATTTTGTGGAGCAGTTAGTGATGAACATAGACTAAAGATAGAACATGCTTATAGCCAAATGTACAAATAGTGGTGAGCTGATGTTTAAAAAAAGATTTTCTATACCAATTGTTATGAGTTTATCATCTAGTATTTACAGTGTCTATTGTTTCATGCTTTAACAAAGATGAAAACCAAGTAACAAAGAACAAAAACCAAAGAAAAAACACAGGTCCTGCTTCTTTTTCACATAAGCCATACAACAGAAAAAGTTACATTTACATAATGAATAAGATATTCGTACATATAGATCATCAAGGTTAGTAGATTCCTGAAAAGGACTCTTGTTGTTGATGTTGAGTGTTGGTTGCCATTTCAAGAACCTTAGCAAAGTAAACGTTGGAGTGAAGTGGTGACATCAAAAAGAAAACATACCTCCTCTTTATCTTTCCTTTTGACATGTGCAAGACGTAACCTCCAATAAAAAGAAAACTCTTTAGTATTGACTACTAACATAATGTATAACACGAAAATTGTATGTCAATTAGACTTACTCCACTTTAGTAGGATCTTGCAGGAATTTCTTTATTCGTTTATTAACCTCGAGCATTGTTAAAGGCCCCATCTAAAACAGCAGAGTTACAATAAATAATAAACACTCAATCATAGGCAAAGCCTTTCCTTCATTTACCTCAGATCTTAAAAAACTGGACCCAGATGTTCGTGGATTTGAAACTGAAATACAAAAAAGTCAACATTAACTCAGGAGCAAAATTAGAATTCTAATTGGGGCATGAACAAATTTACATACTTTTTACTGAGTGGATCTAAAAATTTTAGAAGGGCAAGCTGATAAGGAAGTGACATAAGGCAAAGTGAGGGTCTATATCGTAGGGGTGGTCTAGCCATGCAGTAACCAAAGGCAGTGTAGAAAGTTGAAACTGTACCAGTTTTGTTTGCTGAAAACTTTGGGTTAAAATGTTTCTCAGAGGGTTGAATTTATTCAAAGGCATGAAATTTGATGTCTGGAGACAGCACCCCCCGCACCCCTCAGAAATTCTGCCCATGAAAAATCAGTTGGGAAAAGCTGAATATCTCCACATCCCTCCCCCCCTTAGTGTACTAGTCTTACACTATATTAAGCATCACTTTTTGGAAAAGAAATAACAACAATGGCACTACCTTGGTCTTCATCTAGAAAAAAAGGTTTTGATTTAAGATATTCCAAAGTTTCTCGATATAGTTTATGAAATTTCTGTTCATCATCATCACTGTTTGCAGCAGTATGCAGCCAATTGCATTGGGAATCTGTTTCATAACAACTTTCTTCTCTTTCATCATCACCAAACTGACCTTCATCGTTGGTAAAAACATCTTCATCACTGCTCGATGACATGCTATTCTTCACAACATGCATGCTCTCGTTACAAGACTCTGATTGCCTATCCATTGCATGACAGGCCTCCATGTCTGGTAATTCAGGCCATGTTGAACATTCCATGGAACGTGATATAGACATTGGCAAGTTGTTTAAATTTTCACCCCAACTGCTTGTGTGTCCATTTTCAGCATCTGCCAAGAAGTCGTCATCATTCAACCTGCTACGATGAGCTCTAAGAATGATGTGCTTACTGCTGTTAATATCTCGAGCTTCAGTGGTATCAACGTTCATCGAAAAAGGCATCTTCAGCATGCTAGGTTGTAGAGTTACAGACGAGCCTCCATAATTATTACTTATACTGCTGCCATTACACATTTTCTTCAGTTTACGTTTTCGCTTTCTTCTCTTTTTGTGATAGTTAATTTCGGCACATGAGTCGCTCTCCGCTTTCTCTGTATTCGGATAAGCGTCAGAACAGCCGTTCGTTAGATTATTTAGCTGGCAACGCAACGAAGAAAGACGTTTAGCAATAGAATTTTCCAAATCTGAGTCACTTTGTGCTGCGATGTTTTCCATATAATCCCTCAAAGCTTCATCAGTCGTATCGCTTTCTTCGCTTATTTTGCCCGCATTTTCCAACAGGTAAAAAATTTTCGTTTGATTTCTTTTGCGGCGCTTCTTAAAAGCTCTACGTTTTAAAGCTTCTTGTCTGCCGACACCAGCAAGAATTTCCTCCATATTGTCCACCGACATTGCTTCATTCAAATTACTCGATGATGCCATTAAATAAAGTATGAAATGCTAGAAATCGGTTGAGTTTTCCTTTCTGTTCAGTATATGCTAAGAACTGGCTTGTTGTATTAGCCAAATTTAGTTAAAAATCTTTATTTTTAATAGGGTACGTACGTATATTGAATTGCATAAAGATGTTGTCAACACCAACAACTACTGACCAGTGAACCTTAATAACAACTGGAACGATAACTCCAATAGTTTTCCCATGATTGTTTGAAGCCAAACTCCCCCCTGAAACAATGCGTGTTTTCTTCGCGACCGACGTTTGTTTTGGCTTGTTGGCAGTTGAAAACAGTGAAAAAATGATTTGTTGTCGTTTTTAGACACATTTTGTGCTTTAAAATTGTATCTACCGTACTTAGCGTATGCCTCAGCAAGATAATTCGAGGAGAAACATAATCGGCAAGAATCGTGGACGATTGCTTTTAACAATTAATACATTATACCAAGTTAATCGGTCCGTTATATGCAATGAGTTAATTTTTTTCTCTCTTTATATGCTTTATACGAACAGCACAAGAATAGGGTGTTATGTATTTGAAAAATAAACTTGATTTTTACACATTTCACTCGAGAAAATAGTTTTTTAAGAATCCTTTTCCAAGGATCTTGAACTTTTTTTATGACACTGAGCTGTATATATATATTTGCAGTTGTGTATATTTTCATGGTATGAAAAATGCTCTTTAAAACACATTTTTCTACTGGGAAAGTTGCTCAATTTTTACGAAACTTGGTAGGATTGTGTACTTAACATGGAACTACAATATACTGGTGGATTGAGCGTTTAGGTATGCCTGGAACTTTCAAAAACGCAGAAAAAGCAAAAAAAAATCCCACAGACTTTTGGTAATTTTTGTCTATGCTTTGACGTTTTTCAGCTTTGACGAATCCCTATTGCTCCTTATATGATAGTCGTATTGTCTACTTTCTTTTTCAGCCATCTAGATTCTATGGTCAACCTTTTTTATTTTTGCTGAGAATTGTTGCACCTAAATAATAACTAGCTGGATATTTTCCCATTATATTATTATGCAGTTTTTTACTATACCTGAAGTGTAGGTAATGGTGATATGTTTATGTTATAGTCTTACGTTATATAAATAGTTGACAAACCATAAAATTTGAAACTAAAGGAATAATTACATGATTCATTGAGTTTTCGTTTTGTATTTTTCCTTTGATACAGGACTACACATTTTACTAATTTAATAAACCTCAACACAAATTGTGTTGTTTTGATCGTCATGTTAATTTGTTATCGAACAAAATAAGCTTCTGCTACTTTTTAGTCTGCCAAAGAAAGTCTTGAAATAAAGAAAAGTGGAGGTGAAAATCATTGACAAAACACAAACAGGGTTTGATTAACGACAAAGAGTTTCTTTTTTTGTACGACTTGCATACGGCAAAAGTCCTGACCTGCCATATTGGAAATAAAGCGAATTTCAAGTGCCACAATGGGCTGAAAGTAAATCTCCTTGAGGCTTTGTGTATGGTACTAAGTTGTTTTGCATATCTTTGCCGTTACTTGGACATGATTCCTAGATTTGGCAGATCGGTCCCACAACTATGCATGGTGAGTAATGCAGTAATGAATCACATTCATACAGAATGGCATCAATTGCTGTCAAATTTCAATCAGCCATGGTTATCTGTTAACCAGCTGAAAAAATATTGTGAAGCTGTGTATCAGAAAAGTGGTGCTTTGTTAAACTGCTTTGGTTTCATTGATGGAACTGTTCGCCTAGTTTGTCGACCAAGACAAAACCAAAGAGATTGCATAAGTTGTTTCTTTTTTTGTTTAGTTGCACCCTCATCTTCAACTGGTCTATTATTCACTGACTGAATCAAAATTGATTTATATGTCCATACAAAAAAAAACTTAAAGAATTTATCAGTACATGAATTTATGAAACCTTTCATCAATGGTTCATTCCAACAAAAATAACTTCCTAATAAACACTTCCTAATAAATATTTTGTAAGCAATAAACATTTGGCTTTAAACTCTTAAATGTTAACAGTTGAATCAGTTATTATTTTTAGCAAAGTTTTGCATTAATGTAAGCAGAGAAGCATTTTGGACTTGCATTTGTTGCATAAGCTGCTCTTGTTGTCTTTGCTGGTTGCCTTAGCATTATTTAGAGCATTTGTCAAAGCTTCCTGCTGGGCAAATGAATTTTGCTGCTGGATTCTCCTTTCCTCTGCTTCGGCTTTTTTAAGTTCAGTTTCTCTCTTTTGAGCTCTGCATCTACTTCAGCTTTTCCTTTCAAATAAGCAATAGTCTCACTGCAACTACAAGATACCCTTCTTTTAGGTTTCTCCCCTTCATAGTTGGTTTCAGCTTTTTTTTCTTGGCTAGCAGCTGTTTCAATGGATAAATTCCTCATTTCAACAGCTTTTGCTGTTTCCAACGCAGCTTTTTCCTTTTTTCTAGCTTCCTTTGTTTTTGAAGCGCTCTATAATATCCTCTATGCTAATTTCAGTTTCACAGTGGTCTGGGGCAATTCCAGAAGCTTTTTCTTCGTTCCTAAGTTTTCTCTTTTGCTGTTTCTCAGTATTCAGTGGCGTAGCCAGCCCGCAAAATTGATCCTGCTACGTAAGTTTTTCTGTATTCACTTAATGTGAAAACACTAGATTTCTATAGAAATGAATAATGATAAAGGTCCTTAGTTACATAGCAGGACCAAGACTTGCAGTGGCTAAGCTCCAGCCAGTATTGACTAACGTTACGACGACTTAAGTCCTTACAGCAAAGGGAGTCGAAACGTCATCAATTAATATCAACACAATTCTTTTCAACATTTCCCTAACTTGGACGATTTACATCAAAAAGCATGTAACGAAAAAATTGACACGAAGAGATAAAGTGCGTTCTAGATTTTATTCAAGTCAATATTGTAAGGTAATTTACAACGAAAAGTTTTTCTTCAATTACGAATGAGAAATGAATTTAGAAGGAGGTGAATTTAACATCGCATGAAACATTTTCTTCATCCAAAGTGAAAACGATGAACATTGGCTAAACAGCTGTATTCCGTCTGAGTTGAAGAGCATCTAACTGCGCAAGTACATACATCATTGTCTCTTGTCTCACAGATTTCAATTGTGACTCGAGATTCCGTACTTTCTCTACTTCTTCGTTCAGATCATTGTTTAATTTTTCGTTTTCCCTTTTCAACCTTTTGTTCTCTTCTATCAGCTCCAAGTTGCCTTGGTTCGTCTGAAGATATTATGGAGACATAAACAGTTTTAATAACCTCACGTATGGCGACATTAATGGTTACTACAATCAAACATATACACTTTTTACAACGACAATAACAAAGTGAACATATTTGCTCACTGACACAGCCTTATGCACCAATACCTAATGGAGACCAACGAATTACAAGACTACAACATGAAACAAGGCAAACATCAAAATGCCGGCTGAAATATATGAAATACGGTCAATAACACATAATGGAGATTCATGCACATGACTACAAAATGAAACGATAAACACTGCGAAATGAACATGTTTCCAATGAACACCACAACAAAGTCATACACCTTTACCCCTCAAAACAATGCAACATACGAACTCATAACTGATACTTTACCTACACAATGACAATATAAGTGCACAATCACCTATGCGCGCAACATGGGCACTAAAGAAAAGAATACTACCAACAAGACCCACCTCGCCATTTTTCTTTGGTTCATCGTTGACAGCATCAACATCATCTACAGAAATGCTTCTTCTTGGTAGCAAGTTTTCAGTTTCTTCAACAATTAGACGAGATTTCCTCTTATTTTTTAAACGATTTCTGACTGCTTCTGCTTTTGCGGCAGTTGCTGAAGAGAAATAGAGAGATAAAGACCTTTAATATCAGATGAAAGGAAAATTTTCAGTTATCGAGCAAATTTACCGGAAGAATTGGAGAGAACAGATGACCTTCTTGTGTGACAATCGACTACCACTTGATCTTTGCAAGATTTGTGCACGGTAATGCCACAATCTATAAAGAGTTAGAAAAAGTCGAGGAGAGGAGTGATCAAGTCCAAAATAATGTCATGGGAAACTAAATCGGACACGCTTTTTAGAAAACGTAATTTATTAAGCGAAACAGGAATTGAATTACACAATGAAGAAGTCAATTTGGAAGAAAATGTGGTAAAATAAACAAAACAATATAATGTTTGAATTATACAATGAAGAAAGCAGTTTTAAAAAAGATGCTATGAATTTAAAAAAAAAGCGAGGATAGGCAAGACGAATAAAGAAACCCTATAAGCACCTAACTATGAGAAAGCGGTAGCAAAGTTGTATAATATGAAACATATTCCGAATAAAAAGATCATATTGAACTCAATATTTGAGAAACAAACAAGACAGTTTTTATTTTAAAGCCAGCAAGGAACTGTCACTATTTGATTTCACATCCACCCAATCAACTAATCCTTCTCATCCAATTCACACTTCCGTATTTCCGTTGAAACGTTGTTTTAACGCACATATAAGTAAAGCCACAGTTAAATTGTAAATGGAATCTCACGATGAATTTGTAATCAAAATATTACAGTTAATACAAAAATTGTCTTGTTTGTTTCTCAAGTATTGAGTTAAAAGAGTAAAGAAACGTTAAATATAAGAATGCAAAGTCGAACCATTTACCTTTACATTTGAGTCCTTGTCTTATCAGACCCCATAACTAAAAACAAATACAGCGTAACGTTGGACATTGTCGTACACAATACGCTGATAAAAAAAGAGCTTCGTATAAAAATTACGTATCAATAGATTACTTGATGATGAGGAATTTGATTTATTTACATAATTCTGCACATAATCTTTAAAATGAAAACTTACAAGCAAAATATTTCAATGTAAGTTCAACATGACATTCACCATGAACACACAAATGGGGTTGCTTCAAAGGATCTCGAAAATAAATACGTTCATGGATGTAATGGTAAAGCCCTTCACCAGAATTGAGCATAATGGAAATCGTACAGGCAGAATGAAAGGCGTGAAAAGAAAGTGAAAACCTTCAAATGACGTAACGAGTTTTTTCAAATGCATGGAAATAGATGGAATAAAAAAATCAACAAAGCTACTTTGCAACACAACTGGTAGATGGATATCCTGCAACAAAAATGATGCATTTTCCGCAATATTATTCATGCTACTTCAGTTAACATTTAATTTTCTTCCTAATTGATCGATTAACACATTTTTGAATCATTAATTCTTCAACAGAATTTTTTCCCATTTTATACATTTCTCCAAAAAGCTACGAGCCCATTGACTATGGGGGGGTGGGGGGAGGTGGATACTTGGTACTATTCCACCGATACAACACTCTAGTGAAGTTCAAAACGTTCTTCAATGAATTAATGTAAGTGAAGATTAACTTAGCAACTAACTTGGTTATTATCTCGAACAATTTTCACGGGGGTTCAGCATGTTATACAATGTAAACATCTTGGAGGTAAGGTCAACTCAGCAAATACCCAGCCGTTAAAATATTTCATTATATGGCAAGCGCCACTTCGTAAGAAATAGTAAGCTTTGATCGGCTCAGAAACATTTTTATGGGTCCAATATTTTCCTTAATGGACCACGGTCCAATACGCGTAATTGCACAATTAAATGTAAACAAACTTCGTAAAGCAATCAAAACAACGCAAAAAAACGAAACAAAAAACATTTGCGAATGTGAGTCGAAGGAAAAACACTCGGAATACAGTTTAACTTTCCTGAAGATACAATTTGAAACGATTTCTCTTTTACTGACGAAAATTAGAAACGTGAAAGCCAACCCGTACAAAACAGCAAAAACGACAAAGAAAGCAAGCTTCGTTAAAAATCAAATAATGTCATATAACAAACTTCGGTCCAATATTTCTCCGTAAAGACCTCGAGCTTGGTTATTAAAGGCTAATTAATGCCATAAAACGTGTTCTTCGTTAAATTTAATCGAGTAAAGTTTACTTACCACACCTCCACAGTGTTCACAATAACTGCGGGTAAGATAGGTCGTCTCTTGAAAATTATGAACAAAATCTCTTCCTAAAGCTCGAAAGTTGGCCTTCAAAAAGTAGGCTTTCATTTCTTCCTTAGTTACAACACCGTCACTGAAACATTAAGTTAAATGCTAAATTTTTGAGAATTTTAATCTGTAAATGATTGCTATGGTGTCTGTCCAAATATAATGCGTGTTCGTGTCATTTACCTGAATATAACAGGAAGGCTATTTCCCACCAAAATACGAACCCACAAGTGTAACTAGTCACAATCTTTCCAAGCACGGCCCAAAGAAAGTTCATTTATGGTTTATTTACGACAGTTAGCTAAGGCCCTGATTATATGAGCCCGGTAGTCGGGATTGAGCAAAGCGTTAAATCATTTTTGCAAATGGAAAGGATTAAAAAACTCACAACAAAAAACTTATTTGAGCAATCTCTCGGCTGAGCAAAAACTCGGGTTTTACAAGCCTGTCTGCAGGTAAAATTTGGCTTAATGCAAGTACAAGGCATGTTTATCTAAAGATAGCCTTCCAATTATATTCAGTTCAAAGATACGTGCAAGCAATAACGTTATAACAGTGTGTAGAGCGTACATGCAGGTAGCTTGACAGCTATATATTAGTAGATTGATGCGTATGGTTTAAATTACATTATATATTCAAAGGTTCGTGTATTACACAAACATTACAAACATAAATCTTTCAAAATGTGTGGTAGTGACGTTCAAAAAAACGAAATATAATTGATATGTGTGATCATCTGCTAAGCTTGCATTTGTAAAATATTCAGAGCTTTTTTGCTAAGACAACTTTTTAAATCATTCGTAGTGTTTTATGAACAGTAGGATATTTTTTAATGTTTGTATACTTCACACTAATTCAAAATGACAATACACATTTCCTGTACACACAATACAATGACGTAAGAACCAGATAACAAATACAGCTAACCTGACGTTTACTCTTGATTTGACTCTGAAGAGGACTACCGCTAAGGTTGTCGAAACGTCAGTCAACAACAACAAAAACAGTTCTTCTCAGGACTATACCAACCTGGACCATCATCATTTACAGACATGTAACGAAACTCCCGGGTTCAAACCGTTTACTTTAGTACGATATTTTGTTGACACGACTGATAAATTGAGTTCGTGTTTACATCCGCTTATTTCATCCGTATATAATAAATGATAACTGGCAACTCAAGTGTATTTACAAGCGTGTATTTATTCTCTGATGACTCTGACGATGGCTTTGGAATAAATTAAAACACATTTATTCGCTTTTTGCTTTACCTTTTAATTATTAAAGCACAGTGACAGTGTGACCAGAGAGAACTTAACTGGAGTAAATACAAGTATAGTGCTTCAGCTTTCTCGTGTTGTTCGACAAAACAAAATATTATTGATGTTTGTGATAGCTTTGAGCGCTTACAATTGCATGATATCTTGATTTATTCTATTTTTAACTATTTAATTTAAGCAGATGGTCAAGGTTATAGACAAACGAAACAATAAATGTATTGATCAAAAAATTACATCCAGACATAGAGATGAATCCTCAAACTGATTCAGTAACCGCATGAACGACTATGTTTTGTTAAATGAAGGACCTAATGTATACATCGTACATACCTGTTGGCATCGACAACACCAAATGCGTCAATAAAAGGAAAGTTAGTGGAGATCGCCTCAAAATCTTCAGTAGTTAGTCTCCCATCGCTGTCTCGATCGTAAAATTTGAAAACAGCCTGAAATAGGTAAGACGAAAAATGTTTTGACTTTTCCAATAAACTTACTGACCTCAAGAATAAGTAAAGTTATTCGAAGAGTTGAAGTTTGACAAACCTCGACCATAGAGGCCACGTGTTTGTCGATGGTCTTCGAATCGGGAGATGCTACGCGACCTGATGCCCAATCAGCAAACAGTTCAGAATTGGCTGTCGTGGTGACTCGAGGTAGCTAATAGAAAGCCATAATACTCCATTTCTTCAAAATGATAACAAACATCAAGTCAAAACGTGGCAGCTATGTATCAAAAACTCACTGTAGTAGATTTCCTCGGTTCTTTCGCATATGATAGCTCATACAACTCATCTTCTGAGATGGTCATTTGAATAGACACCTATAGAAGACCAAAATTTTAATCTTATCGAGACAATTATGCTGGTATTCTAATGCAAATGCTTGAATTTGATTGGTTACTTCACTCGCTATCTGATTCTCAAAAGACAGCGGTAGCTAAAAAAACATGGCTTCTGTCTTGCGTTTTTCTCATGTTTCTGACAATTTACTAGATAGTTCATTTGATTTTTACCACGAGAGAAGTTATTTACATTAAACTTTAGTTTAATTACACTAACTACATATGCCTTATATAAGAGTAGTCCTTTTTTTTAATAAATATGTCAAAAAATATATAAAACAACGAATTAAGGAGAACTATAATATCAATTTTCCTTGTGAATAGTTAACAAGTCAAGACTAATTTAACACTCCAATCGAAGAACAGTCGAAAGCTGACTAAACAAATAAGTAGAACTGTTTCATAGGCCGTGTGTTTTCAAATTTATTCGTATAGTTAAAGCTACACGAGCAGAAACTGACCGCTACCTGTGAGTAGCTGAGACAACAAACCTTGGTGGATAGTAAGATTCTACAGAAACAAGCAGACAACTTTTCTCGATTTCAATAAGGTAGCTAATACTTCATTCGCGCTTTGCCCTCGTCACTCATAGAAATTTCGAGCTCGTAATATAATTTTTAAATAAAGTCTTGCATTGCAATACCTGTTTTTACGGGACGAATATACGATTCAAACTTTCATAACATAACATATAACATAGAACATAGAACATAACATATATCGTATAACATATAAAATATATTGATTAATATCCGCTTAATAATTAACCTCATAAGCGAATTAACCTATAGTATATAACTAGTGTTGGCTTGTCACTTAGTCTGACAATGAATTGGTAATAGATTTGATAAATCACTAAATTATAGTCTCCTCTCTTTCACCTCAAATATTCATTTAATGATGGACATCATATTCTGAGTATATATGTTAAACTTTATGCTACTATACAACACTATAACTACTTAATCTTATCCTTACTTTACTTATATTGCAGTATCTGTGCGTATAAACGTTGTTAAATATCTTTCTTATGTAACTGAGAGGAGTTAATCCATCCAATACATTTTCCCGCCGCAGCACACGAATTTCAGTAGATAGCTAAATGACATGTTTTGCATTCTACAGGGATAGAAAACTGGGACGATTCATACATCTGTCTTGATGTGTATCAAATAAAAGTGGCGCAAACGAGGTACAAAAGGTATCGAACAGTTAACATAACTTAAATACAGAGACAACTCACCCGCAGCATATTGATGAGTTCATACTTAGATGGAGCAGGGGGGAGCATATTTTTGAAGTTCATTAATGTGGCAATGACCGCGTAGAATTTCACCATCTTTTGAAAATTGATTAGTTTCTCTTCAGTGACGTAATCAGGCAGGGCAGCATCCACGGCAACGAGATCTTTTAAATGTACACCTTAATAAAATAAGACGTTGTAGCTTGACTACTTAAACCCATAAAATGTCATGGTAATTATGATACCTCTATAGTTTCCATGGCAACATATAAGATAAGAAAGAAAGCGGTGGTTAGTACATCAATCCCTTTTACTCCTCGTGAAATGTAAAAAGATTTTCTTACAGTATAGGTACATAAAATCCACTGCATTTCATAAGTTCGCGTCTGTATTTGGAGTAGTTTCCTTCTGAGGACAAGAATTCTGTCATTTCCTCTAGAAACTAATTGTTATTTATTCAATGAATGGTTAAAGATCAAGTTCTCGCTCTGTGAAAATGAAAATTACCTTCCTTTTGTTCTCACTGAGCACTGCCATGGTGTCGTGTAACCTCCGCAAAGCACTGTGGTTCAAAGCACCGACTACTGCCATCAGACTATTGAAATTTTGATGACTTCGTAAACACTACACAAAGAAATGCTTCAACATTAATCATTATAAAATAAATAAAATAAATTCATCGCGTGCGCTGATTGATGTATAGATGTTTTTGAATTAGCTCAACCAAACAAATCAATCAATCATTCAGTAATCAATCACTCAATCAGTAATCAGTCATTCAATCAACCAATTAATAAATCAATCAATCAATCAATCAATCAATCAATCAACCAATTAATAAATTAATCAATTAATCAATCATTCAATCAATCTTTCAAAGAGAATTTGCAGATCAATCATGAATACATTTAAGAGGAAAAATTAAAACGTTTGTTTTCAATTTGTCTGTCTCATATTATTGTTATTTTATAAAAAAAATGGAAGATGTTTTTCGTGTTGGCACTGGCTAACGCAAACCTTAAAGACACTAAAGAGAGCTCTCGAGCAGATGCAGCCCTCGACATTAGGTCTCGGGCTTGCACTGATTAGCTCTCAAGTTCTCCCGAAGGTGTCCTCGGTTTGCATACGTAAGCCTGCGCAAACACAGTAAACAAGTTTTATTCCTTAAATAAAAGACAGTTCGTCATGTAAATAACCAACTGTCATACCTGGGCAACATTCAGAAATTTTTCTATAATATGCGCTCGCATCGCAGGATTCTCCCCTTTTAATACCATCGCTTCAATCCAACGTGATAAACCATTAAAAACACCGACGTATTTCTGAAGGCAAGGAACGGTACTTAATTTCGGTTTTCGAGCGTAAGTCTTCCATTCAGACATCTGCAAAGAAAGGGATTTTTTAAACCATTAATTGTAGCTTGTACCACTTCTATTGGTAAAACTTCCATCAACAAAACTTATAACGAGATCTTTTTTACAATACAGTAAACCCCTGCATATAAGAGCTTTCATTATTCAAGTTAACCTAAACAGACCTCTTCTCATGAAACAGTGCCCGTGAAATTAAGTTAAACACGTTCTAAAATAAGTTCTTACTTTCTAAAGAAAAAGTGACTCCTTTTCAGGTGGTAGAAAATATTTTCATAGATAATATTAAAAATTACAGTATCTGCCCTTATTTCAACCTTATATTACAAGTTACTATACGACTACATCCAACAACAAGAACAAAGACTGAACAAACTAAAGGAACTCATACCAACGAAAGTAAGTGATACTTTACTTTCTACGATACAAACTATTGCAGAGAAACGAGCAAACAAGACAGAGACACAACACCAAATCAAACAACAACAAAAACCTGAACGTTTAAAACAAACTAAAACACGTACAAGACATAAACATGACGGTAACTGGGTGAGGAATATTTTTTCCCGCTCATTAGACGAAACTGAAACGCGACTACTATCTTACGGACTAAAACATTCCATAACACCTAGACGAATCCCGACTGAGACGATAGTATCAAGTGTCGAGGCTGTCCTAGCGTATCAAAGAGACTTGTCAGAGACAACCAAAGACGATATCAGAAGCATGATAGCCTCCACTTTACAATCGTCCTCTATACGAGACAACAACTTGACAAAAGACGAGCAACAAGCACCCAAACGACTAAAACACGATAACAACATCGTCATTTTACCAGCAGACAAAGGACGCGTGACTGTGGTCATGGACAGGAATGATTACTTTAACAAAATGAACACCCTTGTTAACGACAGACAAACGTACGAACAACTCAAACGAGACCCAACACCATCACTAGTACGCAAACTTAACAGCAAGATCTTCTCTATGAGAAAATCTAACATTATATCTGAAAGTATTTACTATCGACTCAGATGCTCAGTACCACGACCACCCAGACTATACGGACTACCAACACTTCACAATTCACAAATACCCATGCGACCAATTGTTTCATTCTGTGGTTCGCCTACTTACGAACTCTCAAAGTACTTGACTGACATACTGCAACAACTTACAAAAAAATCAAAACACAAGCTACAATCCACTGAAACTTTCATTAAAAAATTGAGCACTATACAAATACCGGACAACTATATACTAGTGTCTTTTGACGTGAAATCATTGTTCACCAGTATTCCACTTAATCTGGCACTTATTTGTACAAAAACCCTCATTACAAACACCATGGACGTACTGCCATTACCGACAGAAGACATTATGGAGCTACTGGAGCTCTGCCTCACCTCGACTTACTTCCAGTACAAAGGTACACACTACAAATAATTACATGGAACAGCAATGGGCTCAACCGTTTCTGTTGTAGTTGCTGAAATTGTAATGCAATCTATAGAGTAACGGGCGCTCACGACTTACAAACATGAACTATCTTTTTGGTTCCGCTACGTAGATGACACAATCACAGCACTACATGCAGACAAAATTGATGACTTTCACACTCACATCAACAAACAGAACAGCCACATACAATTTACTAAAGATGTCGAAGGAAACGGAACTCTTCCTTTTCTCGACTGTTTGGTAAAACATGACAATCAAAAACTACGAACAACAATTTATCGCAAGCCAACACATACAGACCGACTACTAGACCAATCATCTTACAACCCTACATCACACAAAGCCACCACAATCAGAACATGAACAAGACGTGCACAAATCATATGTGATTCACCGGACGCTCTACACAACGAAAACAACTATCTTAAACGTGTTTTTGACAAAAAAACAACTATAACTCTGACTTTATCAAACGCAACACTTACAAACCCAACAAACCCAACGAAACGAACAACTCAGTGAGAACAGCAACGATACCTTACATCAAAGGTACGTCTGAGACTATCTCGCGTATCTTACGACCATACAACATACGTGTCGCACATAAACCAATCACAACGTTACGACAAGTACTATGAATGTTTTTTATGCAGTGCGGTGTTTTGAAATTAAATGAAGATATGATCTTCGCACTTTGCTGGACAATTTAAGCAATCGTCTCAGGACCTGAAAAAATCAGGTGACTCAACGGGATTCGAACCCATGAGCCCAACAATATTGACCTGCTCACCACTGTGTGACTTCATAGCTCAGTGGTCAGAGCACTGCACCGGCACCGCAGAGGTCATGGGTTCGAATCCCGTTGAGTCACCTGATTTTTTCAGGTCCTGAGACGATTGCTTAAATTGTCCAGCAAAGTGCGAAGATCATATCTTCATTTAATTTAACGACAAGTACTAACGAACATAAAGGACAAAGAACAACCCAATGAACGACATGGTGCAGTTTACAAAATAAACTGCTCCGACTGCCACGCCTCCTATATCGGGGAAACTGACAGGAACTTAAACATAAAACTTACTGAACACAAACGAGCTACAAAAAAAAAAACAAGACAAAACTAATCACATTGCCGAACATCACCGAATCACAAAGCACAACATTGACTGGGACTCGGCAAAATGCATTACTTACAGTACTGACTATAGACAACGGCTTACATTAGAAAGTTGGTATACCAACTTGGAACAAACCCCCTGAACAGATCACAGCAATTACCGGCACCTTACAAACGACTTATTCACAATACAAACAAACGACCAACTAAAAACATTACACTTCACACTAATTCACAATGACAATACACAATTGACACCCTCACATTACAACTAAAAATATCACACCTAAATCACACTTCACAACTAAAAACATTTCACTTCACACTAATTCACAATGACAATACACATTTCCTGTACACACAATACAATGACGTAAGAACCAGATAACAAATACGGCTAACCTGACGTTTACTCCTCATTTGACTCTGAAGATGACTACCGCTAAGGTTGTCGAAACGTCAGTCAACAACAACAAAAACAATCCTTCTCAGGATTATTTCTGTTACTGTAAAAAGATTACTTCATGGTTGGTTTGTTTGTACGAATTTTATTATGCACTCGTTGCAAATGTGAAGGATTGAAAAAAAAACTCGTTCGCTACGCTCATTTGTTTGTTTGCAATATCGGGGTTGTGATATATCTTCATTTATCACTCCTGTTGACTGACATTTCAATGACGTCATCTCTTTTAACAAATGTTATAAGATAAATCTCTGTGACATCTCAAACAGACTAAAATTTCTATATAGGCAAATGCACACCAAAAAATACAATATTGAGAACATACAGGAATTTTCTTCAGAGATCTGCAGTCGATATGTGTCAACTGATCTGCTATATCTTTAGGTGTGAGATCATTAAATGCCAGAGACTTTGTTCTCGCTACTTCTTTCTGTCTTATCAATCTTGTTGAGTGAATATGATCAGCTGCACCCCTGCAAAAAACGTTTAAAAAGGATAAATTCGACTTGGAATGAATAAAATAGAGTACGACACCCAACCTATTGCAATTTAGCAATGAATAACGACAATTTGGAATTTAAGCCCCTAGATATCTAACTACCGTGAGGGAAGGAAGCAATCTTGAATAGTGGTAAGTGACACGATCGTTTTAAGTAAGCTAGGTTAAAAACAAAAGAAAAAACAACTTACATTGATACAATAGAATGATCAAGCACATAAACGTACAATGCACTTGATCATTCTCATGTTAAAATATGTAGTTTATTTTAGTTTAAAACGTAGATAGATGCTGCGAAACTCAGTTACGTAGCCTGCTTAGCTCGATCAAAGAAAAGGAAGGGGTGGGGGTTGTTCATGTATAAATGTTCTACTCAATAAGTTAAAATGAATTTGAGTGTTTTCTACATATTATAGCATGCACCTATAAATACGCCATCCCTCCCTCCAATTACCAAAGCTAGATTCGCCAAAGTAAGAATTACATAGATTAATATAAATTTTGCTAAATTTCTTTTTTTTTTCAAAATAAGGTTCAAAATTACTTCAATAACTCCCCCACCCCCTCCAGTGGCCTAAAAAGCCCATCGTTACAACAAAATCGTTACTATTGGTCTTTAGATTCTGCTAAATAAAAGCATTCTAAGAAAAGAAAATCGTGGATGGATCTACGAATGCTTTGTAAAGGGGGCTGTGCTCTTGTTTGGATTAAATTTCAGTGGCTACTCGTTGGGCATAGCATGTCCGAGTATTTTTTTCATTAAAATCTGTTAAATTTACATAATAACTGAGAGATTTTAGGAGGTCCGTTTATTTAAGCCATCATCACATTTGCTTTTGCTGAGTTGTTTCGTATATTAGTCGCCCCTACCCCACCAAATCCACCCAAGACGAAAATTACTCACAGAGCTGTCCTTCCAATCAATTTCTTTATTCCTTTCTCGCAACGAGGATTCTGACGAATGAGACGTTTCTTAAGCTGCGCAATATCTCTAAGGATGCTGTCCTCAGCACGAAGCTGGCTTGAAAACTTTGACAACCAATAACTACAAACACATGAATAGCCATGTCACAAAATGCTTTCTGAAAAACCCGATATTGAAGAATAGTATATTTTCTATTTTCATTTCTATTTTCTTGTATTCCGACTTTGCATTACTTTTGAAAAGATATTACAGTTCCTTTTGAATTAACATAGTTGCAAATAAGTATGAAACCCTACTCTAAGTAGCTCTAAGTAGCTCAATGAGACTAACACCTGTACTAAAAGCTCGTTTATACTGAAACTCACTAAATGGGACTTTAAAATCGTCCCTCAAGTATTTCAAGACGGTATTTATTCCAGCAAACGTCTTGCTATACATGGAAAAACGACTTTGTCATTGATCAGTGAGGGCGCAATTTCTAAGTCGTCCTCAATGAGTGTGAGTGACTTTAAGAATGCAGTCGTGAGAGCGAACGACTTACTGCAAAAACTGACAAAGTATCCACATATTCACAGGAGGATCCTCCGAGTCATTAGCTGAGGAAGATATTACTTTACTAGATTCATCATCCGACTTGTGAACGGAATGATCATCAAGAATAGGAGAGTCTTGTTCCTCTGGCGATTCTTTGTCATCGAACGTAACTTTCAATTTTGGTATTTCCGAAACAGCATCGCTGTATCCGACTTTCACATGATCAGCCACACAAGTTTTAACTTGTGTTGCATCAGTGGAAGTGATTTGTGATGTGACCTCTTGAAGCAAGCCCTCAGGCTTTGTTACATATTCATCCTTCATCGTATCTTCTGCATCGTTTACAGGAACTTCAGGAGTGATTGACTGATCGTTATCATCATTCAGTTCATTGGTTTCAACAATGCTTGTCAACCTAGGAGAATTTTCTGGAATTTCTAACAGCTGAGAAGAGCCAAATACATCTGAGTCATCACTCAACTCGTCATCATTTGAAAGCACGTCGCTTGAACCAAATTGTGACTCATATCTTGTCACAGTTAAAGAATTTGTTCACGAGGGCAGAATAACTTGAGCATTTTCATCAAGAATATAAAATATATTTTTCATTTTAGTTCTTTACTAAAGGCGTAACGTTAGTTGCAACTATTATGTTTGAGTAAATATTTAAGAATTACCATAATATATTCATTTCTTCAGAAATCTGAATGCTTAGTGATGGAAAAAGTGTTCTTCTCCTGTTAAAATGAGCCATTTTAATGCAAAAGATTGGCCGATGTTTATTTTTGCTTAAGCTATGCAAATCAATCGGATATAGTTTTTACTTCATGAAATCAGATGTAGCAAAACATTCCAAACAAGGTATTAACTATGGGTTTCTAGAAATTACTTCCCATGAAAAGAGGTTTGATATGTTCTTTTGACTGCAAATCTAAGTTTCAAACTATATAGTCGAACCCCTACTTCCAGACACTTCTCGGAAATGGATGCTATTACCTCTAATAAAGAGACATCTCCCCTGAGCTGACACCTGGTCACATCCCAGGGGTGTCTGCTTACAGGAAGTTTGACTGTAAAATTAAGTGAAACCCAACCATAATTGCATCAAATAAAAGTGAAATATTTTGAGTAGCTTGAAAACATAAAGCAGACAGGGATTCTATATTAATCTTATTTTATGTAAATGTGAATCACATCTCACTAAGTTGGATACATTTTGATAATCTTTGCAAGGAATTCTTTTGGTGTCACATACCAACCATGCATGGTAAGAAGAACAATTGTTACAGATGGAGGAGACACCACACAACCATTTTCATCTATTGAATTATAGCATTATGAATTAGTAACTCAAGAAGAAAGGGGGAAAGTTATTTCTAGAAAACTCCTTCATTCAATTGTGTAGATGTTACTGCGAACTTGTCAACTTACCAAACTCTTTTAGTGCAATTTTAATCAATTGCTCAAGACTTCCAGATTCAATGGAAAGGTTGATGTCGTCATTTGACGACTTTGACAAAGCTAAAAGAAATGTATTTGTGTATAATATTTAAGAGTACAATTCGACTGCACAGTCCACTGAGCAACTTGAATTATTGAAATTAGAATCTCACATGCTGCTCTCAAAAGATTACCACTCAGGCATTGAACTAGAGTCTATACACATACATGGCCTCGAACATGGTTTCAAGTAAAAATTGGCTGGTTCAAATTATATTTTAAACCAATAAAATTCGTTCGCCAAAGGATCAAGTAACAAACAAAATAAGTTCTCGAAAATTCTGATTAAGGAATAATTAATAATCAGCAATAGGCAGTCTACAAGAAACACACTAAAATCGGCGACACAAATCAAGAAGGGGTGAGAGAAATAAATTGATTTAAAATAACACGATCATAAGAATAAATGGAATGTTTTGATTGAATCGGTTAATTAGCATTGGAAAATTTGATGTGGAAATTGTGATAAAAATTGACGTAGTAATATTTCCAACAAAAAGACTCAAACCTCTTTCATGTTGATTAGACATCTTATTTATTGGAGCAGTAGCTTTTGAAATTAAAATTCATTCGATATTATTTTCCATGTTTGTGATAGTGAAGCAGATATATGAATAAACATCTGACAGGAAAGGAATAAGATTATGTTTTTGAGCCGACGTTGTGATGGAATGCGGTCACCAACCAGCAATGACGTACTGTCCCCTGACCACTGGATAAAGACATCCTTGTCAGTGTCCAGTAAAACCAGTGAGTGAAACTATTTCGCAAGTAGATAGGCAAATTTACGGTTTCACACGGTCTGACAAATAAGTAGAAAAGTATACTAGCAAAACAGGAAAATATCAGTATACGCACTATTGAATCTGTGCTTTTAAATAGGACTTTTTAATAGGACTTACTTAATTCTTTTTTTAACATAGTTTGTAGAAAACGAGCATAATTTTTCCAATTTTTAATTAAAAAGCTCTGAAAGCATAATATGGATATTTACCTAAATTTCATAACAACTTACTCAAGCAAATATGATTTAAGTTACATTTACTTAAATTTAATCCAAACATTGGCTCTTTTTGTAAAACCATACGACAGTGAAACTACGTTCTTCCAGTTGGATAACCTCAACATGAAGTTGTTGAACATCATTTTTCATCTCTCCTTGAGTCTTTGGTCATTTTTTTTAATGTTCTTGATTCTTCGCCTGTGAATTAAGTTCAACACAATGCACAAATAGACTTTATAAGCTATGAATACAAAAATGGATATAAACACAATTAAATGCTCACATTGTTATAGGGTGGATGTTGTTGGTATTGGAGTCTTGCCTAATTCCATGTTCTCACCACCCTCATCTTCTTCATTGGTTTCCACCAAAGTGCTCAAGTTAGATGAATTACTCCCTTTATTTGAAAAACGTTAAAAAAACATAGCACAATGAAAAGATGAAAACGAATTACGTTTTTTGTTTTACTGTATATTTTTCCATTATACAAACAAATCATCAAAACTTAAATTAATAGAATCGTTTTGTTAAGCATATAAACACATATTCGGTTATTTCAAGCTGGCCATTTTATTTCGGGATGGGTTGGTTGGTATAAATTACATTGTTGTATTTAGCGTAATGGCGGGAAAATTTAAAATCCCTTGTGTTGTATTAAAACGTAAACAAAAGACAACATTTTTATACAGAAAGCCTTGTTTGATGAATGAAGCATCAAACTTGAGAAATATATCTATATAGTCCGATTGAAACATAAGAATATAGGTCGTGTTAACATAAGAATATAGGTCGTGTTAATAGAAGAATATAGGTCGTGTTAACATAAGAATATAGGTCGTGTTAACAGAAGAATATAGGTCGTGTTAATAGAAGAATTTAGGCAAAAACACGTGATTGTTGAATATTATAACTTTTTTGTTTACAAATAATGTACATTTTTTCATTTTGAGCGTATTATTTTTCACTGGCACAATTTTTAAAAAAACTAGCATAGATTGTGAAAACTGGCATAATTCAAGCATAATTTACTAAAAAACCAATTACGCCCCCTGCATGGGCGTAGTTTGAGCACTTTAGGATTGTGTATAGAGTCTAATACGGAGACGTTCACCGTGTTCGCGATATGCAAAGCTCACCTTTATAGGTTTGAGTACTCTGGTGACTCTACAATACAATCCATACAATGTGTAACCGTACGTCCTGTGTCCCAAGTGCAGGAGTCACCATTTCACTATGGTGATAGCCGGGAGGGCACATGGTATATACGCTTTTTTAATATGTGTAGTGGTGTAGAGAAAAATCACAAAACTACAGATTCATCCCGACAAGCCTGTTTCGTGATTGCTCACTCTTCAGGGGATTTAACGAAAACGGATACCGATACACACTAAAACTTGACCCATACGCTACTACCAAACGGAAAACAGACTTTGACAAAATATACTTTGGTACAACCCTCCATTTAGCAAAAACGTCCACACGAACATTGGCCACAAATTCCTTTTATTAATCGACAAACACTTACCCATAGACCATAAACTCAGGAAAATATTCAACCGTAACACTATCAAACTCAGCTACAGCTGATGGAACAATATCGAACAAATAATCAACAATCATAACAAACTGAGAACATCAGACAAAACTGACGACAACTCCGCGAACAATAAGACACATACAAAAACATGGACTATAATTAGTCCAAACACCATGGACGCACCGCCGTTACCGACAGAAGACATTATGGAGCTACTGGAGCTCTGTCTTACCTCGACTTACTTCCAGTACAAAGGTACTCACTACAAACAATTACATAAAACAGCAATGGGCTCACCCGCGTTTCTGTTGTAGTTGCTGAAATAGTAATGCAATCTATAGAGGAACGGGCGCTCACGACTTACAAACATGCACTACCTTTTTGGTTCCCCAATCACAGCACTACATGCAGACAAAATTGATGACTTTCACACTCACATTAACAAACAAAATAGCCACATACAATTTACCAAAGATGTCGAAGAAAACGGAACTCTTCCTTTTCTCGACTGTTTGGTAAAACAGAACAGTCAAAAACTAAAAATAACAGTTTATCGCAAACCAACACACACTGACCGACTACTAGATCAATCATCTTACAACCCTACATCGCACAAAGCTACCACATTCAGAACATTAACAAGACGTGCACAAATCATATTTGATTCACCGGACGCTCTACACATTGAAAACAACTATCTCAAACGTGTTTTTGACAAAAAACAATTTTAACTCTGACTTCATCAAACGCAACACTTACAAGCCCAACGAACCCAACGAAACGAAGAACTCAGTGACAACAGCAACGTTACATTGCATCAAAAGTACGTCTGAGACTATTTCGCGTATTTTACGACCATACAACATACGTGTCGCACATAAACCAATCACAACGTTACGCCAAGTACTAACGAACATAAAGGAAAAAAAACAACCCAAAGAACGACAAGGTGCAGTTTACAAAATAAACTGCTCCGACTGCCACGCCTCCTATATCGGGGAAAATGGCAGGAACTTAAACATAAAACTTACTGAACACAAACGAGCTACAAAAAAAAACAAGACAAAACTAATCACATTGCCGAACATCACCTAATCACAAAACACAACATTGACTGGGACTCGGTAGAATGCGTTACTTACAGTACTGACTATAGAAAACGGCTTACATTAGAAAGTTGGTATACCAACTTGGAACAAACCCCCCTGAACAGAACACAGCAATTCCTGGCACTTTACAAATGACTTATTCGCAATACAAACAAACGATCAACTATAAACATTACACCTCACACTAATTCAAAATGACAAAACACAATTGACACCCTGATATTACAACTAAAATATCACAACTAAATCACACATCACAACTAAATCACACATCACAACTAAATCACACATCACAACTAAAAACATTACACTTCACACTAATTCACAATGACAATACACAATTGACACCCACACATTTCCTGTACACACAAAACAATGACGTAACAAATACGGCTAACCTGACGTTTACTCCTCATTTGACTCTGAAGATGACTACCGCTAAGGTTGTCAAAACGTCAGTCAACAACAACAAAAACAATCCTTCCCAGGACTATACTAACCTGGACGCTCTACATTTACAAACATATAGTTAATTATCCCATTAGAAGTCGCCTTGTCATAACAAATAGAAGAGTTGTGCATGCACATAATTCGAACATAATTTGATCTCTCCTATCCTTCTTTTCTCGTTATTTTAGCTCAAAATTTGAAATACTTAGTCGCTATCTTTGTTTTGGGTGGCTCTGGAGAAAATAGACTAATCAATGTTCTTTATTAGCTACTTCATTGCTCCAATTGTTGTTGCCTTTGAGTTGAGTATTGCTGACGGTTCCATTTCATCTATTAATCTAGCGATTGTTGATGTCTTCCACCATTTTTAGTTAAAAACTGCAATTAGTCTGATTCATAAACAAGTTTTCTTCCCACGCAGAATGGCTAAGTAAACAAACAAAAGACTTTTAATTTTTTTAAAGCTCTTTGACTTAATTGACTTATTGTTGATGTCATAATTTAAGAAAGAGATGTCATCTAGTGAAAAGTTGTAGCTATGAAAACAAACCTTTACGTCTGTATGAGTTAAATTCTCTTAATTTAATCTAGTTTGGAAATAAAACATCATTTAGTTGTTCCATATTGGTTGACAGAGCAAATGTTGTTAAATTCCTTGCTAATAAGGTTTCATGAATTGTCTCAAATAAAGAAAGGTCGGTAGATCGATGCACTTGTAGCTAATGCAGCATGTTTACTTAATCCTCTTAATTCAAAGGGAAAATTTTTTTTCTGTGGATTCAGACTGCTTAGACCCACCAGAGATCTGTTCTTTATTGAAAGATATTTAAGTGATCTTTTCACATTCCCATTATTGGCAAAGGTATTGGATAATAATCTTGTTCACACACACAACATGCCCAGCTCAGAAAACATATTTTTAACAGTTGATTAAAGGGCATGTGCAAACACAGTGAGCATAATTTCCCCATTGACTACGATTACCCAAAATATTGCCCAAATTTTCTGTGTGCGAAATTTCTAGGAAAAATTGCGGATATAGAGTTTTTACGAAACCTTAGGTAAGATCCTTAAGGTTAATGATGTTTGACAAACATGGTCGCCTTACGCCGCTATATAAATAAAAACTTGAAGCATAATATCCTAAATCGTGTTCTCCAGTTGCGAAACAGCACGATATTTGGCTGCTGCAAGGAATTAAATTAACATTCTAATGAGTTATTTTGTTTGCCGAAGAATCTGCTTTGCAAGAGGTTAATCGTTTGGTCAATTTAGAGTCACTGATCGTAGCTCTAATATTAAATACATACACATCGAAGGGTCGTTAAAAACGTCTTTAAATATGCTCCTTTTAGTAATAACATGCAAGGCATTGCTTTTCTATTCCTTGTAGAAAATAAAATATATACAATTTCATTAAGTTTGCTAGAACAATTGGTTTAAGGTATCTTTTAAATTTTCAAACGTTAATTTAATTATTTCTTTTTTTCAGAAAATGGTCTGCTGCCAATGTACAAAAAACATCAATCAGAACCAAGTAAGGGAAAATATTTGACTAATACGTTCACTGCTTCGTTTTATTATTAAATTTTCAGAAGCAGGTGCATGGAACTGTCAAGAAATTTTAAACTATAGTTTTTATGCAAAATATATGACAACTGTCGTCATTCAATTAACCGATCAACAATTTATCTGGAGACCTTATGTAATTGACAGCAAAACAAATTCGTGTAACGTCTATAAGAAATTCCATTTTGGTTTAAGTCATAATAAATAAGTGCCAAGTGCTGTAGAATTAAATTTATCAGAGGTGTCCTGGGAGGAAGGGGGAGCTCTATTGAAAGGGCTGAAGCCATAAAATCGTAAGAAATACGTAACGTCATCTTATGAAAGTAACATAGATGTTCACAATGTTGAACTGAAATGATTTGTAGATGACAGATCATAACTCAAAATCTTACAAGTAATGACCACTATTTTAATAAATGTTTAAAATAGATTTACGCACAGTCATAACACACTATGACGAGGATAAGCATATTAAAAGTTAAAACATCATGACATTATGCATTATTGTATACTGAATACTATTACTCTAATATTACATTACTATCATTCTAAAACAGTAGTGATAGTCTCCCAAAATAACGCAGCTAATGATCTGATAACCACCTTTTATAGTAAGTAATTACTTATTGGATACCTGCTCCCACGCAACTCAAAGCAGCTATCCAACGTGCTTCGTGTAAGTTTTAACCTAAGATATTCTGTTGAAAAAATACACATCCTCCATAAATGATAGTGGCACGATCATGTTAAACATTGAGAAAAGAAAAAGTTATCAATTTATAAGAACGTAATTTCAAAAGTTTTGTTTGTATATCAGAAAAATATAGTTAAATTTTTTATTCCTTAGCTATATTGTTTGTTATCTATTTACTCTGCTATCTTTCTAAACTTATGTATTTTTAGCTCATAAAACTAACACAGAGCAATGGCATTTTATAAATTAAATAATCATGTAAATACGTTATAAAGAATACACTACAAGTTCACAACGAAAAAGGAATTAAAAGGCCGAAAATATTTTGTTTGAATCGATGTATTCAACGAAAACTTCATGCAAACATTATGCATGGGATCTGTTTGATGAAATTGAGCAAATAATACGTTATATTATGTTTAATTGAAAGTGAAAGTTTACTTACAAAGCAATAATAATTAGTTTTTACTAGGAAAAGAAGAACTTACATCGTCTATATAACTTGTTTTTGTATGGTTGAGGCAAATATTTATATTCTTATAATAATATATTATTATAAAGATTCTTCGGTTAAAAATTTCATCGTTAAAAATTTGTCAGAAAAACTATAGCTCATCAAATACTTTATTTTCGAGCTCTTGGATTGGCTAATTTAAATCAGTCTGCAAGCTGTGCTTGAAATGTAAGAATTTTAAATTTAATCACACGTACGAAACAAATATAATTATATATGCTTATACGTTTTTCTTTCAGAAGACAGCCTGTTGTTATTGCGAAAACATCTTTCTCAGTCCAGAAGAGTAAGCGAAAATTTCAGCCATGATGCTCACCGTCAGTCTCGTTGCTCTATATGTATTGGTGAATTTTCCTCAACCAAGTGAGAACTGCAACACTGCGTTTAACCGCATTTATAAAAAATATAACTGTGTTTGCTCTATACCGACCAACGAACTACCAGAAAACTGCACAGATATAAGAAAAGACATAATTGAACTGTTTAATGCTTATGCTAAGGTAAGTTTAATATTTGAAAGAAAAAGAAATTAAGAGCAAGTATAGTTTAAACTCATACAGTTTTGATTGATTCAATAAACTAAGGCAATTTTTCAGTTCATGAATTCACTGCTCGACAAAAAAGAAACATTGGAAAGTAGGAACTAATGTGTACATTGTGATTCAGTTTGTCAATGAAACACATACATACGACTATTTTACTGTGGTTTACAATGTGAATGTCAGCTAACATTTTTACGAAATGTTTACATTTTAAAAAAGGTCTTCGAGAGCAAACATGCCATTTTCTACGTAAACATGTGTTGGCTTCGTGCATAATAGGACATTAATAAAATATTCCGCGCATCTTCATGTAAATATTCGCTTGAAAAAACATTGTTGATATTCATATTTTCTTCAAAGACAGTTTTCAAAGCCAATCTCCTTGAAGCCATGTGGAAGTTTATTGTTCAGTCAGGGCATGGAAGCCACTTCACTAAAACCACTGAAGACATGCCTTTTTCTTTTTAAATCAGGATGAACGAGAAAAGACTTACGGATGGGTTTATGTAGCAACCATACCTGTAGGATCCGTAGGAATCCTTTTCAACTTTTTGCTGATATTGGTGATCCTTTCTGATCCCATGAAGATCCTTCAACGTGGAGCATGGATGACGATCCTAAATCTTTCTGTATCTGACACAGTTGCATGCTTATCAAGAGTGGCATCTTCAGTTATCGTAAAATGGTTCGAAATTGAAGTTACCGACAACTCGAAAAAATATACAGAATTTTTCTGGCAATTTGGGGTAATTAGTTCATTTTTGTTTCTTACGCTCCTAACAGTCCAGACTTACGTGATAATTAAATATCCCATAAGAAGCCGCCTTGCCACGACAAAAAAGAGAGTTGTGTTCATGATTGGAACTGTGTGGACTGTATCGTTGGTGCTCGCCTTACTTGAAATCAACGACATTTCTAAAGATAAAAGAATGTATTTTTGGATTGCAAACATCTCCGTTTTAGAGTTGGCCACAATCATTCAGATAATTATGAAGATATTCATAATTAGAGAAATTTTTCTTCCCCGAGACCCCTTATTAAACAATACCAGAAACAAGCAGCAGAAAGAGGTCGCTAAAACCATCATCATAATGATTTTTGTTCTCATTGTTACAGCCCTACCATATTTTATTGCCAAAAAAATCGAGTATATAACAAGAATTTGTGATGGAAATTATGATTTGACAGTCAAGTTTGCTTACTACTATGAGCCCATTGCCATGATGAATTTTGTCGTGAATCCAATAGTTTATTCATTACGTCTGAAAGATTATCGCAAAAGTTTATTTTATATTTTCATCTACCATAAAAAAGCCAATCAACTTACTCTAACCAGAGATACCAGTAAAACTGTGTCGACGAAAGTGTAAAGTAGTTGAAGTATTTGATTAATCATTTCTTTACATTCAGCTTTAGTTTAAGTAGTTTAAATACTTTTTAGAGATTTGCAAGATATTCGATTTCTTTGATTTACGTAAACGAACAAGAGTTTAAATAAACCGTAGTCCAAAAATATCTGCATTTTGTCAACATAGCAATAAATTGACAACACTTTATTTAAAAAATGAGATGATTGGTCGCGGTAGCTGAGCTTAGATAGCCCCATGCAAATGTGGCAAACTGATCTGACTTCAATCATTAAAACCAATTAAAGAGAATTTGCAAATCAATCAATCGTAGCTAATTCATCATTAATTTTTTAAAATTATCAATTCTGCATCATTTACATTTTTGAAAACTATCCATTTATTGACAAGCGCTTCAATAAAATTAAAAATTTTTACGAGCGCCAAGAGCCATCACACCTAAAAATAAAAACATCACACCTAAACCACACATCACAACTAAAAATAAAAATATTTCACTTCACACTAATTCACAATGACAATACACATTTCCTGTACACACAATACAATGACGTAAGAACCAGATAACAAATACGGCTAACCTGACGTTTATTCCTCATTTGACTCAGAAGATGACTGCCGCCAAGGTTGTCGAAACGCCAGTCAAACAACAACAAAAACAATCCTTCTCAGGACTATACCAACCTGGACGATCTACATTTACAAACATGTAATGATACTCCCGCGCTCAAACCATTTACTTTAGTAACAGTAACAGTTGTCACAGTAACTTAGTAAATAGCAGCCCTTTTCCATAACAAGGAGAAAGCTAAATTCTACAATTACAAACCACAATTGCAAACTGCCCATTACAAACTGGCAACTACAAACTGCCCACTAGAATTGCCAAACTACAACAATGCCAAGCTAAAACTTCAGGCAACAATGAGAATTTCAAACGGAGGATATTGTTCATTGTGTAAGACGACGCGAAATAAAATTTAATAATTTGAATTTGTGTAATTCTATACAAAAGGAGTAATTTACCAAACCATTTTGACAAACACACTAGCCAACGAGGAAGAAACTTACATCGGTCCTTTCAGAAAACACCTTCGAAACTCTGTATTTAAACCACACCATTTCATTCCGCAACAAATCAAAACAATACGCTACAGAACTGAGCAAACACATATAAATCGAAACTTAAAGACTCCGACAAACTTTATGACAATAAATGGCAAATCATTAAGAAAGCCCAACCCTACTCACGAAAAACAAAGCACTGTAACATACTATTTAGAAAGAACGAAGAGTGACGGGAGGGGAGGGTGTGAATAAAATATAAGGGCATGTGACTCCTTCGTTCCCCACTGATGATTATTAGAATCCCAATCAAACTTCAACTCACAGGTAAAACTCGTTTAATTTAAGAATTATACTACGTCATCAGTCGACGTCACTACGGAGTCACATGCGATTTCAAAGTCCTGCAGCTGTTTACTATGTGCGTATCAGCGTATGAATCCAACTCAACATTTAGTAGCATTTACCAAATGCTATTCAGGATAACTGGACTGAAATCATCACTAACTATGTGTATATAATAAAACATTGCGAATGTACCAGAATTGGACCATCCTGCTGATTGCACGATATTATATGTAAACATAAGCCAGCTGCCTTAGCACAAGAAGTTGAAGCGGTACGAGTGCTGTGTCATGAAAATTCGTCTGTGTCAATTCAGGATTATTTGAAAATAGGTTTTATCCAACAAGCAACAGTATCTTTGGTCACTACCTTATGTTGTTTATTAAAAATTATAACGGTATTTTTCTTTTCGCAAAGTACTTATGCGGTTAATATATTCTTGAAGGTAACTTATGACGCAGTCTCTTGTCATCCGGGTATTCTCGTAAGTACAGAGGAGCTTGGTGTTTCTCTGCCTTGGTCTGTTTAAGTACGTGGTTGATGGTAGTAACACATCGATCATCGGTAAACCGAATAAAATTAACATCAATTCGGTTAACAGTTTGACATCGCTGTCCCGCCAATAAGCAAAGCAATGAGGCTAAGCTCATTGTGGGATCTTTAAATTTAATTTGGTCAACGGGACGAAATTGTGTTAGGTAATTGAGAACTTTCTTCACATCTCGTATTTTAGAGTATTTTGGTAAACATGGTTTTAGTTCAATACTCCTTTTAGAAATCTGCAAACCAAAGGATCTTTACCGAATGAGATTCTAGCGTTTTGAATGATCACCGAAGATAAGGCTGACCAAGCAGTGTTAATAGCACTGTAACCCAGCCCTGAATGAAACAGTTCGGTAATAAATTATAGGCCGTAGAATGAGCATGGAGAAAATGCTCAGAAAACGAATTCCATTTCACCCCTTTTCGAGGCTAGATAACTTTTACACGAGTATAATAAATAATAACAATGAGCTAAAATAGATAAGCAATCGTATGAAAACATCAGCAAATTCGTGCAAAAGAACCCTTTGAGCATTGACTTGGTACCATCATATGAAATTTTGTACTTCAAAAAATTACGCATCAAACATTCACTGATGGTAAAGACCATATCTTAGAGGAAAAAATATGAAATGTATACTGCCAAATATATTTGTGGAAGAAACACATCTTGTAGAATGGGAGTGGAGGCACACACACAAGAACAAACGACTGGCGTACAACAAACACATTGGCGGGGACTATACACAATAAGTCTCTTGGTTGTCTCTATTAAAACGTTATTTTTTTTAAATTTGTGTTCACTTCGTGACGTCATGCATAGGAGAAATATGTATTTACTTTGCGAGCTTATAAAAAGCGATGTTTTATCCGAATAAAAAACTCTTCAAGTTTTGTGTTCCATAAATAGTGCAAAATTTAAAAAGAAAAATAAAATTTGGGTGTGAGTTTTACTTTAAGCAAAACATCTTGTTTTCATAATTTAACATAAAAAACACAAATTTGTTGAATGCCATGCATGCCATCGATTTGGTTACTGGTAATAGTCTTTTGGCTGTCAACCACCCATAATGAGTATCAAGAATTAATGTAAAAACATTTTTCTTTCATATGGCAGTCTATTGTCGACCTTGTCTTTGTAAGAACGTTTACTAGAGAAGAGATTAAATGATTTGTGACGATGGTGTCTACTAGTCTCAATTTATTATTTGTATTGCTGAATTTTCCTGAACTAAGTGAAAACTGCGACGCGATATTTGATGTCGTTTATACACTATATAACTGCAATTACTCTATACCAACCAACGAACCACCAGAAAACTATACAGAGATAAGAAAACAGATTATTGAACAGTATAATGCGTATGCTAAGGTAAGTTGAGTAGAAGCAAGAAAAAACTGCGATTCGGCTTACACTTGTGAGATTTGAACTGATTCCCATTCGAGGAAGTTCAAGGAAAAAATTACATGTCTTGGGTAAATGAATGGCGTCTTTAGAGATTAGACAGGTAATAAAATAGCCATTAAAAATCTCCAACCAATGTGACACTTCTGGTCATTAAAGACATACATGGTATTATCTTTATAATGAGTTTAAGAACATAAATTTTTGCCAAGTTTCATAGACTCGCGCTATGGAAACGTCGTTATAAATTTCTTATTTTGCGAAGAAGGCTGAAGATGGCAAACAAATATTAACATAAATTATTATGCGCAATGTTTATAGTTACAGCGTGTATGAAAATATAACTCAAAATTTTGCGTGTTGTATCTTAACAAAATTTGATAAATTTGTAAAGCTGCAGTGACAAGTTGTTAGCATAGAATAAATATACAGGGAAAGAAAGAACAAAACAGACCAACATCAAAGAGAAACTTTATGGCGGTTAGTAAGCACTTGCTTGCTCAGTAACCAAGAGGCAAATTTGGACAGTTAGCAGATTTAAGTCAATACAATGTTTAATTAGTAATATTTAAAGTGAGATTTGATTTTCTATAAAGACATAGCGAATTTCAATTCAAATTTATGATCTCCATGCACTACGAACCAAGCTTAAGAAGAAGGAACTTTGAATGGAAAGTTTTTCGTTGAAGTTAGTGCAGAAACGAATAAACACGCCTCCATTAAGAATCCTCCATCTTTCAAAATTATACATATATTGCCACCATCGAAGAAAAAGCTGCGTTCACACGTAAAGAAACGTGCAAATTAATGAAAAAAGTCGTTGCTAGGTGGCTTTCTGTTTGTGATATATAATTTATTAACATTCATGAACTGTTATTTTGTTTATGGGTTTAGTTATTTCAATATTGAACTGCACCTCTCAATTTTAAGTTTGACATCAGTGGCGGATTTAGGGTCCAGCAAAAAGGGCAAACGCTGCACGTAAGATTTTCAAAATTTATGCATATTTCATGTGTCATTAAAATGATATTTGGCAATGGTTAACTAATGCAAATTTCATATTCATTATGAGAGTTACGTTATTTTTTCCCAGTTGTGAACTCTGATTCCTGATTTTACAATAAATATTGAATAAAAAGCAGTCGATACGAGAATTTCAGCAGTTATTACAATTTTTGCTGCGTTTCGGCCATTTTGCTGCGTTCTGCATTTCCTGCTAATTTTTAGATGGTTTGCTTTGTTTCCAAGTCTAGCAATCTCCAATTGGCTTTCAAACGAGAGCTATTATTAGTTAGTTCGAATCTAACAAAGAACTTCATTGGTTTGATTGTTTTGACAAAGAAAATTTTTATACGACAAAATTTTGCTGCAGGTGTTTAGTATAGTTGGATCCGCCCCTGTTTAACATTTATCGTTGGCATTCAAAGCCGTAATTAAACTGCAATATCACTGTTTGTTAAGTTCCTCTGACAACTATTTTTCATAGCTTAACGCTGAAGTCTCATTTTCACCTGCTCCCCTTCACCTTTGTATTTAAGTGCGACAAAAGACATAGCGTTTTTATGCATTGGCATAGTAAATTTAAATTTTAGGGGAGGGCCGAAGTTGACTATTAGTTGACCTGACCCTTATTCTTTTAAGTTATAAAGGGCTCTGTAACTTCCAAATATTCTGGAATCCTGTAATAATGTAGCACTTTGACCAAGTTGAAAAATCTTTATTATTTAGTGGTAGTTCATTACAAAACATATATAGTACGAGCAATATGCAACAAGCAAGTATAGCACAATTAATACATTTCCGAAAAAAAAAAGGATAATAACCGGATCTAACGAGTGGTTGTGCTTATTGCAAGATATGTATTCTACTACAATGTCAGGAACTATAGATTTGGATAATGTTAACCTTCATTCTAGGGGAGGGGCTGAGCCTCTCCAATTACGAA